AAAAACAAAGTTTGTAAACTTTAAAATCATTTATAATGTACATATATGTATACAAACTACAATTATCCCTTCGCATAATATGTCAATAATATGATTACTCGTTCACTCTAGTGAAGAAAAAGATTTTTATTGTATCAATAAATTCTGCTTTAATATGATTAAATGAAATACTTCTTAAACATCTCTTAAAATCCCCATCAAAAGCGTTATCAGATTCATTTTTTTACCTGAACTTAAGATTTTACGTCAGTTTCTTTAAAACTTATATGGATAAAAAATCTTGATTTTGGTGAAGTTGTAGCAAAAATTATATACTGCCATTTAAATAAAAATAATAACATACAAGCAATTATTGTATATTTTAATCTAGGTGAGAGCTGCTCATAATAAATACATAACATATTCTATATATCTGATATCGCCTTATTCACATTTAAGGATTCATCCTTCATATCCTTCGTAAGGTCTAACAAATCAATAAAATGAAAAGATTTTGATAGGAATACCATGAAACAAAAAAACAAATGCTACCCTTGTAAAAGATATAGAAAAAATATACTGCATTATATAACAAAATAAGTCAATACAAATATGAAATAATAAAATAAATAAATAAAACTAAAAATATATTTTCTTTGCACTCAAATCCTCTGTTAAGAAACGTACACGTTGTCTTTTAAGGCAATAATTGCTACGCCATTGTTAGAACTATTTTATTATTTACGACAACTGAAGCATACAAAAAAATACACCAAATGTATAAGCACTATGTTGTAAGTGATGATTTTTGTTAAGAAAATCCCTTTATTACAAGCTTTATCATTGCTCAAGTAATCAAATTTGTAATTATTCCTCATTGCTCAGAACAGAACAAAATTTAAAATTCCAACGTTGCTGTTATGGAAAATGATTGCAAAGCTTAGACCTCGAAAAATCATTCCCAAACATTAAATCCAGACAAAAAATTAATTGAAAAAGCAAGTAATAATATATGAAAACATTTTTAAAAAGAAAAAAATGATAAAAACGATGAAATAAATGATAAATCCTATTGTAGAACGGTCGCATTTTTAGTTTTTTTTAACCGACTATTTCATGTCTAGCTTCTACTTAATATTCAGCACTTGAACACACTCTTCTAAGAATAGAAAGAGAATTTGCAGTCTACATGGCATTCATTTATCCCATAAACCTATTAAATCTTTATTAAATTAATATCAAAATATTCAAATATGATCTAATAGATTCAATTCTTTTTCATTATTTGTTAGAGAAAGTTTTCTTTAATATTGACGAAATAAACATAATGTTTAAAAGATTGATTTTGCACATACTTGTAGTAATTACAGTTGAAAATATTACAATTCAAAAGATTTATTCTCATTTTAAAAGCCTCTATTTACATTATTACAACAGTTTTTCAAATCAAAATAACGCAGAGCAAAAAACTTTCAAAGCTATCAACTAAGTAAAGTTTCCATTTATTCGATGACATCGCACTGCTATTAATAAATGAGGATTATGTTAATGAACAAAGAGACTAAGGAAGAATGGTTTAAAACAACAAACAAAACTATAAAACTACTATACATATTTAATCACATTAAAAATTAATGTGTCAAAAAGATATAAAGTGCAATCGCTATTATGTGTACGACGTACACACATATAAACTATAAACTCACACACACAAAAATATTCTTTTCAGACTACAATACTGCCTAATACAGGAATTTCTTTAGATATTAAAAACTAGCTTTCTGCCCGCAGCTTCGCCCGCTTGGAGTTCGGTTATATCGCGTTTCCAAGAGAACCTTTCACAAGTCTGGGATAAAAACTATCCTGTTCTTTCTCAAGGTCAACTCTATCTCTGTACCAAATTTCATTAAAATCAGTTCAGTGGTTTAGGCGTGAAAGCGTAACAGACAGACAGAGTTACTTTCGCATATTTATAATATTAGTAGGGATAACGAGTAATAAGATAATAGTAACACAAGTTAATAATATATTAATATTTAATTTATGTCTATCACAATAATTATAATATATTTTGTATTTGCTGGCTATGTATTGTAGAGTTATAGCCATCACGACTTGCGACGCTCTGTCGCAATGCAGTACGGTGGAAGTTGTTACGGCAATCGATCGAAATTAATCCCTAATTCGAACATCTTAAGTTTTATTTTGCAACAACACTAGTTTATGGTCAAAAACATACTTGTGCATATATACAAATATAAATTAACTGTTAATCTTTTGTATTTTTATTAATTTCATTACTTAGTACTGCTATTATTTCCTGATATACGAGTACACTAGTACTATACAAGTATTTTCAGCATGGCTAATTGCAAAACATACTATTTTGTAAAAATAAAATGAACTTAAATGAAAATTAAATAAAACCTATTTTCCCATGAAAAGCTCCAAGAAGAGTTCAGCCCTTGAACAAAACTGTATATTCCCAACAAATATAGGCCTTTCAGCTAAATCTCAATTGAAGTACATTTGTATACAAATAGCTTATCGTAAGCGTCGGAAGTGTTTAAGCTAAATACGCTACAGCATCGTTAGCTGAAAGTTTTCTTGAATGGTTATGTAACTGTAAAGGTGCAAGAGGTATTGCTTCTATAAAAAGTTGATTAATATAGCATATTAATACCCAAAATTTTAATTCAAAATATTTTGTTTATCTGTAAGCAAATATATAATTTAAATTGGTTTTTCTATTTAAGTAACACAAGTATAAAAAAACTATATATATAAATGAAAAGTATAAACATTTTAATTTATTGCTAACATAATTTATTTTTATCGCAAATGTATAAAAGAAGCACATTTCTATTTAATTTGTTATATTTATGTTGAAAAGTTTGTCTTAAATAAAGTGAGAAATATATTTATGAATGAAAACTAATTATCGTAAGTTTTTGAACGCACATAATGTGTCAGTTAATATCAAAATGAAATTTGTTTCGTGTTTTTCTTATTTGAATAAATATAAAGTTAATATTATCAAAACAATAATGTTTTTAAAACATGAATAGGGATTACTAAAACATATAACGGCTTCAAAGAAGATAATATGAAAATAATTTCATGAATGTATCGAAAATTTAAAATCAAAAATAAAATTTTCAAAACGCATATTTTGGAAGAGGCGATGAAGTAATGAACATTCTGGTAACGAATGGTTCATAACGGTAATTCGATAGTCCATATAAAATATAGCTATAAATGTTATAGTTCATAATCCAATAATATTATAGTCCATATAGAATTTATGTAAAATGTAGTTTTATATCAAATTAACAATACTTTACACTATTTTGTTACTAGATTTTTCTCTCACATAAATCCTAAAATAGTCTTAACTAAAGATTTTTGATCTAAGCCTGATATTAGCTTTTGATCAGTTTCGATATTTTTTAATATAATTTTCGTGTTTTTTCAAATTCCAATCTTGTGGAAATTCAAATGAAATATCGTGAAAACTACACTTTACATACGTATATGTAATATTAGTGTGTTTTCCATAATTTTCCCTTAACTCGTAAATCTTGCAAATAACACTACTCTACGTAAGTGGGTAGTTTTATTTTAAGCAAATAATTTTTCGGAGTATTCAGTAGTTTTGAGATGCGGAGTTCAAAACACGAAAAAAATATCATCAATATGGAATTGGTAGAATTTTATGATCACTTTCAAAATGACGTAACAATTGTGAATTTTCTTCGTAGCCTTTCTAATCCAGACATGTCATAAAACGATTCCGAATCGTTTGATTTGAATGGTCTATTTACTAAACTTTCTTCTATATAAGAAATCAAATTAATAAATTTTATTCAATAGATTTCCTTTCTTTATTTTGTTATACTACATAAAAAAGATGAATGAATTTTATTTATAAATAAAGTAATGATAAAAGAGAAATCTGTTTTAATTGGGAAAGTAAAGAAATTGTAATACATACCATTCATAAAACTCTTGTGCAGATAAATCAGGCTACGATTATTTAATACGAAAATTTAATTAACTCAATTCTGACTGTCATGAGCAGCCTTTGAAATTATGTTTTCGTTAATACTATTCATTAATACTTTATAATTAGTTAATTCACATAGTTATCATATGTATTTAAAATCTGTAATATTTTTCCGTAATACATAAATATATTGTAGTCTATTAGATTACTATGACGTTATTATAAATTTAGTCATAAATCTTTATACGTTAATCCAGTAGGCTTATTCGTATGAACAGATAATTTTAAACTATACTATATGAAAAAATACTCTTTGACATGAATTACTTAGTATAATGAAATTGTGTATACGAAAGATAAAATGTAGCTACAGATGTAGATAATAATTAACCAAAAATAATTATTAGCATGAATATATATAAATTCTTAGTATAAGTTCCAAAATATTCAAGCTTTTCTATGTTATCTTAGCACCATTGCCATATAACGTATATTCATACTATTGTACAATTATTTCACTAAAGCTCAATATAAAACCAGGTGCTTGCAAAAGGAATGCTTTATAGAAAACCTTTATAATAAAATGTGTAAAATCAATTTGTATCATTAATGTTATCGATCAATAAATGCAAGTAGGTTCACGTGATTGAATAGTACAATTAGAGCACTAACGATTGGGAAATACGGACTGGAAATGAATATGTTCAAAGATTTAGAAGTTTTTATAAATCTCAACATTAATAGGAATATATGATGAGAACTAAGACTCTCGCAAATTTTATTCATTTAAATGAAACTAATATTTTTCGGATATACTACGCGTGTTTTATTTATGTAAAAAACTACATACTCCCGACGTTTCGGCTACTTTTCGGCAACCGTGATCACGGGCAGACGATCTGAGTGTCTGTCATTTGGTCTTGTTATTTATCACAAATAAATTAACACAATTTAACACAAGTTAAGATGTATGTTAAATATTACTTTTTTTGTTTTCAGAGAGGTTAACCCGAGAATGAAACGAAATGAGTCGTTGAAGAGCGTCCAAAGATTTTCGCGGCAAAGTCGCAGCGAGCAGCGGCCGGCGCTAGCGCTTAGCTTTCGTCAGAATTCGCTTACAATCAGCTCTTTAGCTCAACAAGCTGCTTTTATAGCTGAAAAAGCTTATAAGGAAGAAGAGTGAGTGTTTCTATTTATATCTAATGGAAATATTTGTAAATATACCTAACCTAGTAAACCAATATAGGTACATATTTTAAATTTGTTGAAGTTTTAGCAATCCATTATTTTAAGTAATATATTTTGTTGACATAATGTTTATAACGAAAATCTTATTTTCTAATAACATTCAAAGTATAGCTGAAGAATTGGAATAAATAGTTTTCGTAAAATCTTTCATAAAAACTGAAATTAACAAAATTGTCGCATGTTCTTTCAGTTTTGTTAACTTGAATATAGTTTAAAATTAATTTTATTGTTAAAATATTATAAATATGATATTTGTTTAGCTGCACAAGGATCTTGTAGCATATTGGATATGACAACGAAACGGTATGAGCACAAGATTCCGCTTTCCATTTCGTCACCAACACGACAAACCATTATATGTAGTGATTATTATTTATTTTGCAGATTTTAGATACAGGGTGACTGGTGAATTACTATCGATATTTGAGGACGTGATATTTGACGATCATATATGACAAAATAAAAATTAATATAACATAAATATTAATAAACTTCTAAGTAAAGTTAACCAAAAGTTATGTAATTAATTACGCATCGTGTGAACACCCTACAGATTAGGTATACACACACACACACACACACTCGCGCGCGGCGGCGTGGTGTTGTATCAGCACGCCGCCGCACGCGTCCACACTTGGAACACTTGGAACGTGTACACAATTTATTTATTTATACGGAAATTTGGTCAAAAATTAAGTAACCTACTTTTTTTCCATAATTCGAATGAGAATCATGTACCGAGTATTCTCCTTAAATATTGATAGTAATTCACCAGTCACCCTGTATAATAACGAAAGTACGATTCGATTCCCATCTAATTTCTTGCTGATGTTGATGAGAATGAACTAGAAGTTTTCTTTTATATTTTATACCTATACTTATATTCCAAAAAACTCTTATTTATAGTACATTTGTTTTTATTTCAACTTTTTCGTTATCGCTTGAAGTCTAGAACTATTGTTACGCTCAATCATTCTATTTCAGATCGGATCCAAATCGTCAGACTGAAGCCGTTTCATATTTCAAGCTAGTAAGTATTTTCTATTATCTTATGTCTTAAATATACTTGAGTACATAAACTTAAAATGCGGTTGTTAAAAAATATATACAAATTTGAAAACAAGGAAGTTTCGTTATTTATTTAGGTTCATGATTTAACCAATAATTTTGTGAGTAATTAACTCATGATACTAACTATATAAAACCAAACGATATTCGATCATTATGATACAAATTAATGTGTTATATTAACCTTTTTAAAGCACAGTATTTATGAAGTTAAATAAATAATAATGAAACTAATATATTCGGATTGCTGCGCGTATTTCATTATTTTTAAAAAGACGAACAGACAGACAATATTATTGTCAAATGTAATTGTCGTCTTCCCGTGATCACGGTTACTGCAAAACAAACGAAACGTAATTAGTATGCAGTATTATAAATAATAAAATACGTGAAGTAATCCGAAAACATTAGTTTCATTTAAATTAATACTTATTAAAGTCTTATAACTCATTATTTATATATATATTTTTTAATTTCAACACCAGTTCAGATTCGCTCAAAGATGGGAGTTCGTGATGCTGTTCGCGGGTATTATATTCGCGTGTCTCAACGGACTGTTCGTTCCCGTCGGTGTGATCATCTATGGAGAGTTCACATCACTACTGATAGATCGTACCGTCATGAATGGCACCTCTACTCCTACACTTACCATCAATTGGTTCGGCGGTGGTAGGATTCTGTGAGTATACACTAGTTTATTACAAATAAAAAACTAGTTTAATAGCCAGTGGTGGCCTAGTGGTTAAAGGGCCCGCCTCTCGTTGCCGGGCACGTACCAATGAGATTTTTCCAAGTCATATGTACTTTCTAAGACGATTTAGACATCACTGATTAATGTTGATTCCCAAAAGAGGGTTGATGTCAGGCGGGCGACCGGTCGTAAAAACAAATAGCCAAAACTATTCACAGCATGTAAGGCAGACCCTGGCTATAGCTGGGAAATTGCCAGGTAGAAGAAGACACTAGTTTAATACAAAGCTTAATGGGCCTTAACTTTCCTATGTCTTTGAAAACATTCTTCACCTCTTCTTACGTAGCTGTAATTTCCTCAAGTTATATAGGCTCATACGGTGGCATATTCATGTATACAATCGTATAATGCCATCAACGTCATCGTTGATAATATGTTTGTCTTTTATACATAATAATATAAACAACAAAATTAAAATTCATTTAGAAATATCATTATGAACTGACCAAGGCCCTCTTCTCACGTGGAGAAGGTTTGAGCATTAATAACCACGCTTGCTCAATACAGAGTGGCGATTTTAAACTTATAATTTGAAATTAAAAGTCCAGGTTTCCTCACGATGTTTCCCTTCAACATCTGTCAGTAGTGTCTAAATACTCTTAAAAAGTACACATGACTCGGAATCACATTGATACTTGCCGGGTTTCGACACCGCGCCCTCATGCATGAGAGGCGGGCCTTTAATTACTAGGCCACCACTGAATAAATCCGCTATATATCTTATATTAGTAATATTTCATAAATAATTTGCTTCTTCTATATACGAAAAACCCCTTTAAACCCTAGACCATCAGGATAATTTAGAAGTATCTTAATTTCGTATTCAGTACAAACGCCAGTCGGGAAGAAAATCGTCGTGCGTTGATAGAAGACTCACAAGCTTTTGGTATAGGATGCACCGTGTTCTCTGTACTACAGTTTCTGTGCGGTGTAATCAGTGTCGATCTTTTTAATTATGCCGCATTAAGACAAGTAAGTAAACATAATAATTTTTTATACGTACACAAATATAAATTTAGTTCTGGAATATCTAAATGGTCGTATAAATATGTTCAAAATGTAAATCGAAATGGAGCTGGTAAAAAAAAATTAAAAAGAAATTACGTAATGAAATTTCATACACAATAAATTAAGGTAATTTTATTTGATGAATTTTTCATTACATATATTCTATTAAAATTTTAAATTAATGTTTATTTCTTTTTTAATCTTAAGGTAAATCAAGTCTTCCATATGTTAATATTTGTATATTTAATATTTAGACCCAGTTTCACCAATCAATGTTTGTTTTATCTAAATCCAGCATTTGCTAACCAACCTTCAAAATTATAAATGTCTGTTAAAATATTTACGTCTCACAATGACAAATTAACAACGCATTATTAAACGTCATGTCAAATGACCGACTACCAAATTATTCGTTCTTGTTATAAGACGACCAAATGGAAACTATAGCGTTAAATTCGGCACGTTTGCCACGATGAACCACTTTATATTTTGATCGTATATATACCTCGATACGTCACTTGTAAGCTAATGCGACCAAATTTTATATATCATTGGTTGCATACATTTAGCACACGAAAAGCTTTCTTTTCAATTTACTAGGTGTAACTTGTCAAAATCGTGTTGTCAATAAATTGTGTTATATATTATTGTGTTATAAATAGACATAAATTGTGCTCAAATTATAAGAAATAAAAATAAAACTTAATTTGCAATATCATAGAAAAGCTGGAGGCAAAATCATCATACTAAATGAAATTTTAATTCATTTTGTTAATAATAACAAGGAAATAGTCGAAACTCACAAAACAGATGACGTTACTATGGTTACAAGAAATCGGGGCTGTGATTGGACAGTTGAGTTTTGACAATTCTGTTAGCCATTAGACGGAGCTCCAGAGCAGGAATTAATATTAGTGGCTTGTTAAGACATTTAAACGGACATTTGTGCGTGGCGGGGCACTCGATACGTCGAAAAGAGCATCAAACGCCTTAACACGATGTTACTTATTTAACAATGATTGGTGAAACTGGGTCTTATTATTTTATTCGGTAACTAAGAAGTTAGTTCAGGGATATCTATATATTTTAAGATATAAAATGACATATTTAATACAAATTTTTATTAAATTAACAGATTGAGAGGGTTAAAGAACGATTTTTACAATCAGTTCTCCGTCAAGACATAACGTGGTATGATCTAAATACATCTATGAATTTTGCTACTAAAGTATCTGAGTAAGTATTGAACAATTCAAATTTTGTTTATATATATAATATTTATAGCTAGACTAATAAATATAATTTTATTGTGTTTTAAAGATTAACAAGTTAAATCGTCCTCATAACACAGTAAAATCAAGCCATGTTTACATTGCAACATGCATCAACTTCTGATAATAATTATTACCTACCCTCTTTTTTTAAAAATTTGCGAAATATTTAAGATTACATTATCATTAAGATGTATTAAAAGGTAATTTTTTATATTACAAACAATAGTAAGATTTTTGGTACCCAAAGAGTTCGTCTTCTAACTCCTAAATAAATTAAAGGCTGGGAAAACTATACCAAATAATGAGTGCATATATTTTTATGTATTATATAATGTTTTATTACAAAATTACCTGATAAATAAAACTAATATTTTCGAATTACTACGCGATATTTTACTCTCAAAACATGCCATACATTTTCATCTCGTCTGCCCGTGATCACGGTTGCTGAAAACTAACTGAAACGTTGGGAGATTGCTATTAAAAATAATTAAAAACGAGTAGTAAATTCAAAAATATTAGTTTCATTTAAATGAATACTCTCAAAGTGTTAGATCTCATTAAGATTACATGATGATAAATGAATAATTTGTCGTAGTGACGTTGAAAAGTATCGCGAGGGTATCGGTGAGAAAGTTCCCATGTTGATCTATCTGGTGATGTCTTTTGTGACGGCTGTACTTATATCCCTGGCATACGGCTGGGAACTGACCCTTGTTATATTATCATGTGCTCCTGTTATCATTATTACTACGGCTGTTGTTGCTAAGGTAATTATTATTATTATTATTGACTAATATTGTCACGAAATAAGGAACCTTTGTATACAATTAGTGTTTTTCAAACTGTGGGTCGCGACCCCTAGGGTTGTCGCGAAGAATTACTCGGGGGGGTCGCCGGCAAAAAGAAAAAGGTAAAGTTATAAACCATATTAAAACCCAAATTTTAATGAGAAGGATGGGCTTATTTATTTTTCAAAAGCATGTCAAATCGTTTTCCTATATTTGAAATATTATATATCAAATCAACTTGTAATTGAAGTTTATTTTTTCTTTTTGTTTTGATGTCCACCATTGCAGAGGATTTCTTTAACTTTATGTGTTTAGACTTTTAATTTAAGAATTTCCTTGCCTGTATATGGCACAAGGGGGTAGCTAAAATTTTTAAACCCGTAAAGGGGTCGCGATATCGAAAAGATTGAAAACACTGGTCTACAACATAATATACATTTTTCTCTATCTACCCTTCTTTCTCCTTAACATATAGTTTAAAAATTGTAGGTTCAATCATCACTGACTACAAAAGAATTAAAGGCGTATAGCATAGCTGGAGTTATCGCTGAAGAAGTCTTAGCTTCTATAAGAACAGTAGTTGCGTTTGGTGGTGAAGAAAAAGAAATTGAGAGGTTAATTATTTTACCAGTTTCCATACACTCAGTATATAATTATACGAGAATAATTTGTATACTTTTACAGGTACCAGGAGCGTTTGGCTCCGGCTAAGAAAACAGGTGTAAAGAAAGGAATATATTCTGGTATAGGCAGTGGTGTGATGTGGTTCATCATTTACGCTACATACGCACTATCTTTCTGGTACGGAGTTGGTTTGATCCTAGACAGCCGGCATCTGCCAACTCCAGTTTATACGCCAGCGGTGCTTATGATTGTAAGTATTTTAAATGTCTTTAAGATTGAAATCTTTTACTATGTGAAATTATATTTTTAACCATTTCTCAATACGGGTCGGTTAAGTAGGAGGCATGTGTTAAACCTTCAGGTTAAGAGTCATTTAATGTTTGATATCTTTTGAATCAATCTATAATTTTAATACTCTGGCTGTAATATTTGTTTTGGTAGGCTGATGGTACAACCAAGATATTTGGTTAAGATTTTAGGTAGATTATTTTCATTAATTTTAATGTAAAAGTTTGATTGCCACAATATAACGCTTATATATTTGTGAGATAAAGATCGAATCAGAATGTTTAGACTTTAGCTCAAGATGAGTATCGAGGACATCTTACAACAGATATCTAGGTTCCATTGTGTTTTGAACTTACACGTTGCAATGTCCAGTGAGCGGATGCAATAACGTTTCAAGAACATAAACTAATACCTTAAACACATATTGTTTACGCAGATTGAGTCGTGGGTATCAACTCGTATAATATAAATTGATAGGAAAGTTGTTTTTTAGGTATTCTTTAGTATTCTCCAAGGTGCACAAAACGTTGGTTTAACTGCACCACATCTTGAAGCCATAGCAAATGCAAGAGCATCAGCGGGGGCGATATTCGCTGTTCTTGATAGAAAACCGGCGATAGACAGTCTTTCAACTGAAGGAACAACTCCAGTACTGGACGGAGATTTAGAACTAAAAGATGTTTACTTTAGATATCCAGCCAGAAAAGACGTTCAGGTATTATACCCACATGAAAAGAAATACTATTACAGACCTAATAAATTATATTTATATATATGACTATTTTCGTAGGTACTAGATGGTCTTAGTCTAAAAATAAATCGCAATGAGACTGTAGCGTTAGTGGGTGCGAGTGGTAGCGGTAAGTCTACGGTGTTACAACTATTGCAAAGGATGTACGACCCGGATGTTGGGTCAGTGACCGCTTCCGGTCATGATCTACGTGATATTAACGTCAGGCACTTCAGGAACCATATTGCTGTTGTGGGACAAGAACCGGTTCTGTTTGCGGGAAGTATTAAAGAAAATATAAGGTTAGTATAACTTAGTTAAAATTTACAAAAATGTCAGGAAAACAGAAACTGTATTGATATAGCAAGATTTCAATATATAAATTTTGATCTAATGCTTGTAAACTGTATCATTTTTTATTGCTAATATAGTTATCTGGCCCTTACTCTATATAAGACAATATTCTAATCTGAAATGTTTTAAGATATTTTAAGAAGCGTTATTAAAATCGAATGCCTTATTTACAGAATGTTTAAATTTCGTTTATCTTTATAGGATGAGTAACCCAACTTGTACAGATGACGAGATTATAATGGCGTCTAAACAAGCTTACTGTCACAGTTTCATTAAACACTTGCCAAATGTAAGTAACAATTTTCATCATATTCTTTTTTATTGAAGTAAAAATTAATATATTCTATTAGGACATACATACAAGATTAAAAGTCATAGGAATATCTATTGCTTAGAAGAAACCCTTTTGTTATCGATAACAGATATATTTTCCCTTCCCCCAAATTCGGTCTTGGTTTTATCATTATTTTTTGGTCAGTGTGCTGTGAATAATATTGTAATGCACAATTTATCTAGGGTTACGACACAATGATCGGTGAGCGCGGTGCTCAGTTATCTGGTGGTCAAAAACAACGGATAGCCATCGCTAGAGCTTTAGTTCGAAAGCCCAAAATCCTTATTCTAGATGAGGCTACATCAGCGTTGGACTCACAGAGCGAGGCGAAGGTACAGCGGGCGTTGGACGCAGCGGCTTACGGAAGAACAACAATCATGGTCAGCCACAGGTATATTGTTGAGGTTAAAGAAATTAAATACTACTAGGTCCCAACTTCTAGCATAAATTAATCATTAAAACTGCTTAGAACTGATTGGTGAAGCAAAAACCCTTAATAAAACTGACTCGCTTTAGAAAAATTTGCTCAAAAACCGCATTGGACAACACATTTAAATTTATATTCTTAATGTTCTAAAGTTTACAGACCAATAATTGCTTTAGTTGAAATAAGTGAATTTAGTCAATGAAAGCGTGATGTCTATAGAATTTTACAAGCTTACATCCATACATATTTAGTAACAACAGCGCATGTAAAATGGTATTTAAATCTTGAGAAGTGTATATAAATAATTCTGATATTTTTTATATTTAACTTATTAGATTAGCAACAGTACTAAATGCAAACCGAATAGTATTCATTGAGAAAGGTGAAGTTTTAGAAGAAGGTACTCATGAAGAACTTTTGAATCTAAGAGGTCGTTACTACCAACTGGTGCTAGAAAATGAACCCAGTATAGCACCGAATTCAGATTCTGGACAACGTAAGCTTATTTACAGTACTAGTATGTAGTATTTAAGGAGTTTTCCTTAAAGATTAAACTTTCTCTCTGTGTATTTATAAATATTTAATAAACAGGACTTTGCCCACAAAAAGCTACAATGACACACCAAAGTAAGGTAGAACTAACTTGTCAAATTATTTAAATTCGCAGCTAATAATAATACTGTCACAGATCCTAAATTTCGAAGATCGAAATTGACCAAAATGGTATCTCTTGATTCTATGAAGAGTGATTCAGTAGATGAAGACTCTGGTTCAGAAGACAGTGTTGTGATAGAAGAGAAGGAAGAAAAAGAATTTGAACCGACCACGTGGCAAATTCTCAAATTATGTGAACCAGAAAAATATCTTATGTGTATTGGAATCTTTGCTGCTTTTGCCGTGGGATCATCTTTTCCGTGCTTTGCTATTCTATTTGGTGAGACTTATGGTGTAAGTGTAATGTTTATTAAATAAATAATTATGTTTTTTGTCAGAATACATATGTTATAAAAATGTCTTTCATATTCACAGCTCTTGGAAAGCAAAGATGAAGATTACGTTCGTCAAGGTACTAACTATATAGCAGTATTCTTTCTGATGGTAGGGATTTACACTGGGATTGGTATCTTCTTTCAAATATTTATTTTCAACTTAACCGGAGTCCGCCTCACTGCTAGGTTAAGGTAAGACATTTTTTTCATATATGTATATGAATCAATGGTTAAGAATGCTCTTTTTGTTTTTGTAAAATATAGATTTTTCTTTGGATTTACCGAAAATTTCTGTACTATAACATACGATTTCAAAATTTCCAGGTTTCTGTTTGCGTGATTTATTCTATAGTAATCACAAGTCTTTAAACTAATTAAAATAATTTTTCGGTATGTTTTATATGCTTAAATGTGGTAAATATCTACGATTATTAATTTTCGTTAGGGTGGCAGCTTTTCGTGCGATGCTTCGTCAAGAGATAGGTTGGTTTGATGACGCGGTGAACGGCGTCGGCGCTCTTTGTTCACGATTAGCAGCGGACGCGGCCGCCGTACAGGGAGTGAGGAACATACATTACCATACCAAATAAATAACGAATTCCTAGAACAAAATAAATAGATTGCTTTATATTAAAAGTTATATATCTCAAAGATAAAACGATCCTATGTTAAAAATGTTCTGAGATTCACATACATATATCCTTATATATTATTCAATCCACTTTACGTATACTTCTTTCATTAGATTTTGTCGAAATTTTACCAAAACTAAACATTTATGTATATACAGGGTGACTGGTGAATTACTATCAATATTTAAGGAGCATACTCGGTACATGATTCTCATTCGAATTATGTAAAAAAAATAAGCACTTAATTTTTGACAAAATTTCCGTATAAATAAATAAAGTGTGTACACGTTCCAAGTGTTCCTAGTGTGGACGCGTGCGGCGGCGTGCTGATACAACACTACGCCGCCGCCGCTCTGTGTGAGTGTGTGTGTATACCTAATCTGTAGGGTGTTCATACGATGCGTAATTAATTACATAACTTTTGGTTAACTTTACTTAGAAGTTTATTAATATTTATGTTATATTAATTTTTATTTTGTCATATATGATCGTCAAATATCGCGTCCTCAAATATCGATAGTAATTCACCAGTCACCCTGTATATCAAGTTAAACATGAAATTCTAGGCTACAGGCACGAGAATAGGTGCTCTAATGCAAGCATCAGCTACGATCCTCATAGGCATTCTAGTGTCAATGTATTACACGTGGAAGATGACGCTAGTCTCCTTGGTATCTGTGCCGATGGTGATTATAGCGGTGGTGCTTGAAGGACGGGTGCTGGCTGAAGGCATCGCGGCCATCAGAGAGGCTTCAAACAAAGCAACGACGATAGCTACAGAGGCCATTACTAACATACGGACTGTGTCTGCTTTCTGTAAGTTTCCTTGTAAAATATAATCAATAATCATACAATAAGCACATATTCTTTATGTATTAATGTTTTGTAGAACATTTTTTGTTCTAAACATGAAAATATTTCTTATGTTTAAGTTATTTACTTAATCAACCGATATGTTCCGTTGTTTTTCATGACGAAATATATACTATAGAGTTTCACAATTTACGTTTTATTTTATTAAGTATTATACTTTGTAATTTTAATTTTGCAAATTAATAAATACATACAAAGCACTATGCGCCATAAAGTACGTCTTAAATTTAAAATGTAAAATAGAAAAATATCAGTTAATATTTTAAGTTAAGGTAAATATTCTCAGACTTAGTGATCAAAGTTCAAATAAAATGCATTAACAAGAAAGAACGTGAACCTCGTAAACTTTTTCAATAAAATATTCAAAGCATTTCTACTCCAAAAGCAAAATATAATTATTTCAAAGTAATTATTGTGATAACAGAAAGTAAGCCGACACGTGTAGGTACGAAGAAAGCCTAAGAAGAATAAATTTAACATTAATTTTGTTGAAAAGACAAACATTATAATTACAAAGTAGCCGCACTTTTCTTGGGTAGAATTTTATCATATTTACAATATAAGTAGGATAATAATGAAGTACGTAATCCTTTCTATCCAGAATAAAAACGTAAGATTTCAGCTGAATTATATAAATACACTATTAATGAGTACAATCCTGGACTAAGAACATAATATTTGATCTGAATTAAGACATTTGCTTGGTCAATGGACATGTAATCTAAATGTTATAAATAGAGTAGTAATGAGTAGAATCCACTGGACTAAGATTATAATATTTGATCTGAATTAAGACTATTGCTTGGTCAATGGACATGTAATGGCATGTAGTGATTCAGGCGGCGAGGAGGGTACGTTGTCCCGCTACAAGAAAGCTGGTGGTGCAGCTCGTGTTGCAGCTCGGTCCAGCTTGAGGTGGAGAGGTGCTGTGTTCGCTTTCGGACAAACCGCCCCTGTAGCTGGGTACGCGCTTGCTCTGTGGTACGGAGGAGTATTGGTGGCTTATGGGGAAGTTCCCTATAAAGATGTCATTAAGTGAGTTAACATTATATTAAACTATTATGATTCTAAAGAAACTAGTTGATGATAGATTATTTTGACATTCTTTTGTACCATTTATGTGAATATTGACGTGTTTCGATTGTTAGTGAGCTAAATTGTATTCAAAGATTAGAAATACTTTTAGCCTGTATTGGATTTAATTGCGACATGATTACATCTTGGAAAGTCTGTAGAAACATGTATGGGACGATGTTAATAAAGCACCACAGAGTTACATTTGACTTTTAGAAGTTTTTTTGGAAGACATTTATTATATTTCACTGTTCAGGGTGTCTGAAGCTTTGATTTTTGGAGCGTGGATGATGGGTCAAGCGCTGGCTTTCGCACCGAATTTCGGAGCTGCAGTACTAGCGGCGGGGCGAGTCATGACGTTACTTGCAAGACAACCGCTAGTAGCTGATACTCACGCGCCCTCCGTTCCTGAAGCTTACGTAATTAAAAAAAAACCCATCATAAAATACATAAACAGCTATAAATACCGTTCAGAATTAAAAACAAAAATAGAAATTACTCTGAATATATCTTTTTCTGCATATTAATACATTTAAATGAACTAAAACTAAATTCATATCAAAATTTACTATAGACTTAATTTTACAATACTAAAATTCAACTCCCCAGGTAGCTGAAGGTAAAATTCAGTACAAGAACATAAAATTCCGATATCCGACTCGACGCGAGGTCCAAGTACTTCGCGGATTATCCCTATCAGTTTCCGTGGGCCGTCGTGTAGCACTTGTGGGACCCAGCGGGTGTGGGAAGTCCACGCTTATACAGCTACTGCAGAGATTATACGATCCAGATGACGGAAATGTGGTACGTTATAAGTCTAGTAACATTTTCCTCAGGATTTGCCAAGTCAAGACTATAAAATGCCATTAAATTATTTCCAGTACTTAGACGATCACAGCATAGTAGGCGACATGCGTCTTTCAACTCTCCGTCGTAATCTCAGTATAGTGTCCCAAGAGCCAGTTCTATTTGATCGGACGATTGCAGAGAACATTGCCTATGGAGACAACACCAGAAACGTCCCTATTGAAGATATAGTTTCTGCTGCGAAAGCCGCTAACGTACATTCGTTTATTGCTGCTTTACCTAATGTAAGTTGTACCACGAAAAGAACCATACTTACCAGATTAGTTATGAGACTGAAACCGAATAATCTAAAGGAATAATCATTAATTAATAGTATAAAGTTAAGATGTTATAGTGATTTGCGAATGTGTTCTTTATGTCTTTTATAATAAGGGTTATGAAACACGGATCGGTGCTCGTGCGTCCCAACTGTCCGGTGGGCAGAAACAACGTATTGCTATAGCGCGAGCTCTTGTTCGTGATCCGCGCGTGTTGCTGCTCGATGAAGCGACCTCTGCACTCGACACACACAGCGAGAGGGTAAAACATATATACAAACATTTAACACGCATAGACGCAAAATTAAACATATGGATAATAAACTGTTTTATTTTATAAAGTAATGGGTGGTTAATTTGGTAGTAAGAGATGTCGTCACATCAATAAAAATTTATAAGACTGAGTGTATGGAAACATTTTAAATGCGTCGCAAACTCTTACGTTACCAAAATAACCAAAAATTATTTTCCAGAACAAAAACAATTCTTTAGTTGAATTTCAGCGCTGATGGATTTATAACAATACCAATAATATCTAGCAGTTAAATCTGCTACGATTTAATTTATTCACTTTAAATGAAATACACAAATCGTGTTTCTTAAAATCTCTTTAATCATGAATTTGCAATAAAAGTGTTTATTGGTTTGAGTTGACTTATAAAAAAATGTTTTTCAGATTTACTACGCGTTTATTATAATTGTTAGGTGCATGTATTCTCTCATTTTCGGTGACATTGCAGAAACCATTATCACATGCATTTTTATCTTGTCCGCCAAATATTAGTTTTATTTCACTGAATACTCATCAGTTTTAGATCTCAAAAAAAATATTTATTAACTATCTTCAACAAAATGGCGTCTGCCATCTTTCATTATTCTCACCTTAGAATTACAACATTTATGTAATAAATAATTATGTTTATTAATTTAAGGTGGTACAAGAGGCGTTAGATCGTGCAAGTGAAGGCAGAACATGTCTCATAATAGCCCATAGACTTGCCACCATACAAAATGCTGACGTAATTTGCGTCATAGACCAAGGAGTTGTCGCTGAAATGGGGACCCATAGAGAACTTATAGCATTGAAGAAGATTTACGCGCGACTGTACGAATTACAATGCGGATTTATAGAAGAAAGCGAAGAAAACTTGCCCGAAGAAGCCGAGTAGAAGAATTACTTATGTATGATATAAGTCATTGTGTACAAATAACAAATGTATCTGTTGGAACGTGAAGTATTAGCCGAAATGTTAAGATTAATCAAATAATCTAGTCATCAATAATATATGATGGAATTATGTTACATAAATATTATATACATAAATTTATTATTAATTATTATTGCCAATGTAATGTACATTTTATTATATAAAAAATATAATCTGCTTCATAGTAATAATTTTTATAGTGTTCATACCTTAATACCATAAGTTATATTATACAACATCATAGCGCCAGGCTTTTTATAAATATTCCTATAATTTAGTTTATTTACCAAACCACATTACTTAAGACAATACCTTACATTCACAGTAAGTATATGTATATTTAATATATAAATATATATAGTATATATATTTAGGAACATTGCAATACCTCTAGGACCCAACTTCTAATTATAAAAAATTGTTTAATTTTGTTATCAAAAAACAAAAACTCTAAAGAAATCAAATAAATAATTTGTCTACATAGAAATTTTATTTCATTGAGTATTGTACATAATATATCATGATATTTATATAATAAAATATACAAAAATTGCGATTTGAGATTAGCTTGAAGTGCCTCCATTGATTCACGTGTCTTGTAATGCCTTAATAATTATTTTGGAATAAATCAAAAGATAATTTTAGTGCAATACATTAATAAATCATATATTTTTATTTACTAGTCATTAAAATTGTTATTTGAGATAAAAGTTCAATCCTAAAATGCCAGTATTCGCTTGTGCGTGCCTTTAACTTAACATTTAGCATTGTAATAGGTTGAGAGGAAAAGCAATTGTTACTATGTAGATTCAATACAGATGAACTTCAAAACAACCCTCCTATAGCATTTTTATGAAGAATAAAATAACAAAATGTATTTTAAGAAAGAATATAATGTTGCCAATTTCAAGCTTATTCTGTTATTTTTAGTATGTTTAGCTGATTAGATTATAGCCTTAAAAAGTTAGATAATATTTTTGTATATTACAATATTTAACTATTATATAAAAATAGTATTAATTGTAGCTTGTAATAGGATATAGTAATAAATTGTGAATTTATTACCTTTCTTTACTTTTAATCCAACCACATCAACAATAGATGAATGAAGAAATAAAAATTTATTTGTAATATATATGTTACTTTAATATCTATTATTCTTAAAAAATATATATGTATAAATAAATAAATTCCTGTCACTTAAAAAAAATAAAAAATAAAATGGGATTTCAACATGACAATACAAGAAAATAACAAGTTTATTTGAGAATATACAATTTACTAATAAAATTCTAACCTTCAGTTTATAATATCTACATAATAAAGATCAATAATTTGAACAATAGTTGGTAATTTAAACGTTCCCTATAAATTACATTTCATTCTTTTGATTTTACTTCAATCACTTTGAATACTACAAACATATATACATTACGTATTAACATACAAAATCAACATTTACTTTGACGTTTTTGATAAGATACGGTTAAATAATTGTCTATATTCAACAAGATAACAAAACAGAATCCCAACATACGTAATAATCTCCATATATATCTTTATAACATACTAAAGGCCAGACTATAGTATAAAAAATTCGTTTAATTCCTAGCAACGGCTTCATAATGTTGCAAGGGGCTGTTAGGTTGTACACCCCTGATGAATGGCTCCAAGTTCTTGTAATAAATATCACCAGCAAGTTCCTCGGGACCAACTTCTGGTTCAGATTTCGCCATCTTAACGGCTTCATCTACCTCTTTGCGGATCTTAGTATCTATTTCCTGTTTGAAAATATTAATAAAGTATGAATAATTATATACATATTACTAGCTTTCCGGAAACAGCTTTGCCCGCGTGGATTTTAGTTATATCGCGTTTCCAAGAGAACTTTTCAAAAGTCTGGGATAAAAACTATCCTATGTTCTTTCTCAAGGTCAACTCTATGTCTATACCAAATTTCATTAAAATCAGTTCAGTGGTTTAGACGTGAAAGCGTAACAGACAGACAGACAGACAGTTACTTTCGCATTGATAATATTAGTAATGAATGGTTTGGATCATAAGCTAACGTACAAATAAATTATTTACTGGCAAAAATTTATGAGATTTCAACTGAGTATTTTGCAAGCTAAAACATAATAATCAAATAGGACTTTAAAACATCTGAATTAACATCATATCATTTCAAGGTCATTACATATTCATGAAATATATATGAAAATTATGCTTATCAGATGGAAATCTCTCAAAATATATATACCTTAAGCTGATCAGCAGTAGCGAGTCCGTTTGATAGTATCTTTTCCTTGAAGGAGGTTATAGGGTCCCTTGTTTGTCTCACAGCTTGTACCTCGTCCCTAGTTCTGTATGAAGTTCCAGGGTCTGACATAGAGTGACCCGAGTAGCGATATGTCTCCATTTCAATTACGAGAGGACCTTGAAAAAAATTGCAAAAAAAAATCTTTCATATAGGATTTATCAGTCTGTAATGTAATACAGTCGCTAATTCCGTCTAATCCCAATGTATATGCTAAAGTATTTTAGACTTAGATTAAACGTTTTGGTGTTTCTTTTAAAATTTATTGTAAATTTGTGAGTGAAATAATGAAAATTTACATATTATCTAACATTTATATGAATAATGGAATCAAAATTTTTATTGGATATCAATGGGGCTGCTGATGTGGCCTTATATAGGTATCTTTCAGCACAGCGGGTATTTAAGGAGACTAAAATGCCCACAAATGTGGATAAAAACTTCTTCTCGCATTTGGATAAAGCGATATTTTTTTTCGTTTCTCTTACATACAGCAGAGAATTGGCTTAATTTGCCTGCATATGTGCTTCTTGGCACGTATAATTTGGATGTATTCATCATGTTGGCGTTAATTTAAATATACATGTCTATTTACCGTTACATGGAATATTAGTCAAGAACTATCCTCTAAGAGAACAAATTTTAAATCATTTGCATATATTCGAAGCCAATAACATTACACAAATCTATTATTTTTATACCACCACTTTCCCAGCTCTTTCAATTTTCGTCCAATAGATTAATTATTTCTTCCACTAGACATGATTAACAATATAAATACATATTCTTTATTCACATTACTGATATTACGAACACATCATCTTATATAGTACAGAAATATTAATCACCATATTACAAATACTTCAAAACAAGGAAAAAACAGAAATTTATTGATATACTAGCTGCGGCCCGCGGCGTTACCCGCTTATTTACGGGATTTCCGAGATTTCCGGGATGTTAAGTAGCCTATATGTTATTCCTGAACGTCAGCTTCCTATATACAAAATTTCATTAAAATCGGTTCAGCCGTTTGAGCGTGAAGAAGCAACAAACATACACACACACTCACAAACTTTCGCAATTATAATATTAGTAGGATATAAAATATTACCTTTTCCGCTAGTGCAATAGTCAATTGCAAATCTAGTTGCTTCCCTAGTAGTGACAACATCCATGCCATCTACCCATAGTCCAGGAATATAATCACCTCGGCTGTAATAATCCGTACTGGCAGAAGAACGCTCCACACTTGTACCCATACCTACAACATACAACTTGATAAGGGACAAATTTTAATTACACTCACATAAAATACAATTAATTCTCATATGTTGGCCAATAGTATGTTTAAAATTAAGTATCTCAATTCTACAATAATCATTAACAAAGCAAAAAGATATCTTGATATATCAATTAAAAATATAGAAATATTTTATCACTAAAGCCACCAAAAAATATCCTCTTAATATGAATATGTTTAATAATTTCATTTATAAATAATATATGATACGTTGATAATGTTAGTACTTACCATAACCATTGTTTTCGCAAACAAAGATACAAGGTAGATTCCATAATTTTGCCATGTTATAAGCTTCAAAGATCTGGCCCTGATTGGCTGCGCCGTCACCATAAAGAGCGAAGCAAACTCCACCGTCGTTACGGTACTTGTGAGCGAAAGCTATACCCGCGCCCAATGGGACCTACATACATACACGATATGAAAGAGATCCATCGAAACAAGATAAAAAATGAAAACAGTAACAAGCAAACCACATTTCTGCTTGAAACTATATCTGTTCAAATAAATTAAAATTGGTAGAATTAAATTGAATGTATGAACCAAACAGCATTTTTTATTTCTTTGATCCAGAGGCTTTAGAAATTGAAATATTATGCCATTGAATCTGTCCAATACTTCGTTTATATGAAATGGCGTTAAATATATAATTTTACATATTTAAGTTATTTACAAAATATATTCTGACATTTACACATAATTTTCAAGATATAATAAAATGCAACATATACTAACTTAATGAGATCTAAGACTTTAATATTCATTAAAAAGAAACTAAATAGATAGTAGTAATCTAAAAATATTAGTTTCATTTAGATATATTAACTCACCTGAGCACCGACAATACCATTTCCTCCATAGAAATTCTTGGCATACAAGTGCATAGAGCCGCCTTTGCCTCTTGAACAACCAGTTCTACGACCGGTCAACTCACTAAGGACCCCGAGAACACTCACTCCCATAAGGTATGTCCATCCGTGACAACGATATGCAGTTATCAATGAATCAATATCCCTCATAACGGAATGCATTCCGACGGCAACCGCTTCCTGTCCTACAAAATTAATTATGATGAAAGTATAATACATATTAGTTTTGGCTTTAAGATAGATAAAGATATGGTAATTTTACTTATGTTAAAAACGACAGTATTAAATTCAAATGTAACAATTGATTTTCTTATATGTACAAAGACAAACAAATGTGTGCATCCAGAAAAATTTTTAGGAATGTTCCATCATAGATCATCTTGAAAATTACTGGTGTTGAAATGTTGAAAGATATTTTAAATAATGATTAAACAAAGCAATGATATTTAAAACTCAAATAATATTTGTAAAATTATAATTTACAGACACATGTTTATGGCCTAAATTATTCTAACGGGTGTTTTTTTTAGAAGTATAGAACTTTGAAATAAAATAAAACAAAATTGATTTCTTTTATTGATATGAAATATAATATTTTGAAAAGATAATATTCTTTCATTATAATTTAAATAAGATTTCAGGCATATGACCTCCACGACTGGCTCGTACGTAGTTTAATCTGGAGGTCCAATTTTCAACGAATTTTTCCAACATTCGTGACTGTATATCGGCAATAACGCAACGAATGTTACCCTCCAAGTGATCAACGACTTTGGGCTTATCAGCATAGACTAACGACTTTACATATCCCCCACAGAAAATAATCAAGCGGCGTTAAATCGCATGATCTTGGAGGCCAATTCACGGGTCCGAATCATGAAATTATGCGGTTACCAAATGTTTCTCTTAATAAATCAATTGTGGCACGAGCTGTATGACATGTTGCACCGTCTTGTTGAAACCAGAACTCCTGAACATTATGGTTGTTTAATTGATGAACGAAATAGTCACTAATCATCGCTCTGTAGCGGTCACGATTTACTGTAACGTTCTGGCCAGCATCGTTTCTAAAGAAGTACGGACCAATTATTCGGGGGATAGACTGATTCGGGTCTTCTTCTACGCTACGCTCCAAAGCAGAAATAACTTCTTCTGTACGCACTGTAGGACATCTCTGTGGATGCGTATTATCATTTAGAGTAAATGTAGTGCGAAAACGTTCCATTGTTAATCAAATTAATTATTCTGATGGACGATTATGTGGAATTTAAAATGGACGTAGTGCGCGATACGTATTTCGAACAGAGCCATGATTTTCAAAATGAATTTGAACAATTTGAAGGCGTTGCTCAGGCGTTAGTCTATTCATGATGAATTGCCAAAGCAAATTAAACACAAATCACTGGACAGCTGTCAAAATAACTGCCAGTTAAAAAAGTATTGGCAACTTAAAGTTGTATATCTCTAAAAAAAACACCCTTTAATTGCAAGAAATGTTTAAATGTACTTAAAATCCAAAATAAACCCAACAATAACTTATTGAAATCTTTGCTTGTTTTTAATTATAGGACGTTTTGAAAAGCAAAAAATTTGAAATTTATATAAAAAATAAATAAATATGTCTGAACATTAAACGCTTTTATATTAAATTTGTTTCTTTTAGCACAAATAGCACCATTTTTTCTATATAAATGAATTAATTAAACCTAAAATCATATAAAATAGTAAGAACACAACAGAATTTGTGTGATGTATACATTTTCTTACCTGAATATAAATGACAGAAGCCTCTGACGCTCTTCTCTTTGTACAGATTTCCCGAGGCGGTTTCAATCCTTCTAATAACGGCCAATTTCTCATACATCCCGAGAGCATCTTCGGCTGTTAGTGTGGCTGATGAAGCAGGACCTTTCTCCAGTTTATGGAGTTTATAAGGCTACAAAGATGTATCAATATAGACACATGTATGCACATATTTTCTCAAAGAAAACTGTTTACAGAATGTTATGGAAATATTGACATGAAATTGTCAGTTAAATGCAAACAATATTTGTTTGACATTTGAAGGTTATATTACATAATTGATACTTCCTTCAATAAAAAAAGCGCATAAAATTAATTATAATGCAATATATCTATAAAAGAGTATGTAATGGATATGTGGACATTTTAAATGGTATATTTTATTACCTTAGTTTCAAATGTAGCTTCGTTTTTTGTACTGTATTTTGCGTTCGTAATGACAGCGATTGGGGCGACTTTCTAAAAGAAACGAGATATATCACTTTAAAAAAACTCTTTATGATAATGCACTTAATATTATAAAACGGCACATATGGTTGAAAACACAGTTATTAATAAAAATATCACACCGTTGTAGTTGTTACACCGCCAAGTAGTTTACCAAAGGATGGAATAAGCTTACTCATGTTTTCGATTATTTTTTCAAAAAAACCCAGTTTAATTCTTTATTTGGTGAGTTCAATGTATATTAAAAAAAATGTTAAGAATTTAAAAACGGCCAGCCCCCGACAACTACGAATAATTAATAAGCTTTGACAGCCGAAAATTACATGAATTTGACATAGGAGGACAAAAGGTTAGTTTCATACGGTCGGAAACTGTAAAAAAAAATTATACATAATATTTAAAATCACGGTATCCAGTATATTATGAAATATTATTGGACTTTATATGTAACGCTTTATTATACATAAATAATAATGTAAAATTTTCATCTTGTGTTGGATTAATTTAATTTTTAATAATTAATTTTAATAATCTAATTTAAGACATTGAAATTATAGGTAGGGAAATAGCTTATCAATTTATTATAATTTAGTACTTTCTAGTCCTTGTGCATAACAATAAATTTAACTTTATTGAAATTGTAATGATAAAGTAGTTATTCTCAAAAATATCTTATTGGGAGTTTTATAAATTTGAAAGGATCAAACAAAAAAATTGCTTTTAAAAGGCCAAAATATTTTCAAATGTAGGATCATTTTAATTATTTCAAAAATCCCATAAAATAAATGCAAATATTATCCAACGTGTTTCACAGAGGTCGTGCACCGGCACGAATCAACAATAATAAAACAAGACATAAATATAATTTTGTTCTCTTTGTTTGCATTTTTAATTAACCACAGTAAAAAAAGCATTAAATTAAACAACAATAACCCCTTGTGCCACATTTCGTTCAAATGAGATTAAAACGATTTTCAATTTAAGTCAAAACATGAGAATTGGGCAGGTTGCTATACTAATGGGGGCTCGTTGTAGTTTTCCATGAACAGCCAAATATGTATATATTATTAAATGCCAACAATCCTTCAAGTAGGACAATGACCATCATCAAAGTCGACCTGCACTCCTTGAACATCTGCTTTTAAAGCTGCGGTGAAATGAGCTGTGTTGGATGCCGAAACATCACCTAAATCTAAGTGACGGTTTCTATAAGTAATGCATGTATCAATATAATAGGTGCTAAATTCCGGATACTTTACAGTTTAAAAGAATGCGGCTTTTGTATCAATTTTCTGCGTAGGTTTGCTAGGAAATTCAAGCAATTTTACTAAAAATATTTGCACGTCTTGTAACTTCGATACAATGTGGTTAATAACTGAATACCAAACATTTTAATAATTTGTGATTATACACATGGAATAGGCAATTTAAAAGACACACATATTATCACAACTATGAGTCAAAAGGTGACTGAAATAAATTATGCAGATCATGAAGTAATGAATCATTATTATGATTACAATATATTCATATTTAATGTTCTTTTTTAATAAATACTTGCACCAACTGATACTTAGATGTTTTATATTTAAATATTTAAATGTTTTCATTCATGTTAGAAGGAATAAATACTAAGGTATAGGTTGAAATTGTTCATGAACCAATTTTGACGAATTTTCGTACAGAGATAAAATGAACCCTGAAGAAAAATATATAGGCTACCTTTTATTCCGATCCCGATCATTAAACCACAAGGGTGCAACCATGAAGTGCACTTAGTAACTATTCAGTGGCTCTAGTGGCAGAGAATAACTCTGATGTTCACGCGGACGAAGTCGAGGGCAAAAGCTATATTGATAATAATCAACAAGGATGGTAAACAATTATCTTAGGGTCATAGGAAATGGATAAAGACAAATCAAAAGTGTGGAATTTCCTTAAATCCGCCCAATACGGTCGTATAAAAAAAATCTAAATAACGATGTTTCTGCTTCATTTGATGATGCTACTAAGTATATATAAGTCAACTTTATTTAATGCTCTTAGACGAATATTTTAAGTATTGAGAAGAATATTTTAACTGTAGAGTTAGATGCAAATAATACTGATGCTATAAGTGGCAGAAAGATGATACACAATTAGAAGTTATAAGGTGCTGTCGAATAGTTCATTTGAAATAAAAAATATATAAAAAGCTTTTATTATGTAATACAATTACGTTTTTAACATTAAAGCAATGTTGTACTAGTACTGAAATTAATGTATTAAATTACTTTTATTCACTGACTTGAGTTGGGATGTAACAATTTAATTGGAATTAAATTAACTGGAATGCAATATTCTGAAGTTATTATATATTCTTGCAAAAACATTGTCTTTTTGTCTGTTTTCATGTGGATGTCAATGACATTCAGAGTAAGAACCACAACAGAATTGGCATTATTTCTTTTCTAAATGAAAAATGCTTCTATATACAGTAAGTAGTTTATTTCTTTTTATTTCTTTTTATTGAATGTGGTGTATATAAAATGGATGTTATTCCTCACTCATAGAATTTTTATACCATGTTCGTGGCACATTTACTATAATAAGAGTGTGTTGTATTAAAATGTCTCAAACATAACACACTACTTAAACTATAGGTGGAATTTAATAATGAATGAAGAATCTTTGATGATGCCTCAAATATGTGTTCTGAAAATTGTAAACAAATTTGAACTGGCTTAGTGGAAAACTCAAGTACACTAATAATGAATCAAGTTATAGTGTTTATATTGCTCAATGATTAAAAATATTTCAAATAAAGGTAACTCTATATCATGAAGGTGTTTCTAAGGTGATTGCTATATATCTGGCACTTGTTTTAACGCCTGGATAACATGTGTAGGGTTTTAGAAGATATTTTACAACCATAAATAACAAAATATGTTGAGAGTATTACAAACTCGACTAATACATGAATTTTGAAATGTTGTCTCAACTGCCCTGTTAGTTGACGGGTAAATTATGTTTAATTTTATTTAAATTCTCTAATCATTGCAAGGATCATTCTATGTAGGTAGTATAAATTGTAGAAAATTTTGCCGAAATCAAAGTTTTACTTATGTTGTTAATTTAACTCTGATTACTTCATTACTATTTACTAAAAGTTATTAGTCTTTGACAGCCAAAACGCTATGAAATTGACATCTATATTTATTTTAATACGTTTTAAAACGAAGGACTTTTTTGGATGTATTTTTATTTAGGTTTGTTTCACTGTACTCTAATCATGATTTGTAATAAATACTGAATGAAAACGAAATTATAATTTATTGAAGTTTAAATTTTAGAAAAAAAACTTCAAACAGAATATAAATAGTTTTATCAACTTTTCCTTTTGTACCGCTATCATTTTTTGCAAAATATCTGATAAGTTAATAAAATACAAAATGTAAAATTAGATTATACGAGCCATAAACTTACTAAACTAATTTATAACATAATTTTACTTTAACAAATTTTTAATTTCACAATTCACTAAACATGACATGTGACATTGACATTTTAAGTTAAGAAAATGTCTTATCAACTTTCATGATTCATCAGAATTTTGCATTTACTAACTAGTAGTATGAATAATAGATTTCAACTTTGCGCAACTTGTATATATAGAGTAAACACATCAATATTTCATCATTCTGTAACAAGCTAATTTGTGATTAACCATACCATCGATCTTTTGTTGTTATTGTTATAAATACAATACGAAAAACAATGGAATTTCCACATATAGGAAAAAACTGTTCATATAAGACATGCAATAAACTGGGTAAGCCAACATACTTTCATTAATATTTTCTGATTCCAAATATAATCGTAACAATTATCGGATTTCTAGAATATTGCAAAATTTATAATAAAACACCATATTTCAGACTTCCTGCCAATGAAATGTGACGCATGTAAAGATGTTTATTGGTAAGCTAATGATTTCTCAAATAATTACTCTTTCTTTAAACTTTATATTGTTAATAATTTTAATCTACCCACATGTTAATAAAAAGTGGTGAAATACTTGTGGAAAAAGTTAAATTTCTTTTGAATGTAACTAATACTTTCGGATTACTTCGACTATTTTTTATTTATAAACTACATACTCCCGATGTTTTGGTTACTTTGCAGCAACTGTGATTATGGACCGACTAGATAGATCTCATTAAATAATACTGTTATTTCACAATTAAGTTAATAAATCCATTTAAACACAAATTACTTTTATTACAGCTCTGATCACTTCACATACATTAAGCATGAATGTCCAGCATCAAATTCTAAAGATGTACAAGTGCCACAATGTCCTTTATGTGGCGCTTTAGTGCCGGGAAAAAGGGGTGAGCCACCAGATGTTGCTGTCGGTGCTCACATAGACAACCAATGTACCTCAGATCCAGCTAAGGAGAGAAGGAAAAAGGTTAATATTAATTCTATTTGCATTGCTCATAACAGTTTTGTCTAAAACTTTAACAGTCAAGGTCCATGAAAGAAATCTGCACAGAAAAAACTGTGTAAAGTGTGATAAAACAAGAGATATGAAACTCAACAGCAGCAACATAAATAGTCATTGGCATAAATTCACTCAAAATTCTATTGTTTTGTCATTAATAAAATTCTGGGATGAATTTGTATGTTGCCTACATCTTATTTTGATGATAGGCTACATTATTCTAGTTTTAACAATATCTGTTCAGTTATTTTTGCCTGAGAGAGCAACTAACTAAATGTATGGAATCAACATTCTTAGTATGTATTTTTGGATAGAGTGGACCCGCGGTAATCCGGCCCCTGTCTAATCCGGCACCCCTTGTAATCCGACATGATCTATTATTTGTTTTTTTGTAAGTTCTCTAGCATTAATGAGGTTAATTTCATAATAAGACGTAAGCTCTCTATTGTTGTTTAATTGACTAAATTTGACATACATAATGAAGTATAATTTGTACTTCAGAGTATTATAATAATCTTATTATTGAATCTGTAATTTGTCGGATTACAAGGTACTCTTTTGTAAAAAAATCCGGACTATAGGGGGTCTTAGGCAGTACTCTATAATCCGACGAATTCGATAGTTCGACACTGCCCTGCAAAATGTTTGTCGGACTACCGGGGGTCCACTGTACTATTATAGTGTAATATTTTATAATATGTAACATTGTAGAACTTTCTATGGGAATGGTGTGAAAGCAAACTATAAAAATAAATTATAAATGTTCTAATTAATACACTGAAATTTAAGGTCAATATAATTTTCACCTTATTCATTATCAATTTACAGGTGTTCACAAACAGATGTTCATACAAAGGTTGCAAGACGAAAGAAATGGTGCCTTTAGTGTGTGTTGAATGCTCTTTGAATTATTGTTTACGACACAGACATGCTGCCGACCATATGTGTGAAGGAAAATTAGCTGCTAAAAGACGACAAGCTGCGTAAGTGGAACTTACATCAATATAATAATATTATTAATGCAATTCTTTGTTCCCAATCCGAAAAACCAATCATTATATAACTTTTAATACATAGGAAAAAAATATAAAATATTTTTTATATTTGTCGGAGTAGGAACTAGGAAGCACTTGGTGTTATTTTTTAAAAGAGTGACGTCATCAAAAACTCAATTTTAGACTATTGTCAAGCCTTGAGGCTATAGTAACTCACAACTGGTTGGAAGAGTACTTCACTTCTAAGAGGTCAGATGCCCTCAATGGCTTGAGTGAAACTATTTTTAATCTGCACTTTACCCTCTATTTATACCAACCAACACTCATTACTGTACTTGCACAGTCATGAGGGTGACACCTGACAATTTCAATTACCCATAATTATTGATTATTCAAATAATAGTAATTGCACAAATATATATTATATATGTTAGTCTAAATATTCACTTTCTACTTTGTAGTAATGCGGCGATGGCGCGACTTAAGGCTAAAGAGGTTAACTTACCAAATAGGACACCTGCTGCAGTTGCAGCTAATAATTTCACAGAGGTGCAAGGAAACATGGTAAGAAAAAAAATATATATATTAAATACAAATTTTGTATATAAATTAACAATAATATGTGTATTGCAATTAATTATATTGCCTATTCTTTTCTATCCTTCTTTTCAAAACATGCTCAAACTTATTTTGTCTACTGCCAACTTTGCGAATAAATTATTTTAAAGCGCCCCATTTTTTTACCTACTGAAATACCACTGTAACTTATCCCAGCTAAAGCAAATTACAAATCACTTTAATACGCAACACCCCTACTTTTATTCTGGGTGTTTTATTGTCCTCCTTTCTGCCTGCCCCATGAGAGGGCGTTGTCATCTTCATTAGGAAAGCAATTCTATTCCATATAAAATATCAGAATAATTAAAAAAAGTAATTAAGTCTAATAGTTGTTGTTATAAGCTTCTTTGCATTATACTGAAGTATAATTATAGTGCAAAATTCCGTTGTTTCAGACTGAAGACGAAGCATTGGCTCATGCACTAGCATTATCCCTACAAGAAAATGGTAATGTGCATACAAGAGACAATAATTTTGCTAGAGCGCTTACAAGACAAAGGGTTGGAGGTGAACAGAATTCACGTTGTACAGTTTCGTAGCATTTAATATCATAAAATATATTTTAGAACTAAACTGAACAATTTTTATTCCATCAATATATAAAATTAAATAAATTACTATCAGATATTTGCTGTTGCTTAAACGATAAAAAAAAATGTTACACTATTAATTAAAATTATATATTTGACAATAATATCATCACTGTTTATAAATAAGCCAGCTGTTATTGATTAGTATAAAAGTAAAACAGATTATATAACAAAAGACATAGATTATATATTTTTATGTAATGGTTAGATAGATAATTTAAAAAATATGTACATTCTAAGAGTTAATACCGTTTTTTTCTGTTTTACGAAATGCTTTCTTGATTAAGTGACAAAAAAGCTTGTAACTATATTGCAAGAGATGCTTATTTTTTAAAGATGTAATAAATAATTTCGAGCACTGTATAAATGATATTTCTTGACAATTTTATTGTTATAATTATTTGAATAAATGCACTAATTTCCTCATAAAAAAATCACTATGCAAAATTTTATTAAATCTTAATTCTACAGTTATGCTTTGTCAAAAAAAAAAACATATATAATTTTAAATATATTAAATATGATTTGTTTTAAACCCTATTAAGTTGTTTTATTTATTATTTAGCAATTTAAAAGTTAAATTTTCTGAGTCCTATGAAATATTGAATTAAATAAGGAATTAAAAAAAAAACAATATAAAAGTATAACATTTGTATAATTTAAAGTATGTATAATTCATTTGGTTTATTATGTAATACATTTACCTCAAATATCACTAATAAATTGTATATAGATTAATGATATAAAAAATACATTTCTTTAATTTAAAAATAGTCATAATTGAAAAAACTCACCCATCATAAAAATAAGTAGGAATTACATGAAAAATAAGAAAAAGTGCATTTGTTCTTGAAACAATTGCTATATAATGATTATATGTATTATCCATAAATGTATATAAAAATGAATCCCTTTTTCCCTTGGTCAAGACATCACGCGTGAATGGCTGGAGTGATTTCACTAATTCTTTTATTGTATTTGTTACTAGTTTTTGCCCGCGACTTCGTCCGCGTTAGTTTGGTCAAGAGTAATATATGTAGGTATAGCTGACCGGGCGAACTCTATTCCGTCTTAGAGGCCATAAATAATCAGGTTTCCTGTTTCAATCAAACAGAATGATTGACATATTAGTTAGTTGTCAAATCTAATGTCGAAAAAAACGTTTGTATGGGAAATAGAAAAGGGCTGTTTTTATGGTTTTCCCCGTAATAAATCAATTTTTCTCAGCTTTTATACCTTCCCTGAACCTCCACGAACATTTCAAGACTAAGATAAGATAAATCCGTTCAGCCGTTCTCGAGTTTTAGCGAGACTAAGGAACAGCAATCCATTTTTATATATATAGAAGAAGAAGATAGAAGATTACTAGAAGAAGTTTCCATCTAAGAAAAAATTACGAAATTACTAGAAAAAATATTACTACAATATTTTAACTTTTCTAATAAAATAATGTGTCACTGACAGTAATATTCACGTAGTTACTATTAAAACAAAGACAAATTAAAACAAATTTACATGCTCTTTGCAAATACATATATCGATCGGAGTTGGTATGTGACTGGAGTTATAATAACAAAATACCTACATAATTCAGTTAACATTTCTTAGTGTACTTTTCACATTGGTTTCTACAGGATAATTTGTACTGTGTGTAACAGATATTTCTTGATTATAGGGCGGTACGACGTTCGCCGAGTCAGCTAGTTAAATTATATATTTACCTATGCCTTTGGTATACAGATTTAGCTTATTATATATAAATATAGATACATATGTATTCCCCAATTTTACCTGGATAATTTAAAGATTACTCAATAGAGATTTGTTATGTAATGTCCTGAATTTATGATTGTCATTTAAATAGCTTGTTATAAACTCAGGTGGATTTCTTGATAGAAATAGCTCCAAACACATATATTTGGCTGCTGTTAGACGTTTTCTTTCAGCGTTCGATCGACAAAGATTTTTGTGGGCGTGTGAAGCAAAATTTGATGCAACCTTTTCCACAAGTTTTGGTGTAACATTTATATTTAGATCATCTTCTAAAGCGGGCTGGAAATAAAAATATGTTATATAATTCTAAGTGTACAACAAAAAATTATGTCCAAAGCTTACGAAAGTACATTTTTTGACATCTTGAAAAAATATATACCTATCTCTACTAACATTATAAATGCGAAAGTAACTCTGTCTGTCTGTCTGTTACGCTTTCACGTCTAAACCACTGAACTGATTTTAATGAAATTGACCTTGAGAAAGAACATAGGATAGGTTTTATCTCAGACTTTTCAAAGTTTCTATTGGAAACGCGATATAACGGAACTCCACGCGGGCGAAGCTGCGGGCGGAAAGCTAGTATTTTTTATAATTTCACTTTAAAAAAATAATCGACTGAACTATAAGTGATCAAGTAGTTTCAAAAATATTGTTTTATGATTATACATAGTTAAATAACTAACCCCAAATCTGATCCATTGCCATATTTGTGCTCTCGAAATCTCAGCTGTGGCTGAATCTTCTACGTTGCTATTATAAAAGAAATGTCCGATTCCCGCCAACCAGTGATAAATAAACAAGATAGCGACTGCTACGTTGTGTTTTAGACCTTGCATGGTTACACCTCCGCTTGGAATTGTCAATAAATCTTGTGCAGTAACATTCAAGTCTAAAATACGATGGATCTGATTCGGTAAAGCTCCACTCTTTTTCCATAACTGTAAAATGAAACATACGTTAAATCTTGGTTATATAACAAATTGTTTGAAACTCGATGCAAGTGATAGAATTAAATTAAAGTGTGTTTGTGTTTTTTTTATCTTTATAGAACTACCTTGACAAAATTTGTTATAATTATGTTTAGTTATTTAGTTTAACACGTTTTACTTTATGTGATAATTAAATACCTTACATTTAGTACGACTTTTAATTTAAATTATCATATTAATTATAAAAACCAAATAACTTTCATCACAATATTCAGTCCAACTTTTCTAATACAATTTTTTTAATATTTCAACCTGAATGTTTCATGAATAAACATCTTGATTATTCCTTCCAGGAATTCAAGACTTGGATTTTCATTAATAGAGTTATATGTGAATTTACAAGGGGTTTCTATAATGATGATAATACTCACTTCATTGACATGGGGAACTATACGTGAATCATACACCATGAAACCATCTACACCAGATTCTATTTCTTTCATTTTGGCTTCCAGAACCTTATTTATAATTTTCTTTGACCTGTAATAAAATATTTTTATTTTCAGTAAATGATTATTGCTATTGGCATTTGGCATTAGGCATTACAAGCAGAAATATAGCAGATAATTATTTGAGTAGCCATGAGAAATATATTATTTGGAAGGAATCATATATGTACTTTGTGTATCCAAAACACTAAGATAAGACCAATAAAAGAATATACTATATATTTAAAGTTAATACCCATTATCATTCCCATCTGTTCCTGGATTCAGTACAGCTGCAGCCATTCCACCAGTGGCTAAAGCACCTCTGGCGTGACATGTATTGACAACTATCTTCATATAGCTATCAAGAAACTTGCGGTCCATATTAACATACTTATTTCTATCAGGAAGTAAAAATTCCTTTCTGTCCCCTAAAAATATTTAAATTATTTTATTTTGACGGTGTATTAGTGTTAAGAATAATAATAATTAATGAATATTGATTATTCTCAGAAAGAGTGGGCAGATCTAGTTTTCTTTTACTCACCAAACTTTGCTATTATTGATGCACAATAATCCCATATCCCACAATTTAAACCCATACAATGGTCCTTAAGTTCAAATAAAATTTCCTCTAACTCAAATGTAGAGAGAATATTTTCTATTAAAACACAGGCCTTGATAGTTCCATAGGGTAGGTCGAGTTGTTTTTGTGTCCATACAAAAATCTCATTCCAAAGTTCCGCTTCATTTGCTCCTTCTAGTTTTGATAAGTAAAAATATGGTCCACTATTGGCTTCATACAGCTTCTTAGCATTATGATACATAAGAATACCAAAATCTACTAAGGGACCTATTGCCTCCTTGCCATCAATCTGTAATGAAAAGAAATATATTAGCAAACTATTTTATGTATGTTATTTTTATTAGTATGTTTGAATTTTTTATTCGAGCTGTCTTAAGTAATTTCTAATTTATATACAACATAAATATATTATTACATATCAACAAAAACAATATTCTTTACTTACAAGAATATCATGATCTATCATATTCCAAGCTCTCGGTCTAAGCATGAGAATTGGGCAGGTTGCTATACTAATGGGGGCTCCTTGAAGTTTTCCATGAACAGCCAAATATATATTATTAAATGCCATCAATTGATTCCTCCAAGTAGGGCAATGACCATCATCAAAATCGACCTGCACTCCTTGAACATCTGCTTTTAAAGCTGCGGTGAAATGAGCTGTGTTGGATGGCGAAACATCACCTAAATCTAAGTGACGGTTTCTATAAGTAATGCATGCATCAATATTTATTACAAAATCCTTGAAAGAATTATTAAAAAATTAAGCAAAAGCGAAAATTTTATTGAGATATAAAATTTTTACTTGTGACTGAATAGTCATATATGTATGTGGAAAAAGCGGAAGCATACCTCAAAATTTAAATACATACTGAAGCCTTATTGGTAAAGGACCAACTTTCCAACTTTTATCATTACGTTCTGGAGAAACTTTAAACTTAAGACCCTCAGTTGACTTTAAAGCAGAACGCCGCAAACGTTCATTATAAAGTTTATCAATTCTGGTATCAAATTCTCTGTGAAGGTTTGCTATGAAATTCAATGCATCTTTGCTAAATATTTTCTTTTGCACATCTTGTAGTTTCGGTGGTGAAGATTGCAATAATAGAACACTCATTTTGATAATTTTGTGGTTAAACTTATGGAATGTTACTTCGTATCATAGGACAAGACTCGCACATATTATCACAGTTGAAAGTCAAAAGGTGACTGGAATAAGTTATGCATCTCCTAAGGAAATAAATTATCATTATAGACCCGTGTTTTTTATCACTGCTGATTACAATGTTCATGTTTTATGTTGATTTACTACGAGTTGTCATATAAATATCATTTGACTTTGGGTCGTTGTCAAAGAGTAATGTATTTGCTAAGAATCAGCTTTAAAGTTTAATTAATACACTTAAAATTTGAGTTTGAGTGCTTTTATTGATATATGTAAAATAACAATTTAGCCGATGCATTGCAGAAAATGATTCCATTTACTTTTACATTGTAATCTTTAAATCATATCACTTCTGTATTTGTAGAAACAAACAATTAAAATATGATAATTTTTGTTTCTACTTCTGTTATAATACCTAAAATAAATATGAATTTGTATTTTTTTTTATCAACGTTCTTCTGATTGCGTGTTAACCTTCAAAATATGAATTAAGAAGCTTCCTAGGAAAAAACTCATGTTAATTTTTTTGTATTTACTGAATAAAATAAGTATTTATTAAATTTTTCAATAACGAAAACCATTCAATTGTCTAAAAAAATCGATCTATAATTTCAATAAACTCTCAGAACTTTGTCAAATCCTACTTTTCAAGCGAATAACCGAAAAATAATTATATCGTAATAGATCCAAGTTAAGAAATCATTATTATTTTTTAATCCAGAGCAATTACCACTTCCGAATAAATTATAATAATTAATATTTAATATTAAAATATTTATAATTACATATTTGCATATCTATAGCTTAAGTGAGATCATAATTTAAATGTCGTTAGTGTATATTGTCTGTGATTAGGACTTTTGGAAAAAGAGCGCGGGAATTGAAACGTTGACGCGGGCTTTTTGAAAATTTTAATAATTTTAAATAGTTTTGTACTATAATTTGCAAATTTTTGTTTAGTTTATTGTAAAGAAGCAAAATTTAGACTGTATATAAGTGTTAATGTGGAGAGATGGTGAAAAAACGTAAAAAGAAGGATTCGGGTGAGTCCTTGAATTTCAGCACAAGCAGCGATTCCGATTGCGAGGATTCGCCAGTATGGCAGGATGCTAATGCCTTCACTCCCTTTAGGGTCGCTGATTATTGTCGGTGATATCCTGCAGATGCGATAGCCAAGTCTGAAATCATAGTATCTGTCGAAAGTACTAATGATGTCCCACTCGGTAATAGGGACATGATATCGCTTAGTACCTACTAGTTTTATACGCTCTGTGAAAGGTATACAATATTTAAAAAAATAAATAAATATAATGTCGGTATTGTTTTCCAACGTGCGAATTTGGCAAAAGCCTTTTTAGAAAATACTACATATCTAAAGGAACAACGACTTAAAGCTTCAATACCAGCAGGGGCCACCGAACTATCGGGAGTTGTCTCTTCGGTTCCGACTCATCTATCCAATCACAAAATATACAGGATGACTGGTGAATTACTATCAATATTTAAGGAGAATACTCGGTACATGATTCTCATTCGAATTATGTAAAAAAAATAGGTACTTAATTTTTGACCAAATTTCCGTATAAATAAATAAAGTGTGGACTCGTTCCAAGTGTGGACGCGTGCGGCGGCGTGCTGATACAACACCACGCCCCTGCGCGCGCGCGTGTGTGTGTGTATACCTAATCTGTAGGGTGTTCACACGATGCGTAATTAATTACATTACTTTTGGTTAACTTAGAAGTTTATTAATATTTATGTTATATTAATTTTTATTTTGTCATATATGATCGTCAAATATCACGTCCTCAAATATCGATAGTAATTCACCAGTCACCCTGTATAAAGCAATATCAACAACAAAAAAGTCATTTCTGTCCGACGCATAATGCGTAAAGTAAAAGGAGAAAATAACACCTTCGCACTGCAACCTACTCAGAGCGTAGTAATAACATTTTGCCTCTGCTACGTCACTGCCGGACTATGTTCACAATTCACATTAAGATGTGGCGCCTGCCTGTCTCCACATATGTCTCACCTATAAAACAGTGTTTTAAATGTTTACGCTATGATCATCTGGCTAAGTTTTGTAAAAATTCACCGCGATGCTCCATATGCACAAAGGGGCATTTTTTCAAAGAATGCAAGGTTTACATTGAAAAATCTAAGTGCATTAATTGTAATGGCAATCACATTGCCATCTCTAGCAAGTGCCCTATAAGGCAAAAGAAAATCGCAAACAGTAAACCCAAGTCATATGCTGATTGCTGACACGTTAAAAGATTCATTAAATTTTCCCTCCCTTAATAAAAAATTAAATACCCAAGAAGTAATCCAAGCAATACTAGCAAATTCTGAAGCAATGACCCTATTAACAGAATCTATAGTAAATGTTATAACTTTAAATAAAACTCAAAATATATGTATAAAATGTACTAATTGTTATTAAACTGAAACATAAATGCATTTCTTTGGTTAGTTTTTACAGTCCTGGACCCTGGTAATAGTTTCCCTGCTTTTGAAAAGGCGAAGTTCGATCGTTTATCGTACAGTATTCCAAAACCGTTGATAATTGCAGGCGATTTTAACGGCCATCATACTTTTTGGGGTTGCAGTCGCATAGATTCTCGGGGAAAAGCTATTATGGATTCCATGGATGACCATGACTTAATACTTTTAAATAATGGTCAACCAACAACTATAGGCTCTCATATTTGGAAACCAAACAGTCTAGATTTAACTATGGTGTCTTCTTCTTTATTTCTTTCTTGTGACTGGCAAGTTCATCAGGACCCTTTAGGCAGTTATCATCTGCCAACTTTCACAAAATTTACTCTCGTAAGAGATCAACATGAACTCTCTATTCCCTTGAACAACATTCCTTTTCACAGCAATCTGAAATTAGTTAATTGGGATAGTTATGAACAAATTGTTAATAAAATGTTAATGAACTTTAAAGTTGACAATAGTGATCTCCTTGACTCATACAAAGTTTTGTGCAATTATTCAATTGGCAATCAAATTCTCCGGGCACAAATTAAACCATAACACAACTGATAGTAATAATAACCATCCTAGAAAAAGGTGTCAAGTACCTTGGTGGAATGATAAATGTTCAAAAGTAGTAGAAGATTGCAAGAACGCCTACATTAATTTCAAAACTAGTCTTAATAGCAAAAATTACATTAATTTCAAACGCGCACAAGCCTTTAAAAAACGCACTTTAAAAGAAGAACGTTGTAAAAGTTGGTCTGAATTCTGCTCATCAATAAATCGTTTGACATCTTAAATCGCATTTGGACTAAAATAAGAAAATTCAAAAAAAGCTTTCTGAGTTCTAACTTATTTTCTGACCTCAATTGGGTTATAAATTTTTATACAGGCTGTATGAAAAACTGTGTCAACCCTTGAAGGCATGTATACATATAAGTATAAGCTTATTATAAAAAATAGTATAACTTAAAAAATATCAAGCAGAGGTCAGTTACAGTGCATAGTCTAAATAAGTTTTAAATCGACATTATTCGAAAAAATGTACCAAACATCTGACTCATACAAGGTCAAGACACCGTATAGTCGCAACGGCGCATGCGTGGCCATTGACCGCGGGCGCCGGGCCGCCGGCGTTATTATTACTATTCTGTTAGTCGTTCGAATAGAGATTTGAAAGTGTAAAAATTTGCTATATCGATAAATATTCTATCGACATTTTCAATATTGCTATAAATAGTTATGCTTTTCACATTAAAATAATTTCATTTAAAATAACTTTTATTAATAATAAATATTATAATTTGAAACTTGTTCAGGTAAATTAACTACATATGTTGTATTATTAGGATAAATCGTTAATCTATTTCTGTTAAAAATGGTGTTTTACAATCAAACACAATATTAATGTTTGATATATCAAAATAAGTATCGAAATAATATGAATATTAAATATTTATTTATTGTTATGATTTTTTAAATATCGATATTTTCAATAATGTGAAAGTAACTTCAAGGTCGTCACTAGTAGCGCAGCAGCTGTGATGACGTCATTGCGTGTCATCGAGTTATACCAGGGTTTACAAACATTTTGTTACTCTACCAATAATAATCATTTAATATTTAATTTTATTATTTTTATTGAAGAGTTTGTAAATGTAAGTTGTTTTATTGTGTTACATTATCGATACTGATAACGTAGTTAAGAGGGTTGACACAGTTTTTCATACACCCTGTATAAATAAAATACACACCAGATACTGTTTCACAACAGATTCATACATGATCGGTTGTTTTACTATGCAAGAGTTAAAATCTGCTTTAGCCTCAAGAAAATTCTTCATGTGGCCTGGATTGGCTTTCCTACAGAATGTTTAAACTTTTAAATGTTCAAACTCTATCTATTTTTTTAAATTTATCAAATAGTTTATGGTCCTCTTCTATTATCCCAGAGGATTGGAAAACTGACTGTTTGGTACCAATATTTTAATTTGGCTGATTCTTATCATCCTATTACACTAAGTTCATGTGTTGGAAAAATTTTCGAACAATTAATAAAACAGAGATTAATTTTTCACATGGAAAGTAATAATCTTTTACCTTACAATCAGTTTGTCTTTTGTTGTGGCCGTTCTGCTTGTGAGAGTCAACGTCATTTCTGTCTGGATATCCACAATGCTTGTTCCGAGAATAAAGTACTAGTTGGTGTTTTTCTTGACATTGTAGGGGCTTTCAATAATGTAGATCTGAACAAATTATCCTCAATATTATTGATACAGGTACCTGGAAAAGTTGTAAATTGGATTTTTAATTTTTTGAACTACAGAAAGGTGTTTGTTAAGGTCAACAATCAGTTATTTGGTCCAAGATATTCTTGTAGGGGTGTATCACAGGGTGGTGTATTGAATCCATTGCTTTTTATCCTATTCATACATTAGCTAAATTTAACTCTGGGGTGTGAAGTATCTAATCTGCAGTTTGCAGATGATTTAGTTGTTTATTGCTCTGATACTAATTTTTTACATGTACAATCAGTCCTCAATGTTGCTCTCCAAAGACTAAAGAACTATTTTGATAGCCTTGGGCTGGAGGTCAGCAATGAAAAAAGTAAACTTGTTGTCTTTTCAAAAAATGGAATTAGAAATAGGAATGTAAATATTTTGTTCAATAATATTGTAATGTCTGTAGAGAGCTCTGTAAAGTTTTTAGGTGTTATTTTTACAAACAATTCTAGATGGAATAAGTATGCTGAAACTCTAGAATCTCGAGCTTTAAATGCTTGTAATGTTTTAAAATATTTAAAAAGCACATATTGGGGTGCTGATCTAAGGATTCTATTAACATTGTATAAATCATTAGTAAGGAGTCATTTTGAATATGCTTTTTTTTTGTTTTGCAGGGGTAAGAACTATAGTAGATAAATTAGAAAAGATACAGAATAAATGTTTGCATATTGTTATGGGTGTCATGCGAACTACTCCAATGCAGGTGGAATGTAATATACCTCCATTAGCATTTAGGTTTAAATACTTACAATCAAAATTTTTTGCAAGGTTGCTCTCCATTAATAACCATCCACTTCTTGTTAAACTGCAGGACACTATTAACAGGACTGCCAATATTAATTCATATGTGTTTCACGGTTTTTCTGAAACAGAACAAATTTTTAATGAACACAATATTTTTTCTAGCATGGTATGGCCTTGTTACTCTGGGTTATATGAATCAAAATTTATGTGGATTAAAATTGTAGTCAAAAGTCTTCTAAAGTATAAGGAAGACATTTATAGGGAACTTGATAGGTGGCAGGGATATCATCAGATGTTTACAGATGGGTCTAGGAACAATGAAGCAGTCTCTATTGCTGTCTATGATAGTCAGATCAAAAGTGGATTCGGTCATAGGCTGAATCCACTCACAAACATATATTCCGCTGAATCGATAGGTGTGTATACAGCTATGGAGCACATTCAAACACAGACTCATCCAAAGTGGATTATAATAACAGATAGTTTAAGTTTATTAACAGCACTACAAAATCCACAATTAAATTCAAAATTAACATATTATAATATAAAATCAGAGAGTTGTATCACTTGCTGTCTCAAAACAAGCAAATAGTCCTATTCTGGACACCAGCCCACATTGGTGTGCATGGTAATGAGCAAGCAGACTATTTAGCTTAATTTATTACAAATCTGGCCCACAATCAATTAAGTCATAGCTATTTAAATTTCCCAATTCCTTATTCAGATGCTCTATCCCTCTTCAAACTAAAGTTACAAAAAGAATCTTACAACTTATGGCATCAGGTGGTAAAGGTAAAAGGAAAATGGTTCGCTACAATAAAGAAAAAGGTCTCTTCTCCCTGGTTTACCCGGGGTAGTGACTATAGCCATAGAAAGTATTATACCACAATCTGTCGTTTGCGTCTGGGACATTGTAGTTTTGGTGCTCACCTTTTTAGGATTGGTGTTTTTGACTCTTCAATTTGTAGATAGTAGATATTTCAATAGTGCTGATGAAACCCTCGAACATATATTTTTTGATTGTCCACAGTTTTGTATTCAAATTCAAGTCCTTGTAGACCAACTTTTAAGTATTTTTAAAACTGCTGAAGATATCCCGCGCTCCCTTCAGCAAATACTATGCGTTCAAGAATGCTTCTTGCCAGTTTATGGCTTTATTGTTTCTACTATAAATGAAATATAATTGTTATTTGTACATATGTATATAATACTAATTTGTTCGTTTTGTTTAAGATTTTTGTGTTCAGCTATTGTCAGAATTTGACTGTTGTATCGATTTTGACAAATTAATTATTGTACTAAAAGTGACATTACAAGGACTTGACATTAAAAAAGACGGAATGTAAAAAAGGACGAATTTGACAAAAAAAAAATGAAATAAAGACTTGGCTTCGGCTTTATAATTTAAAAAAAATATTGAAGACGAAAATTAAAAGAAGACATGGCTTAGGCCTGATATAAAAACTTGAATCAAGAATAAAAAGGAGAATAAGACATAGCTCCGGCCTGACATTTAAAAATAATTAAAGATACAAAAGACGTGGCTGTATGGGCTTTGTACTCTTTGCCTGTTCTGAACGGAACGAACATAACATGAAAAAAATCTATGCTTGTGTATTGTTAGTATAATAATAAATACGTTTTTAAAGTTAAGAGTACGTGCATATTATTGTTAGAATAATATTATTAACTTATGAAGTGCTAAAATGAAAGTTTGGTGGATATGACTGTCTGTTTTTAAACTTATTTCATCGAATTTGAATGATGGATGAATCGAAAGACATTCCTCAAGTTGAGGAAATAAAATTTAAACCCAAAAAGAAGAAAAACCTCCGTCAAAGAATTAAGGACGAAGACGAATCTGATGATGAAGAACAAATTTTATCCAAATTAGAAGAGGCTAAAGAGATCCAGAAACTTCGAGAAAGGCCCAACGGTGTAAGTGTGGTCGCGTTAGCTACTGGTCAGACTAGCGTATCTGAAGAAATTACTTGCAAAGATCCATTTAGTGTTAAATCTGGAGGCATGATTAACATGCAAGCCCTCAAGAGTGGTAAAGTTAAACAAGTTGAAGACGCATACGATACAGGCATTGGCACACAGTTCTCAGCGGAGACAAATAAACGTGACGAGGACGAGGAGATGATGAAGTACATAGAAGAACAATTAGCAAAACGTAAAGGTAGGTCTATATATGGGTAATAATACTATTCATTCTAATTCATTTACAGTTCAGTGAATGCATTTTTTTATATTATTTAATTTTGAGACCTCACACTTTCATGAGTATACATTTAATTCAAACAAAGCATCGGAAACATAAAATAGGCAGGTAATCCCAAAAGTATTAGTTCCATTTATTTAATTTTATTTGTTTAGTTATCAAGAGTCAAACTGTATAACTATTAAATTAGTTTAAAAACTATTTTACTAATTAAATTCATTAAAATATTTTTTTTATTAAGATAAAAGTATCAGTAGATGACCACTTAAGGAGACAATATTCTTTTTAAATGATTGACTTTATTTATCATATGAATTCAGTAAGTTTCTTTTTTTGGAAACCCTGTGAAAAGTGTTTTAACATATGAATAAGTATTTCACCATGTATAATCGTCGAATAAAATTTAAAAAAAAAAACAAAAATATTCTAATATTAGAAATTTTGTAGTTGACCACTCAGATGCTATAATTTAGTTGGGTTATTTGTTAAATAAAAAGCAAAATAAGATGAAAAGAAAACGTTTTATTTGAAATATAATAATAATTAGGCCTTTTTAAGCCTATAATTTAAATAAAAACAAGGTTTTAAAAGCTCCAACAGATGGTTATAAAACAAAAGGACACTGTCAAACACAAATCGTAAACATCAAACTTTTTGCCAAATTTATCATATCAAGGAATGTCTCTGGAACATCAAATACATTTCTCTTAGAACTGGTCTTCTTGGGAGCCTCTATATGAGCAACTACTGCATCCCAGGGATAGTCGAGGACATCTTTATGTTTGGGTCATTTCCACAAACGACCATTTGATTTCATAGATGAGATTGTTACTGTTTTTTTCGTAGCTTTAAGTACTTTCCAGGATAAAAGTTTCTGTCGTACTTAAATATGACAAATTCTCCATCTACTTTTTGCTGGGGTTTTAAACCCACAATTGGTGATTCTCTTTCAATCTCATTTTCTGACTCAATCACACTTTTTCCTGAAGAGACCACAGCATCCAAGTCTGAACTGGAGGAAGAGAATTGCAGGTTTTTTTTTTACCTGCTTTATTTTGGTTGATTCTAATTTTGTGAGAGTCTTGATTCTCTTTAATGACTCTTTTTTTTTTTCTTTCTTTCTAAGTTTTTCAGCAGCCTTTTCTACTTTTATTCGTTCAAAATCTTCTTTTTGCTTTAATTTCTTCTATAGATATTCCTGATAACTTTTTCCTGAAACTATTGTGGGTAATCTTTCCTTGGGACGTGATTTAGGCGTTTCCTTTTTAATATGAGGCTTGTAAAAGAAATGTTTTTTAAAGGGACTGGGAACATTATCCGGTACAGCAACAGAAATAGTGCTAATAACACCATTGATACCGGAATTCAATTCATCAGTAACAGCGCTAGTTGATGGTTTTGGCATGATTTCATGCATGTCAGTAGGAGCAATGATGTCCGATTGATCTATAGTGGTTTAAGTGCACCTTCAACAAAGCTAATTGTTGGTGATCCTGGGATTGTGACTAACATGTTGTCATCAACAGTATTAGGTAACGCAGTTGCTGTTGTTTCCATTGTGGTTTCCAAAACACCATTATTATTGTTAGATGGTGATGCATCGATGGTGATGCCTGATGTGTCAAATCCTTCAAAATCCAGATCACATAATTGGGCCTCTTCTACAGAAACACCTACCGATTCAGCCCCTGCTAATGTAGAATCAATAATTTGGTTTAATTGTTGTAGTCTTTTCAGTTCATCTTTTGTTTTTTTCCACAAATTGAACAGCGATAAATCAGCCAAATCACCTGACCATTCATCCAGAGTTGCATAAAATGCTACTAATTTCGGGACTGCTAGATTTGCTTAAAAAATTTAAGCCCCCTTTCAGATAATGAATTTGTTCGCTTATGTCTTGGTTTTCGCTAACACTCTCAAGTGGGACTTCACCTCCAATGGGTTCCACGGAAATAAGCCACATTTCTTAAATCCATTTGCCAAAATTGATTTACTTATGGCATTGCCCATTACCTCGTGTAATAACTTAGCAGTCTTTTTTCGTAAGCATATGAGGCTCGTCATTTTTTATTTTATCAATTCTCCAATTTTGTACATGCCTCCTCCAGGCTTCTTTTAGTGGCTTAAATACTGCCACATCCATTGGCTGAATTAAATGGGTTGCATTAGGGTAGAGTGCTACTAACACGATTCCTTTTTCTTCACAAAACTGGCTAGTTTGAAGTGATAAATGAGATATGTGTCCATCAACAAAGAGAATAACCGGTAAAGTTATTTCATTTTTAATCAGCCAAGGATAAAATATATCAGCCACAAATTCAAAGAATGCTTCACACGTCATCCATCCTGAGTCGGTTCTTCCTGTGCCCCAATCTGAAGGAAAGTTATCTGCAATTTCTTGAGGTATCTGCTTATAGCTGAACAATATCATGGTGGGGGCAAGGGAACTGTTTGCATTTCCGGTTACCAACACAGTTAAACATTCCTTGTCATCAACATTTACCTGCTGGTAAACATTTTTTTCACCTTTCCTAGCAAGCACTTTAGGTCCTATATGAATAGTATTGTTTGATGTACATTTAAACACTCAAAAAAGTTGGTTTTAGTATTTTAGTAATTTAATTTTTTCAAACAACTTAAGATTTAAGACTGCTGAGTTTCTTTCGCCAGTTCTTCTCAGGTCAGGGTATTTTCTTTTCTGAACCGGTGGTAGTGTCTCAAGTGACCATCAATAAGAAAGTGTAATGCTTCTATATTGAATAAAGTTATTTGAGATTGAGACTTAATTTGCAAGCAAAGTCTATTCTACGTCTTGATGATTTTGAGCCATAAAGATTTATGATTGAACAATTAAAATTGCTCATTATAAGGTTGATGATACTTTAATGACAAAAGATCACTTACGTCGGTTGTATATTCAATTTATGTAATGTTTGTGTTTGATTAGTTTTTATATTTATTAACTATGAACCCAGATAACTTGACTTGTTATTGAAAATAAATCTACATATTGATTTAAGAAAATGTAATTTGTTAGGTTTTAGAAATGTGACCGTTTTAAATATTTTTATAGGTTAATATTGAATAATAAAGGACTTTTGCCTTATTGAAGTTTAATTATTTATTTGAAATGTATCTTAATATTGTGTATTTTTTGTTGCAGAAGGAAGTGACTCATCCAAAAAGGAATCAGATGACAGCGAGCTATTAAAGTATTTAGCTCCAGAAGAAGCTGCCTTACTATCTTTACCAGAGCACTTACGATCATCCTCAATGCACAGATCCGAAGAAATGCTTTCAAACCAAATGCTGAGCGGAATTCCAGAAGTGGATCTGGGAATAGATGCGAAAATAAAAAATATTGAGGCAACAGAAGAAGCAAAAATGAAACTTTTATGGGAGAAACATAATAAGAAGGATGGACCATCACACTTTGTGCCAACAAATATGGCTGTAAACTTTGTTCAACATAATAGGTTCAATTTGGATAGTATTCATTCAAAGAAGAGGCCAGCTGAACGACCAATACAGAAGGTCGAAGTTAGTGTTATTGATGAAAGTGTTAACAAAATAGTTAAAAAGGCAAAAGGTGAAAGAGCCACTGATGATTATCATTATGAGAAATTTAGGAAACAGTTTCGCAGATATTGAAAGATTACAAAGGTACCACTTATCGTATTTCTTACTTGTAAATGTTTTAGTATAATAATCTATTTAAGTTAGCTATTCGAAAGTGTACAAATTTACAAAAAGTTGAAAATCAGTAATCTAGTTCAAAACAAATATTTTACTCTAAAAATGTATCATTTTTTACTAGACTGTTTCTTACATATAAATATTTGAAAATGTTATATCGTCATAATATGAGCTCGTTTCCATACTAGACGCAAGAAAATAATAAAAGCACAGATATTTGTGAATTTTCTAGTTTAAAAATATTCCTGTATAAATTATTAAGTTAATTAAGTTATTAGGTTTTAAGCCTTTTATTTATTTTTTATTTTCATCTGTGTTCTATTGGGAACACAAAAATAATAAAAAAACATTGTTCATAACATTCTATTTTTTTTTAAATATTTGTTGATACTGCTCCTTGCTGCAATAAAATTTATATAATATATATACCTCGGTGCATGTTTTCAATACACATTTCTTATTTATATGCGCTGAATATTGGTTTTGTGTTCTTAATTATGCTTTTTTTCACTATATGTATTAACTAGCTTCCGCCCGCGGCTTCGCCCGCGTGGAGTTTTGATAAAAAGTAGCTTATGTTCTTTTTCAGATTTCTGACTATCCATATTCAATTTTGTAACAAACGGCTCAGCAAATTAGCCGTGAAACAAACATTTACACAGTTATAGTAAATTAATATGAATATTAAGGATTATAATAAAGGACGGTGTAGATTTGGCTATAGCATTTGGTTAAAGGAGAGTAGGTAAGTTTGAAAAAATTAAAAAATATCTGTTTACAGTGGGTATAAGGTACCTCTGTATTCCATTGAATGGAAGAAAGTACATAGGAAAATTTATTGGTCACGTTGTGTACAAAAATATTTTAACCCTTTAACGGTCATAAGGAGTGGACAGTGGGAAAATAAAATTGATGATGGTTAAGGGTATATAATAGAAGTAAAAACATATGTTATATTTATATATATGGGTCATTGTTTTTTTTAACCTACTATGTTGTTAAAATTTTTACTCAAATAAAAAAAAAATTATAACGCGTTGTAGTCAAATCGTTTGTTTTCTGACAGCTAAATGTCTATTCCATCCAGTGTTTCCACATTGAGGGGAAATTAGGAAATTTAGGGGAAATTAGGGTCAAGAGGGAAAAGAAAAGGGGAAAGACTATAAAAGGGGAAATTGGGGAAATCAAAGATAAATGAGGGTTTTGAGGAGGAGACGTAAAATATTATTTTGTGCAAAAATATATGCGCTGACAGCGTTAACTGGTTTGGAATAAAAAATGAGTATACAACTCCATTTTTTGTTTTTATTACATTTCTGGTCAGTCTGTAAATAAAACAAAAATACGATAAATAAACGATAAATTTTAGGTGTGGCGTGTGGTGTCAAAACTACAGCAAAATAATTTTTGAGGGGAAAAAGTCCGTATAAGGGGAAATCTGAATTGAAGTGTGGGAAAAAGAAATCGTTCTAGTGGAAACACTGATTCCATCTGAAAAAGTTGTTGGCCGCGAAGTTTACAAATTATTGTAAAATTTTCAAGGTCTTAAAGATTAATTGGGCTAATAATTGTACAGCTCCGTCACAATATCTTTTATTTTTTTTGTATCAAATAGTTTACCTCCAATAACTTGCTAATTATTTATTACAATAATAGTGAAATTGTTCTTTTAGAAGACGTACAAAGCAAAACTTCTGTACATAATAATAATTAGATATTTTTAATCTTATACCACTCTGTCACAATTGCAGCTAGTTTGAAGTATATTTTTGCTATAATTCAATCATAACCACTTCTAGCATAGAACTATTAATGTCGTAGACTATATTTTAGTTAACTATTTTTAATATGATGTTTCCGAAATTGTACTACTCATAACAAAGTATAAAAAGGACTACATACATTTGACAACCAGGAGACATTATCGTGACAAAATGGTAGAGTAGGTGACAGAGTTGTTATTCTTTAAAATATCAGGTTGTATTTTGAATTAAAATCGGTTTGAAATATACTTATTTAGTAACATTTATTACTTTTTTAACATAATTAAATTTTTAACAGTCTTCAGCTTTCTTTAATCGACACTTATATATTAATGAAATCACATTCCAGAACCTTTGGAATGGGGGATCAGTATTAATTATAATATAATTAAATTATAAGACTTTTAACTTGTCTCAACTAAATAAAAAACATAAAATGTCCAACTTGACTGAAAAATTAAAATAAAATAATAATCATCAACATCAAATTACTTTCTCCACAAGCCATACTAGTCCTAATCAGTCTTACTTTTCGAACACTGGCAAAGGTTCATCAAATTTCAAAAACTGTCTTCTTCTTTTCTTAACCACCTTTGGATTTGGTAGAATTTTAATCAAATCTTCATACGGAACATCCGATATGTCATTCTCCACTAATTTAAACAATCTTCCACTATCATCGACTGTTTTGAGGAACATCACCAGAACATCGCCTTCTTCGTCAACGTTACTTTTTGCTAATCAAAAGTATGTGTATTGAACATTCCTTTCACTTTTTACTTTAACGAGTACTTGTACACCGTCTTGTATATTCCTTGGATGTATGTCCTCAAGGTGAAGTGTTTCATAAGAAGTACTAGAAACGGCAATTGGGTTTTGTCTTTATATGTAGCCAATTGTTTTGTCTTTATATGTAGCCAATGGCTGGTCTTCATCAGATGATTCATCCGGGCCATACACAGTATCATAAAACACTTTTTCGAGGCATCCCAATTTTGTTCGTAATACCAGTGAGCGACAAATCCTCCATCTCTTGAATTACAACGTCGTCTTTTTCATTAGGAAACAAGTGGTCCAAAATCTTGTCAATGTTGGATTCTGTTTCAGGCAGAGGCGAATAAGTTTTAGGAACGTGACACGAACAGAACTTTTCACAAAAACAACTCAGAACCCTATAGTTTAAGATTCCACGAGTTTCTGAGAACATTTGGTGGATTTGCATGGTTCCTTTTAGTGGTAAAATATTGCTTGGAATAGTCGATGCTACGTTGTCTATGTCTTCGTCTGCCACCAAAAACAATTATGTTTGCTGGTATCTTTAAGGGAGGAAAAGAATTCTAACGCATCTCCGACATCTATGCCTCTTGCTACAAAAATCAGCTTGGCGTTTCAACGCTCCACCAACACCATCAGCAGCTCCCTTTCCATGTCCTGTTGTAGTATAAATCGGATGGATTTATATCCACACATTCCTCGTGAGCCCAGTCTGCATATGTTTTGCATTGAATCCAGTCTTCGTCAAAAGTTTAACCACAAATAATGCATTCTGTCTCCTTATTTTCCGGTTTAGATACAACCTTCTTCGCTTTTACTTGCATGTTTTTCTTGACCTTTTCCACGGCTTTAGGATCTTTGATCTTCTCCATTAGTCCTTTTTTATAAGGCGAAGATGTCAAGATCTCGCTTTTTTGTGTCTTTCTTTTCCTAGCGATTAATCGTTTCTTTGATGCATCTGGAAGAGGTGACAAAACCTGAAGCACATCATCAATATTCTCAACATCAGCACTTGCACTTGGCACTGTCTCTTGTAAGGTTGTTGACAACACAGCTGGAACGCTATTTGTTGCTTCAACACTCGTGGTTGGTACCGCTTCATGAGTTTGGGTAGCAGCTGGCAATACGGGTAGGGCACTAGTAAGGTCTTGGTGAATTTTCAAACGCTACAGGAGTAGTTGCCTGGATTGTTGACTGGCTAGCTCTATCTTCGATTGGTATATCAGTCATAGCGGAACCTAAAAAGTCTAGGTCTGAAAACACATCTCGATTAAAGTGCTGGATACCCGTGCAACGGAAACCACTTTGGGCTATCTCTAATCTAGCAGGTTTGGTAAATGCCATATTGGTCAGTCCAGCAACGTCATAATCGGTCAGTCGGGCACCATAATTCTGGCGCATCCATGATGCAATTGCTGCCCCATAAGCTTGTTTAAAGAGCTTAAAGAACACACGATCTAATGGCTGAAGCTTATGAGTCGTGTGGGGCGGAGTGCTCAGCATGTGAATGTGATTGTCTCTTGCATATTCAATAACATTCAGATCTTTGTGGCTATTATTATAAGCTATAATGGCATAGGGCATGAGGTCAGTATGAGGACAGGTTCATCTTTACGTTGTAGTTTTAAAATTCGTACTTATTCTAGAATAGTTAAATGAAAGTGTTCGATGTTACCGTTGGAATTTGGGCAATAACCTAAAACTCTGTGGTAGGTAGTAAGATATTTTGTGTAATCTTATGAATTCTGAAATTAACTGATTTCGGGTTTAAGAAATTTATTTAAAAAAAGAATTTACATTCACTTAAAAATAATATACAATTATACAAATATTGCTGGGCAGCTTTACAACTCGTGCGGCACACTCGATACATATCGCCGTTCCGGAAGAACAGTGACGTAAATGCAAAATTTTATATTTTACAGGGGAGTGAAAAAACGATTTGCATTTGTATAAAACGTACAATTGAAAACGCTGTATGTGACATAAAATAATGGTATGTTGAGAGTATGTAGAATATATACTCAACTTTCATTTACCAGGGATTAGGATTTAATCACTCCAATTTCAACCCTAAATTCCCACCCCTAAATACAGTTACGTCGTTGTTTCTCTTAAAATCGTAGAAGGCACAAACTGTCGTAAATGTTGATTCTCTCAGCAATGTTATCCAAATTTCGCCACTGAATTAAAACTAAACTCAAGTAAGGCACACTGTTTAAAGTAGTTGGAAAGGGAAAAAAAATCCAAAGTGGTGAAAAAAAGTGGTAGCTATGTTATAATAAACGTGTAAACAGAATCACATACCTACAAATTTTTTAAATATTGGAATGTATAAAATGTAAGAATGTATGAAAAAAAAAGATACAAGATAGAACAACATTTTCACTTCAGGGAATCGTAAAAAGATCTGTAGAACGTAGGAATCAAATTTTTCATGAACAGGGTATTCAAATCGCGTAATTTATTATTTGCTAGCGCGATTTTTTCTGTATAAGCCGGTTTTAAAGTGATGGCAGATGTGATTGAAGATCGGCTCTTCCTTTTTTTAAATTCAACCTCAATCCACTCTTCCTGTTTATAGCTGGTTTTATAAAAAAAATTGTCCTCTCCTTTTTGAAATCGTAAGATTTTTACATCCTGAAGTTTAAAATCATCCCCATTTGTGTTTTTGGCAAGTTTTGGTACCATCTCCTCATAAAGTGCTTTAAAATCGTAAAAATCTCCAAAACTCATTTCGTTGACATGCAAAGGGTTTCCTTTTTTTTTAGCGTTTCTGATCAGTGAAACGTATTGATCGGGCACGTAAATAGGGCCTGACTTCTTTGCTCTGTTCAAAGATCTTTCTATGATGCTGTGAACTGCGTCTCCCTCGTTTTGCGTATGACCGCGAATCAAATACTTGTGCGTAATGGACTGGATGTCAAGATGTTCAACTGCGTACAAGTATAGAGCGATCATGTACCTACAACAACAGTGGAAGTTAATTACGTTTTCCTTCATAGCCAAAAGCTTGAAAGAATTAAAGTTTATGCTAGGTACCTATGTATTCAAATCAAATTTTGTTTGTACTATCTGAGGCTTACCGGTTCTTCTGTTGGCCCCCGCAGTTGTCTGAGTACAATACAACGTCTTGCCCAGGGCTGCTACTTGAACACGCGTCGAGATATTTGTAAACGCCAGTTCCTATCTCGTTAACACACCTGTGCCCAAGTCCTTCATGCCAAAAGAAGCACACGGTCTTGTCGCTTCCGATTTCAGTTACCTGCAAAAAGAAAAAATTGAACAGTTTGGGCACGTTTTAGACAGTAGGAAGTAATTTATTATTATTATTATTATGAAGCAGTAAGTTACTGTGAATGGAACACTTGCTGATACTTACTGTGAAATTGAAACAATTTAGTCGTGACTTGTAATAAATAGCTGATGTTTGCCCCATCGGTACTGGCAACACTGCTTGTAGGTCGTAAACAGCTAACTTGATTTCTCCTTTTTGGGACTTTTCTTTATCCGCTGCTTTCTCAAGTCGACTTAATTCTTTTTCCTCCTGATGTAGGTGGTAAGCGTCTTCAAGTTCCTTCTTGTCATCATTAACAGCATTTTTGTACGCCTCACATTGATCACATTGATCCTTCTTCGGCAGAAAGAATCCTATATTAAATTCGTTGTTAAATATCCGTGCATACGTATCATAATTTGCCATATTAATTGCAGATCGTTCGGCAGAATACTGACGATGCATATCTGCTATGGTTAAACCACCATCGATGATCTCTCTCTTTGTGTCCTTTCGTACGTAGTGGCTCTCAACACGGGGGATCGAGTTTATGTGGTTCCTGACTGAAATCAAAATTTCTTCGTCTATCTTCTTACGATTGGTATGTTTACCTCTTTTGTCTTCCAAAGAAGCAATTCCAGTTCCACTGAATGTGGCTCCGATTACTGTACGGATTGCTCTTTCGCTTATCCCCAAAGTATTTATTATGAAGGTTTTACATACTCGAACCTTATTTGTATTAGTATCCCTCAGATAAAAAGCACAATTTGGCTTTCGAGGTTCTTGGGCAGTTATGCGACGATATTTCAGAGCAAGTTTCTCAATACATGCACTGAGAAAATCCCGCTGACGTTGTATCGAACCCATTGCCCAATAATCCGTGAACAGCTGAACTCTGTATTGTTCTGTGAATTTCTTGGAACAAGACAGGATACATTTATCCTTGCAAGAAGGACCCATCTTTCGAGGGGGTACAGTTTTTCCTGTTCTACCTGTATAACTTTTTCCTGAGTTCCTCAACAGTTTAGCTTTTACTTTGCACCAGTTTTCGACATTTCTTGTTCTTTTTTTTCCCCTCACTGTTGGAGATGGTTCATGGAGTTGTGTTTCATCTGGCTGGGTTTCGGCATTGTTGGTAGTGGAGGTAATTGGGGAAGAAGGAGATAAATTGCTGTCCGAAGATTCATCACTACTTGATGGATCATACATTTCGCCTGAACCTGATGAAACGACGTCATCGGATTCATCCGAAGTGGTACCGTGCTCAGAAGACTCCAATTTTTTCAAATGCATAGTTGTCGGAGTTGACTCCACAACATTCCACTGGGTTGATTCATGATTGGATTGATCCACAGATAATGACAGTCTGCTGTATATTGTTCTTCAACTAAGCCTGTGTTTTAATTTACTGAGGACGTAAATTGAAACTCCGCCTCCTCTGTACTTCTGTAATTATAATAGTGTGTATATCCAGGAATTTGGTAGTGATTTGCCTCATCATCAGATCATCATCAGATTTTAGCCATGTTTCCGTAAATATTATCAGATGAAGCGAGTATAAAGGATCGTTGTTGGTAATAGTATCTATTTCTTGTAGTTTTTTGGCGAAGGTGTTATTATTTTAGGGATGTCTTTAAAATAGTTGATGACCAAATTCTTCTCTCCATTTTCCACCCGGTTATTCAGTTCGGCTTTAAATTTTTTTAAGTAAGACTGTTGTTGAGGTGTTTTATCTGAATATATCTTAATGGAACTGTAATTTACTGTGTGTTTATTACGTAATATTAGTTTAGCTGTGTTTTTAGAACTAAAGCAAGCTTTTATGGGTCTAGTTTTATTCGGATCGTACTTCCCAAGGCGTATTACTTTTGTTGTCTTATCGCAATTTCCATCGATAGCCTGTATAATTGTGGTTACTACTTCTTTATTCATATTTTTTCGTTCATCATTACTTGTAGAGGTTGATTCGTTTATACCAGTAATAATAATATTTTTGCTTCTATTATCTCTTTCTTGAATTTCAGATATGATATCTTCATAGCCATTTGTGGATGAAGAATTATTAGTAACGGTTTTTAACAGATTAACTTCGTGTTCTACGTGTTTAATAGAATTTTGTATGGTATTGTTTTTATTAATTAACTCCAGAATTTCGGATTTCATCGAGTTTTGTTCTATTTTGAGACAATCAGTTACACTTTTTATGTTTTAGAGTTCTTCTTTTATTGACTTTATATCCTCAGACATGTTGTTCAGGAATTCTTTTTGGTTATCACTCATCGACGTCAACATTGACATCATTTGACACATCTGGGAACGTAGTTCGCCTATTTCCTCCATCATGTGATTACTATTATCAGTTAAATTACGTTTATTACGATGAGTAACACTTGGGCCACTTCCAGTCGGTGAGCGCAGTTTGTTCATAGTTTAATATTTTTAAATGACGCACAACACGTACATTCAGCACGAACAAAGTACAAAGTTAAAATGAATATTGTTATAATTATGAGAAGAAAAATACAATATTGTTTAAAATGTAAAATATTTCTGTTTTTACTGAGGTTTGAACTCGGGTATTATCGTATTCGTACACCAATTTTATGCCACTGGTCCAATCTACAGTTGATCTTACTTGCGAAAAAGCGCTGTTTATTTGACTAACTTATATTTTATAACAGGGATGTTGCAGATGCCGATATTTTCACATCCGCGGATGCAGATGCGGATGTATAAGATATTATGTAAATAAAGTCTATCCATGAAGAATTAAAACAATGACAACGTAATTATTAACATTTTTATTGTAATCAAACATAATTAAGTACTTATTTTTATGTTAAAAATATAAGTCATGTATAATGTAACTGAACACCTTCTGTTTTTTATATCAGTAGTTGAATTTAAAAATAGGAGCATTATACTTGATGAAGAGTAGTATTGCCGCCTTTTCTGGTTCTAGTCTGTTACGCAGAGGTTCGTAAATTAATCCCGCGCTACTAAATAGTTGTTCGCTAGGAACACTGCCCGGTGGAGCAGATAAAAATCTTCGTACTATCGGCGATAATACCTTGAATTCCCCTCGATGTACACTCCACCAGTTTAAAGGATTTTCACTCACATTTATTCTTTTTTTAGTACGGTAAGCAAGTAACTCTTTTTTTAATACAGCTTCAACGCTACTATTTTCTGGCTCATCTTGACTTTCGTCTTCACTCGACGCAATCAGTTATTTTAGCCCCTTTGGCATTGGTATTAACTGATTCAAAATTGTCATTCTCAATATTTATCATTTTTAAAATGTCATCTTTAATCTTTTCTTCAGTCACCGGTGTGAAAAATTTGTGCTTATAGCGAGGATCTAAGTAGGTAGCGATGGTAAATAAATTGTTTTCTCCCAAGCTAGAAAACTTTGTAGAAAGTTCGTTTTTCAAAGTCGTTACAGCCTGACGAATCGGATCAAACTCTTGCGATCTTGTTAAATAGTCATCAACTTTTTTTTCAAGCATTTGTATTATCGGTATCACAGATGAAATAAGAGCAGAAGAGCTGCTCAGTTCCCGTGTTGCTTCCTCAAAAGGTCCCAGTAATTGAATGAAACTTTCAATCATTTTCCATTCTTCTGGTAGAATAGGGTCAATTTCATTATCATTCATGTAAAGGCTCAGAGCATCCTTTATCTTTTAAAAACGCTCGAACATGTAGAATGTACTGTTCCATCGTGTTACACAATCTTGAAACACTTTCAGGTGCGGTTGATTCAGTCTGTCCTGAATTGATTGCAGTTGTTTCTGGGCAATGGTAGAGTGATTGAAATGGGTCGAAATTCTCTTACATTTTTGTTTTAGTATTTTTATGTTTTCTTGAGAACCTAAACAACTACGGATAGCCAGTTGTATCTTGTGAACAGTACAGTCTATATCATTTAATGCTGCTAATCGCGCGGCTCGTTTCATATTAGACCCTTCATCTCTGATTAGGCAATGCAGTTGTTGTTTTTTAATGTTCCATTCAGAAAGCATGTTACTGAATTTTTCAGCAACTATGTCACCAGTGTGACGGCCGTCAAATGTCTCACATTTCAATATTATCGATGATCTATCAAATTTATAATATATGTATGAAGGTGGGTATATGGTAGACACCAACAATATTATCATATTGTCCGTCACTATCTTAATATTGATAAGAATTCACTTTTAAATTTCTATTTTCATCATTGTTTTGCACTTTCACTATGATTTTTATCACAAATTTAACTGAATGTCAATAGTAAATGTATAACAATTGTTTATTATAATTTTTACTTTTACTATTGTTTTGCGAATTAAAATGTTACAAGTGAAAAGAACACGTCTACCTCCTCCGATTTGCCGATTTTATTCGATTCGATTTGTAAATTCTGTTCCATTATGGGTTACTATAGTAAGGGGTACACCAGGATGGATACAAAATTATAATAGAGCTTTTGAAACGCTTAGGCCTCGGCCTCGAATCTCGCGGGTAGCGGGGCGGCAGCGGGAGCGGCAAGATCATACGCGTATAATCAAATGGACCGACCCTCGAATACAGCGGTGCAGGAGCAGGGCGGGGGCGGGCAACGAGCGGTGCACGGGTGCACTACAGTGAAGCGGTGACCGCCCGCGTTGCGCGTCTGCATTGTAGTGTTGTAATTTTTTTTTGTGACGTATCAAAATGTATTCGGACGTGCAAGAGCAAATTATTTCGGCAATCTTTGAGAGGACACCCTTATGGAACAGCAAAGATGTGAACCATAAAAATAGAAGATGAATTAACCAATTATGGGAAGAAATAAAAATCGAACTGAATATTGAAGGTAAATATAATAATGATTTATTATGTCAAATACAATATTTATTATCTTTTACAAATTAATTAGTAACTAATGCGATTATTTACAAAATATTCTTTGAATTTTTCACGTGTAAGCAATTTGTAATTGTAAACAAAAGAACAAATTTCTTAGAAAGTTCGGTATGACTGTCGAGTTTATTGCGGGTTAGGATAACAAAGCGACAAAAGAGCGTACACAGCTGCGCAGTTTTTACTAATTTTAGCCACTTAAAAGGTATTTTTTATTACTTAATTGTTGTCGTTATATAGAGTTTACACTGATTTACTAAATTAGTGCAACACAATTTCTAAAAGATATAGATCTAAATCGTTTTGAATTAATTCCAGACTCTAAATCACTCTTGATAGTTTCAAGAATATAGTCAAATGTTTCTGTTCTATTCTATTCATTCTGGTGTAGTCGTAGAATCTGTCGGGATTTTGTCTCTGTTCTTGATAGTTTCGATAAAACTCGCCATTTATTTTCCTTGCCCTATAGTAGGGATCCACTTCTTCTTTTGCCCACAATAAATCGAGCATTAGGAATGATTTCGAATCATAAAGATGTCGCCGTTTTTCAGACATTTTGTTCGCGAATAAAACAAATATCTCGACAACACAACCACGAACACAACACTACACCGCTATAGTGCCGCGCGATCTGCCCGCTAGTTTCGAGAACAGGTATGCGTTGCCCGCCCCCTTGGCGCGCCGCTGCCGCTGCCGCCCCGCTACCCGCGAGATTCGAGGCCGAGGCCTTAGAGTTGTCGCATCGCGTTTATGTCTATGATATGCTTGACCATATTTTCTACAACGAAGAACTGATAGTTGAAGTTGGAAGTTGGCAACTGAAACAGACGCAAACTTTTAGGTTTATCTAGCTTTCAAAATTCGACGAGCAGCTAATTCCCGTATGTGCGGCTGGAAATCAGTCAACATTCCGAGTAATAAGTTTTCTGGATGTGCGAAATAAGCATTTCTTTGAATAACTGCAGCTTATTTTTGTCTATTACTTGTGTAGTCGATGCATGCAAAACTACAGATGCGATAGCTGCTCCTGCCCTGTCTGACACACCAAACCTATCGCACGTTTTTGAAAGTAAAGCATAATCTACTGCAGTTTTGATGCTCGTACTCTCGGAATTAATACTTGAAACTCGCGACTGAATTTGTATTGGTTCTTCGCAATCCGACTGGGTGCATTCCGGTCCAGAAGAGCTACTCAAATTTTCCTTACTTACTTTGGTTACTTTTGGTTGGTTGCTTGCAGATTTTTCTCGTAATAGCTTTCTTTTTAGTTAAAAGATCTTGTAATCTGTTTAGTTGTACGAACGTCAATGCCACCTATCATCATTTGCCTAGCTGTTCGTTGATCCGTTATGAAGTTGTGTTCTCTTAGAGGTATTTTTTTGTTTTTAGCACAAGCACATTGAAGTAAATCTCTACACTTGCAAGCCGCAATATCAAATAGCACTTTACTTCCAAGACGAAACTCCTTCATCTTGTTTTCGGGTATTTTTGGGTGAGATTTAAGTAAGTTTTTGCATTTTAAATGATATGTTTGTAACATTACCTTTACACGTTTTGGTTCTACAGTAGGAATAGAAGATTTCACCCATATTTCTATCAATTTTGGAACTACTATGGGTTCGATTTCTTTATACGTTGGCTCCTTTTAAGTTTCCCTCCCATGTCTTGTGTCTGGTCCACTCATAAAACTTTATCACATCTTCATAGCTTGGCAAAATGTTGTCTTTTAAATCACATAGATCACCAAACAAGGGACACTTCCAACTATTTCGCGTACGTTCCATTCTTACAATAATGGGCAAAAAAATGACTGCACTCTAGAACACAACGTTGTTTCACAGATCAATTAAGCGTCACTTGTAACTCCACCCCGCCCCCCTCCTTACCCGTGACCTTGAATTAAGCCAAGCAAACATCTTCCTTTATTTATAATGATTAACAACTATACGTACAGTACGAAACCGGACATGAAGACCGTACGAAGCTTGAAAATGTGTCGGAAACATAGGGGGAGGGGGGCACTATGATACACAAAAATTAAATCTCTTTTCTGAGGACCATAAAGCATTATATTTAAATATTTGTTTTGATGTGTGCATTGGATGATATGTCAGCTTACATTTTGGCTACGCAAAAACCGCCAAAATTGGCGACGTATAGAGATAATGTGATTTTAATAAAATAAAATGTTTGTATCATTCTGCCCCACCAGTGGGGCACTTTGATACATGGGGTGGGACAGTTTGATACGTATTTTAGATCCATATGAAGTGCAAATTTAAACTGACTAAAAACCCAATATACACTGTATTATTACTTAAAATTAAGAAATAAAACAATTTTATTGATTGAGATCGCAAAACACTTTTTATTAAGAGTGCACATTAGCCATAATCAGTTACTTAAGAAATATAATCACAAAAAAAAAAAACAATATTGTCATCATAGAACAAGACTAATTCTCTGTTATGTTCTTAATTATACAGGGTGGGCCATGAATTAGTTAACATTTGAAATAATCATTAAAAAAAAACTATTTGACATATTTTAAAAATTGCTTTATTAAAAGAAAGCTAATTAGTTGGAAATTATTTTTAAAAAATCATATCATCTAAATGACCACCATTTCGATTTTTACACTCTTCTAAGCGAGTAACGAAATTTTCGAATACTCGTCCGCACAGAGACCGTGAGATCGTCGATATCTTTTCGCTAATTTTTTGTTTTAGTTGACGTAGTGTATTTGGTTTATCGATGTAGATACGACTCTTTAAATAACCCCATAAAAAGAAGTCAGCTGGGGATAGATCTGGACTTCTGGGTGGCCTTGGAATGTCATCTCGTCTGGAAATCACCCTTTTCGGAAACATTTCTTTAACCACCGGCAGGGACTCGTTGGATGTGTGACAAGTGGCTCCATCTTGTTGAAACCATGTGTTACGATTGTAGTCAGAAAATTCCAGTAGCATCGGTGCCAAAAACTCCCGTAACATTTTCACATACCGAGTAGAATTAACAGTAACTGAACGGCCGTGAGAATCTTCAAAAAAGTAGGTTCAATTATTCCTTTTGCTGAAATTGCAGCCCATACAGTTATCTTTGGAGAATGAAGTGGCCTTTCGTGTTTAGCTTTAGGATTGTCACTGCTCCAATATCTGCAATTCTGTTTGTTTACATGTCCGTTAAGATGAAAATGGGCTTCGTTAGAAAATAAGAGGTTCTCAAAATTACTGAATCGATCTAGCAGTTTCAGCATAGGACTTGCGTAAATTTAAATCATTAGGTTTTAGTTCCTGCACCAATTGGATCTTATACGGATGCAATTTCAAATCTAACTTCAAAATACGGCGTTACGATGTGCGGGATAATCCTAATTCAGCCGAACGTTAGCGCGTCGATAAACCTGGATCACGTCGAACAGAAGCAGAAACTTGCTGTACGTTCTCTTCGCTCCGAGAAGTCCGTAGGCCGCCGGTTTGCTTTACATTTAGTGTAGATCCCGTCTCTTCGAACTTCTTCACCCATTTCTTTATTAAAGGACCACTCGGACACTGACTTAAGTCGTGTAAATCATATTCACCACGAAATATGCGTCTCACAGTAATAAGCGAATTATTATTTAATTAAAATTGTTTCACACAGTAAGCGCGCTGAGGCCCCGTGAAGCGATCCATTGCTACAAAATTTCCGAGAAACGAGCTAGTGACAAGACCCCTCCCCGCGCCCCGCGCGGAATTTATTTGCGTAGGGTATTAGATTCAAATGTTAACGAATTCTTGGCCCACCCTGTATAATCAGTTATATACTTACTAAGTAATCAGACGTTAACATTGAATATCGTTAATGAAAATATAATATTAGAACCTCTTATCAAAATGAACATCAAAAATTTAACAAAAATAATCATAAAAACTCTCATATAAATTACAAAACAATCTACTGGATATTATATCGAGTTAAACCTACCGAAAATGAATAAAGCGAGGATGTTCGAGATGTGCCTTTGGAGAAAGTTGGTTTTGGTAATTGCAAAACTACATCTCTAACATCCACACCTGCTTTGTCTTCCACAATTGGAAATATGAACTTATAAGACCCTGTTTTTTTCTGAGATATGATACTTCATATTCTGTCACATTATCCTTAAATACGACTTTGGCAAGGTAGTGAATCACAGTTTTCTTCTTCTCAAACTTAATTAGTACGAAATCTCCAATATTTATGTGTTCAGGATTAACTGGTTCTTCATTAATTACCTCTTCATCTGATTCCGATGGCATTTCAATGTCTTCACTATCACTCGTCATCACGACTTCATCTAGACTAGAATCGGAATCTATTTCTGCAGGCAAAGAAGTTACTCTCTTTTTCTTTTTTGGCTCAGTTAACCCCAACAGATTTTTCGCTGTTTTCAATTCTTTTCCATGCTGTTTTGCTTTTTGCAATTCTCTTTTCCTGTCCTTTTCATTATGTAAGCTTTCTAATTTATTTTTTATGGTGTGTCAGTGTATATTCTTGATCGTCCCTTTTCTCTCCCTTTTCTTTTTAAGACACTATCAGTAATCGCCTTTTTTGGATAAGGTCTAACTACGTCAGGAGTAAGCATAGCCTGTGATGAAGGAACATGTAGAGAATCGTCAGCATCAGACACTGAAATTGGGTCGGTATCCAAAGTAGGAGTTTTATTTTGTTCTCTATCAACAACTTCATTATTTTGACTTGTTTCCGAGTCTACAAAATGTAAATCTTGTCTTTTGTGAGTGTTCTCATCTGTCAAATAGTGATAACCTGTGCTGAAAATGTCTATCGGAGCAAAGTCGTCGTCGCCAAATACCAGTTGATTAATTGGCCAAATTCCAGGTTTGGAAAAACCACCTATGATATTCACCAGAAACCTATACTTTTTTAAGTATATATATTTTTTAATTTTATAAGTATTTGTCATGCCTGCCTACCCAATCCGATCTGACTGGAGACTCGGATCGGTTTGAGGAACACTAATATCTTCCGGTATGGAGCTTATCGTTGCCTCCTCATACTTGTCAACTGTAAAGGATGAGCAATGCTTTGATGGTGCAACAGAGATTGCCTCTTCCCCACGTGCTAATACCGGAGTCACTCTAGTGACCACATACTCCCCGGAGACCCCTTCTGATGCGACATATTTTATTATGTTATCAGAAAACCGACAACATCGTAAAATTAAAGAAAACCTATTATATGATATGCCAATTTCATGAGAAGTGGGTGGAAATGCAACTTAAACTTTAATCCTTAATAATTAAACTTTATCTTTTTTCTTCTCTTCCTTGAAGGTTCTTGTTCAAATTGTTAAGGTGGCTAGAAAGATCTGATAAAAATGCTAATTTCAAGAGCCAAATAGGGTCAGAAAAACGGTAAGCATATTCTGATTTTCCATCTTGTTAGAACATTAACAGTTTAGCTCTCAGTTCCAGAACTCTTGTCAATACATTTCCTTTGGATAGCCACCTGACCTCTGTGTGATAAAGGAGATTTTGATGAAGCGAGCCCATATCTTCACAAACGATTCTGAATAGCCGGGTTTGCAAAGCTTTACCTTTGATAGAATTCACAATTTTTATTACCTCCTTGAGCACGTCATTTAAATCAGAAGGTACTATCTTAGCAGCTAGAGCCTGTCGATGAAGAAAACAGTCTGTCCAGGATATGTTTGTGAATTATCGATTTTAATTTTGCAATGAGTCCGCTTTTTTTGCCAGTCGAAGCTTTAGCGCCATCGCTACAAATAGCGATACATTTTTCCAATCAATATCGTAGTTGCAAGTGCTTTCTAAAAACATATCGTTAAAACAATGGCCAGTAGTGTTTGCAGGAAGTGTTTTGCAAAATAAGATTTAATACTGTCATCTCCTTCAAAGCGCACAAATACTACAAACTGTGCACAGTCGGAAACATCTGTAGATTCATCGAACTGCAAAGCAAAATGTTGGCTATTCTTTAATTTTTCGACTACTTGTTCTTGAATATCCTTGGTCATATCGTTTATTCTGCGTGAAATAGTATTGTCAGAAAATTGTATTTTTCTTAATTTGTTTGCCTCATGCTTACTGACCATAATTTCAACCATATCGAGTGCCGCTGGCAAAACAAGATTTTCGGCAATTGTATGTGGTTTCCCTGCTTTAGCAACTCGATATGGGACTTTGTAGCTAGCTAATAATGTTGACTCGTTGCAACTGGATGCCTGAAAATAAACCAAACAACAACACCTCCCTAGTGTCCTGTTTACACTTTTTATACACTACATACATTATGAACATGCAAATCAGTACTACAATGATTGTAGCTATCGTACTATATTTCTCTAAATTTTCTTCCAACTCTGAAGTGGTTGCCCTGTTTGCTCCCTTTTGGGCAATAATTACTTCTTCAGTTTTCTTTTCTACACTGTAAGATTTACCCATTATGTATTTTAAGAAAAAATTAACAGTTAATTATGTTTCTTTTAATATTGTTGAAAGACAAATGTGAATGTTATAATATTATGTTCGTGACCTAGTAACATTGTTGCAACATTTGATTCATTGCTGACTAATCACATGAGCAGTTAGCTACCTATGTACTTACTAAATCATAATAATGTGATACGTTAACACTTTTTATATACTAGTTATAGTTACAGTGTTTGTCTGCTTAATTAATTATATTTTTTACTTATACTTACTGATTTAATATTATTAAGTATCTATAAATCTAACAGGTTTCTTAATTGTTCTGCCAGACTTTGTGACTATGAGATTGCTTGCAAGATTTTGTTTCGTATTGTTTTCTTCTAATAAATACGCTGGTTTTAATCTGTCTATAGATACCGAAACGACTCTATCCTCTATTTGAATTTTAAATACTTTTTCTGATTTCTCTAAAACTTTATATGGATCTTCATATGGACATACTAAAGCTTTTTTAATTCGGTCGATTCTTAAAAATACGTGTGAACAATCTTTCAGGTCTGGATGCACAAAAAACTTTTTTGAGCTATGGCATTTTATATCAGTAGACTTATATTGCCTAATGTTATCTCTAATATTTAGTATTACAGTGTGCGGATCATAACTATTTATACTTTCTACAAAAAATTCACCTGACAATCGCAGTGGTCGGCCGTAAACCATTTGCGCGGCGCTTATGCCGTCGTTTCTGATGGCTGCACGAAGTCCTAACATAGTAAAAGGGAGTTCGTGACTCGTGATTCGTGATTTTGATTACCATTTAACCTTGCCATTAAAGATGCTTTCATACTCCTATGCCACCGTTCAACGGCTCCGTTACTTTGCGGATGATACGGGGTTGTTCTAATCTTTTGTATACCTAAATACGTCATTAGTTTATTAAATAAATTGCTCTCAAATTGCCTGCCCTGGTCACTGGTTAGTTTAACAGGACAGCCAAATCTACATATCCATCCTTTATATATAACGCTCGCTACTGTATCAGCCGAAATATCCTTTAAAGGATATGCCTCTGGCCAACCTGTACCTCTATCAATTATCGTTAAGCAGTACCTGTAATCCTCATCTGTTATCGGAATTGGACCAACTAAATCGATGTGTATGTGTTCGAACCTATCAACTTGCGGATATGTACCGTGTCTAGATATTGTATGCCTATTTATTTTAGATTTTTGACAGTTTATACATGTTTTTGTCCATACATTTATATCTCTGTGCATATTTGGCCACCAAAACTTTTCTTTAATCATTCGGCGCGATGTATGCACTCCCGGATGACTAAGATTGTGTATTGCTCTAAATGCAGTTTTTCGAAAGGATTCTGTTAAATACGGCCTTGCATTTTCACTCGATATTTCACAGTAGACAGACTGACTAGTATTCAGAATTGAATTTTTTTTAAATTTATAATTTTTGATTACTTATAATGTTTTTAAATTCGATGTCTTTGTTTTGTTCTAAGGCTAATTTCTCATGATATATTATACTCGATACACATTCTACGGTCTGGATGCGCGATAACGCGTCAGCTACAATGTCATCTTGACCACTTACATGCCGTATATCGGTTGTAAATTCGCTTATGAAACTAAGTTGTGTAACGCGTCTAGGACTTTCTTTCTTATTATTTTTACACAGTTTAGCGAATGCGAATGTTAAAGGTTTATTATCCGTAAAAATAATTAGGTTACAGGCTTCAAATAAGCTTCTAAAATGTTCTACACCTAAAAATATAGCAAGTAACTCTCGATCATATGTGCTATAGTTCTGTTGTGTTTCTGTTAACTTTCTAGAAAAATATCCTAACGGATTCCTTTCGCCATTAACGTGTTGTTGCAACACGGCTCCTACGCAATTATTTGACGCGTCTGCAAAAAGTGCAAACGGTGCGTTGTCAACTGGAAACGATAATGTGGCTGCATTCCTGAGACCGTCTTTGCATTCGCTGAACGCTTTGTCAGCATCCGGTGTCCAATGTATTATTGTTTTGTCGTTCTCTTTAGCCTTATGAATGTATTTGTTTAATATTTCTAAATATTCTACTGCTCTGGGTTAATGGCTTGTCTTGGTGGAACACTACACCCTTCCTGTTGACCAATTCTTGACGCTTCTGGTCGATCGCCTGCTTAAAGCGGTCCAGTTGTTCGCAGTAGATGGTAGAATTAAGCGTCTGGCGTTATGGGAGCAGCTCACAGTGGATGATTCCCTTCCAATCCCACCAAACACACAGCAAAACCTTCCTGGCTGTCAATCCCGGCTTGGCCACTGTTTGGGACGATTCACTGGCCTTCGAGCACGACCGTTGTCTCTTGATATTATCGTATGTGATCCATTTTTCCTCGCCAGTCAACATCCGCTTCAAAAATGGGTCGAGTTCGTTCCGTTTCAGCAGCATATCGCAGGCGTTGCTTCGGACCAGAAGATTCTTTTTGAACGCAGGTCTTAAGTCTTTTTTACGATCTGCCACATACATTGTACGAGCTTTTCTGTAAGTTACGTTAAACTCGGACATAATTTGGCCAATCTTTTTCTCCTTTTTAAATACCGGGCAACTCTTTTAAAAGACATATGATTTCTCCACAATTTACGCACTTAAAAGACGTAATGGTACAATTATCGTGATGACCACGACATTTAGGGCAAACTACTTTGTCTATAGGGCATCTTTTGGCAGTATGTCCAAGTCTCCAACACTTAGAACACTGGGAGACTGGAAACACAAACGGCTCCACTTTTATACGTAGGCCATGAACCGTAACAAAAGGTGGTAAATAAGAATATTTAAAACAGAGTCGCACTGTTTGGCTAGGAATCCATTTTCCATCTTCACCAAGGCGAGACAATCTTTGAACAGATGATAGAATTTCCGGTTCTGTATATACAATATTGTAAAAAATTTCATCGTTAGATAAATCAATGTCTTCATTCTTAATAACACCGTAAGAAAAGTTGACCTAAAAAGCTTTTTGAAATTTCCACCCCTTTTCCAGTAATTCTTGACAAGATATTAAAGACAACAGACATTTTTCATTCTCGCATTCTATTTTTATTTTATATAGCGATAAATATTTTATTTTATTAATATCCGTGATATTAAGCGATTTAAATGTGCGTGCTAACTCAAACTGCTTAGGTAACTTTTCATTTCATGATATATAAACTTCCATTATCTCATTTTTCAGCTTTTTGTCTTTTCTTCTATTAACCGTCTTCCACTCTTCATCTATCACATCATCTCCCTCTTCGGCACTTATATTATCTTCTCTTTCACGTTTACTAGGTCTATCCCTCTCACATTCTTCTTATAAGGTTGCTTAAAAACTAATTGGATATTAAAGTTAAGGGATTTAGCAATAAAATAACATGCTTATATAATCATCTTTTATTAAACAAAAATATAGAAATATGAAAAATCAAAAATTATGGCACTTTTAAGTCTTAATTTACTTAGGCTACATTTTTAGATATTTAAAACAGCTCGACTTATTACTATAACAAAATTAGTCTTTTTTTCTTAAAATATGTATAATAGATAAGGAACCAAAAACACAAAAATCCTACTTCAGGTAACTAATACAAAAAAAAATTGTCAACAGTCTAATAACGCAAATTTATTGGCAGTCAGTGCACAAAGGTCTAGAACATTGAAGACACACAGGTTTCTTGCACTCTACACAAACTTAGGAAGTCAGTTTCTTGATCCTGGACACCTTCTGTAACCATATCATCGGAAAAAACGCGATTCATGGTCAACCTCAGTTCTCTTGGCAATCGTGCATTTATAACACGTCTTTGAACATGAGGCACTACAAGCACACGTGCTAGTTTTTTTTAGAAAATCTCCTCTTTCCACAGCTTTTGGTTGATGCATGTTATATTGTAAATTGTACGCATTCATAGCATGTTAATTATGTGTTATTATTATATGTTGTCAATTATAAGGGGCCATTCATTCCGCATACTTGTTCTTTCTGTCATTCATACCTTTCATACCTCTGACCAGTGTACCTATCTTAATTCTATTTTATTTTCTATTTTCTTACTTGGTGGGGAGTTGTCACAATTTTATTTCTTTATTCCAAAAAAAATTTCCAATTACATTTCCATATAAATACAATTACAATGCGTTAAATTCAATAATAATTAAAATTGTAAATAATTAAAACATTAAAATTTAAAACATAAAAGTGGCTAAAATTGTATACAATTGGGATCTTTTAATAATTAAATAATTGACATTGATTAATAATAATTAGAATAAAACTTTATAATTACAATATAATTTAGATAAAAACATTAAACAATAAATAATGAATAAATTATTAAAATTACAATAAATAATTAAAATTACGGTGCAATCATCCTCTTGTCTTGTTTCTCTGATTTGCAATTTTGACAATTTTAATTCTTCCGCTGAGATTTGAGACTTGGTGGAATCTTCTGTGCTTGAACATTTTATTGCAGAACCTAACTGATATATCAGGGTTGGATGTTTGTGTTTAATATGGTTGTTCATGCTTGTAGTGTTAGCTGTTTTTCCTTGCCCACCACGAGAAATTATCACTTGGCATTGGTTACACGTAACTTTACGGGAATCATTGTCCAATTGTTCAAAAAACATCCATACACGAGATTTTCATTTTGACATCATTAAATTTTAATTCTACTTGTTTACTTCAATGAATAATAACAGTATTATATTCAATTATGCTCATTTTTTTTACACTAAAACATCGCTCTCGACCATTACACAAGCAAAAATGAAGGAACAATGCGAAGTAAACAAAACATGTTCCGACACGCTCGTAGGCGGCGTATGCAATTAGATTAGTATGTACCTAGTGAAATTATAATAAAAATACAAAATAAAAATGAGTTACAAGTTAAGTTTTCAGCAGGATAAGTTTCGTTGTCCATAAAACATTAATTGCAAATAAAAGTTGTATGACTTCTGCAAATATTGTTCATACATAACTTACATTGAGTTTCTGATTATCTTCTCTTTTTGCCTGGTCATATTTTACAGGTTCCTCTGCATGTGCCAGAACTAGCTGCTTCAGTATCAGCAGTAACATTCTCCATATTCGGATGCTTCCTTATGTTACTTTTTAGTTTTATGGCAAGACCTACTATCGTTGACTTTCTTTGGACGTACTCTTTTGTTAATTCAGTGCCTAATGCCCGTAAATACATTCGCCTTTTCCGTAGAGTCACATTATTTTCCCTCAATTTCACCATACTATTTATTCCTGCAATATCCAGAAGACGTAAGAATAGTGATAATGGCCATCTATTATTCTTCCTTGAAACTTTGTTTTATTGTAAAAAGTAACGATGCTGGGTTTGCGCTTTTCATTTGTACTTTCTTCAATTTCTGCAGCACAATAAAATGATGATATAAGAACTACAGATCTCTTCTTTTTAGGCACGCAAAATACTAGTGTTGCAGTATCTGAAAATTCGAATTGACTTGAATATTCAGGTTTATTTTTATCTATAAAGCAAGGAGGTATTTCTTTATTGTCTTTGCGCATGGTACCCACCATAAAAATCTTATAGTCCTTGGCCAAAGCGTTCGTTAGCAGCACACTGGTATACCAATTGTCGACGGTAAGGTTTCTTCCAGCGCCAGAAATTGGCGTAATTAGCTTCTTTACGATATCTGACGCAGCATTACTCAACTGATATGAGCCTTCAGGCTGCTTACCAGCATAAAGTTCAGTATTTTAGATGTAAAAAGTAGCAGCATGTACAAGAGGATAAAGTTTGATTCCGAATTTGCCAGGCTTTGATTTCATGTACTGTCGGAAAGGATAAGCCAACCATCATCTCATCGATTACAATATTCTCTCCTACTGAATATGGCAAAAGATAATTGTCTATAAACACATCTAAAACTTTTCTTATTGGCGTAACTATGTCTAGAGTACGTCGAGCTTGTCGTGTAGTAGCATCATTGAACCGCAACGAATTTAGTAGAAATTTTAATCTTTTCACTTACATAGTAGTAGGAAAAAAGGTTTACCTGTCCAATCACTTGCATATAAATCTTCTAAATTGGCATGTGATCTCTTCAAGGATCCCGCTATGTACAATATAGTCCGAAAAAAGCTCGGATTTCCACCAAATCTGTCCGTTTGCAGTAACGTATTCTGTTATACAATGGCACTTATTTTTTATTCGCTGTTATGTCCAACAACTTTTGTAATTATATTCCCTAAAATTAAACTCCAGGCTTGCGTAAATGTCGTCACACCTACACCATTCCTACGAATACTTCCGCATCTTCCCTTAGAATATTTTGAACTTGACGCCTCACTCTTTTTTGTTTGATTTTTGCCACTTTGTTACTTTTACATGGTCGGAAGTTGGTCGCCCCGAATTAAAACAACTGCTATCTGTGGAGGGACGTAGCGCCCCGAGCGACAGTCTATTCTTTGTTTTACTCCTAATAACATAGCGACAGTCTACTAAAAGTTAGAAATAAATGTAATAGGTAAAAATAGCAATATGAATAAAAATGTACTAAGCGCGGTCGGTTCGACTATGCGCGCCCGCTTGAAGGTTAAAAAACGGTGTTCGACTTGTTTTGTATTGGTTAAATACTAATGTAATATGTATTTGCAAACCTACATCCATCAACGTTTGCAGACGTTTGCAACGATTATAATGTTTTTCATCAATGATTCCATTCACAGAACCCGATGCTATAATCTTACTTTCAGTCATTCATCAAAGGAGATTGTCCACTCAGTATGGAGACTTTGGCCTGACGTGAACAGACATTTTATCATATTTTTTGTAATTAGTTTAAAAGCACTAACTAGTAATAATGAGAATATGAACTTAATTTTGTATCAAAATGTTTAAAAAGAGATTTTTGGCATGTGAGCAAAAACAGGTTAAATCGAAATAAAACAACATTTTTTTATGATTTAATTTTATTCTGAGACATCATATGTTATTAATATGTGTTCAAGAAATTGGGCAGGTGGTGAAATGTGTTCCTGATACCTTGCCCAACTTAAAAACCATAAAATAGTCATTATATGAGCGCAGCAACCCACTGTCCTTCGGCCAATCATGTAATTACAATAATATTCTTTTATAGCTTCCTTACCATTGTGATGGATGTGATGGAAAACTCCTCGTCGGTTCGCCAGTTCTGGCCGTATCTCTGCTATGGCGGCTTTCAGTTGATCAAGTTGATTACAATATTTGTCAGCATTGATCGTTTCACCTTGAGGAAGGAGCTCGTACACTACACCTTTCCAGTCCCACCAAATGGATAAATCCAATTCCTTTACCCTTTTGAACCTCAATTCAACAGGCATTGCTAAAAACTTTTCGCAATTAAAAATTCCATGTTCGTTGTTTTGCAAAATTGACATTTGATACCTGCTACATGTAATGATTTTACAAATGATTTATTGTTACGGTTTGAATTATTACCGTATGAATTATAAAAATCAGATTTATTTTTGAATGCTGATGAACGATAATTGCTGTTACTGGTTTGACGAAAATTCGGCGAATTGTTTTCGGGTTTCTTTCGAGATGATTCGAGAGTTGTAAACTTACTCTCTAAGAATGTTAAAAAATCTTGTAGTTTTGGAAGTTCTCTTGGTTTTTTTAATGATTCCAAGTAATCCGAGTGCGTCTCTTGATCTATTTTTTGTTATACAATATGAACTAATAATGGGTCCCATGTACTTACACCTATCCCAAGATTTTTGATTGCATTTATACTCTCTAAAGTAGTATCGTGTAGGCGTTTTGTTTGATTAATTGATATTTGTTGCATTACGGGAAGATTTAAAAGAATATTTACGTGGGATGAAAAAATAAGTTTTTTATTGTTATATCTATGATTTAGAATATTCCAACAGGTGGTATAGTTTTCTGCACTAATCGAAAGGTGTTGAATTAATCGTTCGGCCCCTCCACTAACTTTACTTTTTAAAAATTGCATGTTCTGCGCGTTAGATATGCATGAATTACTATAAATGACTTCTGTAAACATTGTAATTGTAACATGTAAATTGCTCGAAGGATCAAAACGATGTATGGGTTTGATACCACACACCATTTAGATTTCATAGTTTTATGGAAACCAGCTAGTTTGTGAGTATCGCGTTTAGGTAATGAGAACGACCTGTTTATTTGAACGCTTTATTGACACTGACTAAATTATGACAATGCTTACATTTATATTTGCTTATGAATGTGTACGTACAATGAAATTATGTTAATGTATGGGTGAACCCATACAGAGGGTAAGTGTGACTTTTCAGATGCAGGACGGATAATCTTGAAAGTTGAACCTGTCAGATACAGCTGAACTAAGCATTACATCTTCGCCTGTCAACAATCTTTCCAAGTTGGCATTACAGTTGTTTTCACCGTCCGATACCTCCTCATCGTCTTCGGAAACTGTTCCATCAGGAAAACCAAAGATTTCTTCCATTTCCTTTTTTATTTCACAGTCTCTCAGCCTTTTTAATTTTTTCCTCATGATCTGAAACAATGCAAAGCAGGAATAAAATAACAAAAACTTAAGTAAAAATAATCTACATAGAAATAACCGTTAGTGAAAAGCGGGTACTACGAATCGATGGTGGCAACTACTTTGCCACCATAATCAAAGTCAAATAATTAAAAGTCTATAATCTGAATTCCTGAAATGCATAAGGTAATAACTAAGGTAAATGTGTAACAAAAATAAATAAGAAAACTTCCCATAATTACGTTACGATCTAAAATGTTTATGAATTTATCCTCTTGTCTAAAATAAACCAAATTCGAAAAATCAGTGACTGATAATATGACAGCTGTCAACCGTACTTGTCAAGTTTTTTTATTTTTTCGTTTAAGATATTATCTGTTTATAGTTTAAAAATAGTTTGGTCCGAATCTTACTAACCAGTTGTAAAAAAATAATTTTGAAAGTTGGTGGCACACATTGCCAAACCCGGTTAAAGGGTTAAGGATGAAAAAAACGAATAATTTACGAAATATTGTTTATTTAAAGCGTTCCAAAAAAAAAGTTATTACGATATAAAATTAAAATATAATCCAGTGACTTTCACTAATTCAACAATTTCTTGTACATAATTTAAAAATACTTTTTTAATCACAGGTAAATTACAACTTCAACATAATTTTTGTTTTTCTTACTTAAAACATAATCAACAAAAAAGTTAATATTGTTAGAACTAATAAACATACAAAAAAAAAATAGAAAATAAGTAAATAATAATAAAATTTCAAACTAAACCTACTTTACAAATTGTTGAAAAAAATCAGCTTAAAAACTTGGAATATGATTATTTTGTAGCAGAGTCATTTAATCCGTCTTTTTATTCTCTTTAATCGGTATTTTAGTGGTATTCGCTAGATTTGTCTCAGGAACGGTTAGTTTCTTATTTCTTGAGAGTTAACTACCTTCTGACCATTCGGTATCCGTGTAAGAAGTTATGTATTTTAAAATATTTGGTCTGTCTTTCTCAATTGTCATTAATTTTACGTGTGAAATTTTTATTTTATTACTTAAAGTAATTTGTCATTAATTAAGTTTTTACAAGAAATAAAATCACTGTGTGACAGTTCATTTACTCTCAATGGCTCTCCTGTTTTCTTAGCTTCCTTAATTATTTATATATATTGACTAGGAACGTATATTGGACCTGACTTTAACGATCGCTTTACATATTTGTTTCTCGACCACGGAATGTACCGAGTCGTCTTCGTTCTGCGTATGACCAGCTATAAGGAACTTGTGACTAATCGAAGTTAGTTTCTTGTCTTTCATTATATTACCGCATACATGTGCAGCCCGACAATATATTTATTTTTATTCTGCCCACAGCAATTGTCAGAATAAAATATTAAATCAATGAGATCATTACCAGTACGACTATGCATTTCTTTTTCTATAAATTTAAACAAGCAACTACCGATTTCGTCTGCACCACGACAACCTTCACCTTAGTTTATCTCTATTCCGGATACAGTGTAGGAGTCCAGTGGCTATCCGTGGTTTAAGTGTTCTTTTCTTACTAGCTATACGGCTAATTTCAGAGTTCAGTTTAACAGAACCAGACAGTATATCAACAAACTTTGATGCTGCTTCATTAGCATCGCAAGATGGTGTAATAAAAAAGAAGTCCACTGTCTCTAAGTATTTAATGCATCAAAATTAATTATTTTGTAAGTGATTGGTTTTTTAGACTTACAGGGGGCGAGGTCAATGCTTAGCAGTACTGGTAGAATCAACTACAAATACCGATGCCCGAAAAACTGTTTTTAGCATAATATGACCTAGAGAGTTGTGCAACCTAGTAGGATATGTGTGCCCAGGCAAGAGTCCCAGTTCAGCGGTTACATTTAAGTAAGCTACACAGTTCCTATCAATAGAACAGGCTTTAATATCAATGTTTATATCTCCGGCAATTATGAAGTTATTTCTCGGGCTAATTGGACGAATAATATTATCAATAGAGTTTAAAAAACTGTCTGTGCAATGTATGGCGGGGGTTCTAAAAATAGCCAAAATGAATATGTCTGGTTCAATTTTAATAAGTAAAACGCAAAAGTATGTATATTCATATTTGAACCTCTGATAACGTTCATCAATGTTACAGAGCAGTAGCTGTTTTTATTTATGCGTTCTTTTTCCATTATCTAATTTGAGGGCTATAGTCTTTTTTACCTGGCTTAATTTTTATTTTTTGCCCGGTAATGTATTGATGTATTCTAGTAAATAAAAACCTTTCAAAAAGTTTTGTTCTCGGCTGGTAGTTTACGGCAACCGCGTGGGTCTGGAGATGACAAGATGCCGAACTGATTAATAAATAGTTTTACTTTTCTCGCTTGCCACCTGGAGGTTTCAATTTCATCCGTAAGTTTCTTTTCACTCCATGACGTAGGTGCTGTTGTTAATATCAAAGTCTTCATAGATCTAGAAGTAGAGGGATCATTAAATTTATCTTTTAGCTGCTTCAAAATCTCTTGATTTTTCATGGTTATGTCGGTTTGGGTGGAATTGTGCTTAAACTTGTCTTCGGGAATGAACGGCTTATCTCGAATGTTTTGCGAAGATTCACTAGATATTGGACTGCATTGCACAATGTCGTCATTAGCAACTGGAAGTGTTTCATTTAAAAGTCGTTTTTTTCAAGAGGGACATACGTAAATGTCTCGGTACAAGTCAGCTAAAGATTTATCGCACTGAATATATTCTCGTGATGTTTGTGCTCTCAGATAATGTGATTCGATACGTGGTATACTATTAATAAAACTTTTAACACTTTCATAGAAATCCAGTTCCACAGTGCGTTGTTTTAAATGTTTCTCTCGCATTTCTTCTTGAATAACCAGTCTCTGTTTTTTTTTTGATAAAGCAGTAGCAATTGGTCTATCGTTTATTGCGAGAGTATTGCAAAAAAATGTTTTGCAAACTCTAATAATGGGTATCATTGAAATCAAGGCCACTTGAGCTTTGAACGAATTTCTGAAACATGGTCATACTTTCGGAGACCGAAAATAAACCGAATAGCAAGGTTTTATAATCGCTCAAGTTTGTTAAGTTAGTCCTTGGTTAAATTAAGATAGCTTGCGTCCGCGTAATCGAGAATAGATAGAAGGGAGTTTGCTAGCATAGTTTTTGTAGGAATTGGCAATACATTTTGTAGACGCCGCAAGGAATTTAATGACGCGTATTTTTTTTTACTAATTTCAGTTAAATGATCCGACCAGGAAAGTGTTCGGTCAAGTGTTCGGTCAACTTGACTCGTTGTATACAACATAACAGACTCAACAAGATATCATGATCGACGCAATTGAATGCATTACTGAAATCTAGGAGCACTAAAATTGTAAGCTACTTATTGTCCATAGCCCATCGAATGTCGTCTGTGACTTTAACTAAGGCTGTGGTCGTACCACATTTACAGTAACCTTTAGAAAGAAAGAAAGAAAGAAAGAAAGTTTTTATTTGATACACGAATATAGTGAGGTATAAAAAAACGAAAAAGAAAAATTACAAATTAAAAAACAAAAAATAAACATAAAAATAAAGAATAAAATAAAACTTATGACTAATTTACAATAATAAACCTACACCAAAACACGAAAAAAAAAATTAAAACTTAGGATAAAAAAAAAAAATCAAAACAAAAAAAAATAAACATTAAAATACATAAGGCGTGTCCCAAAAAGGTATACCATTCAGCGTAAAAGGTGGTAACACACCTTATGCTGATTTTCAATGGTACCCTTTGGACCTGATTGATGTGGCGGTGAACAAGTTTATAAATACATATTGTTAATGTGACAGTTAAATTATATAATAAATACATAAATAAAAATATAAAAACAATAAAAACAACAAACAAAAAGTTGATGGAACATATGACTGAGGTACGCAACGGAGCCATACCAGTAAAGGTAAGTTGTACATATAATATATAATACATATGTACACATAATATATATAATACACACATAATGTTATAAAAGCTCGATAATACAATATAATAATAGTAGATGTGACTATACATTATAAATACACGTATATGTACATACATATATAAAATTATATAGAATTATCATAGATATGACATATATATCTGTATATACATAGACAACCACTCTCATACAAACACTCATACACATACAAACACACACCCAGGCATATATGTATATTAATTATACATTTAGGTATATACATTAAAATATAAATATATTGTATTTAAAATAAACATACTTAGGTGAATAATTCAATTACTATTTTGCTTTTGTTTATCAAGAAGAATTTTACGGAAACTGGATTGAAAAGGATCAAGAAGAGAGTGTTTATTGGGGAAAGTATTAAGTTGTTGGAAAATAAGCTTTTCAAGTACTTTGGAAAGGAAAGGGAGAATAGAAATAGGACGAAAGTCGGAAATTATTTGGGAATTCCATAGCATGTCCATGTTTACATTTATAGGTTGAAAATCTACCTGCCTTCTATTTAAATTATTTTCGATAACAAAGTCAGCTAATGTGTTAGGAGTAAACATCTTTTCATTTATTATAATACAACAGTATAGAAGGATTATAATTATATAAAACAATAAAACCTCATATCGCATTATAGGAATAGCATATACAATACCTATCTATTAAAAAACGAGTGATTTAAATAATTACAGTAATACCCCGCTTTACGCGAGGGATACGTTCCGAAGAAAATCGCGTTAACTGAAATTCGCGTATGTCGAGGTTTATGATTAAACACAATCAAAATTTAATACACAAATATAAAAATCATTTTAATCAATCACTTTAATTCTAAGAACACTATACAATACATAGGTACTCCTATTTTTTACGAAAAAATACATGTATTGTCTTTTGGGTAGCGTTTTGTTTACGTTCTTGTAAAATAAGTTCATAACACCCAACACTGTTTTTTATTGTTTGACATACGGTCAAGGCGCGGTCATCATTATTATCTATACTCTGCAATATGTCCAAATCTGAATAAATTTTTGAAATTCGCGTTATAGTGAAACCGCGTATAACGGGGTCGCGTTAAGCGGGGTATTACTGTAATTGTATTGACACTTACTCGTCGAGGAGCTATCCACTGTCTTATAATAGACTGAACCTGATTAAGATCTAGACTATGTCTCCTTCGCTCTATCAAATCAGTTCCACAGTTTATGCGTCTCAGAGATACGGATTGGTAAGAAGTCACTTCTTCTGTGTGCAGACTATCATGAGACACGCTTTGGTTTTGTTTAATGTCCATATTCAAGCCGTGGTTAGCGATGGAGCTAGTTTCGGGGTCCATATTACGTGAGTGTTGGTTATCGTTTATGCTATGTTCGGAGTCCATAATACAAAAGCCAGGGTCATTGGAAAAATATGGGTCGGAGTCCATAATGAATAAACAATTGTTGAAAGAAAATCTAATGGTGGTCCTATTAATGTCTCGGGAACATCTAGACCCTGAGATGTTGTCTTCCCAGTGATCCCTAAAATCTTTTCTTCCCCAGTTGTTAGAACCGGAACATTTTCATTGTTTCCAGTTCTTTTTCTGGCAAGGTTAATATTGACATTTTTAGTTTTTGTTTTCGATTTCAGATCACGCCATGTCTGGAAATATAAACAATAACCAATCTTATACAAATATAAAAATCAATCCCGATTTCACTAATTCTTTTTGTTGTTTGTTATCATCAGGAGAAGGTTCTTATGAAAGAAAAGTAAGGATAATATCTATCGGGTCAGCTAGTCACTGATACAACAACAAAATATTTAAGTTTAATTTTATAAGAAGTCAATAATCATTAAATCACAGAAAACAAACTTACTGTTTTCCATTGTTCTACTGATTTTGCTGGGCCCAGCTCCGCCAACTCCGCAGCAATGTTCTTCCAAATTGATTCCATTTTTTAGAGTCCCATTGGGCATGTAAAGATGCCCAACGCCACCTCTTTATTCTCCTCCATCAGCTCTATGAGCCGCTGTTTCTGGCTAAAAGTACAGCGTACTTTATTTCTGTAACACTAGTTATGTCAAATAACCCATATAGCAGACAACGTATACAAAGCACGTATCCGAGACGCATTTATGTACTTACTTTGGTATTTATTTCAATGACAATGTCACTGTCAAGTGCCAACAACATATGGTTAATTAAATTGCTATACACAAAAATTTAATAAAGGAGAGAGCTGGCAACATCTATGAATGATGGGTGAATGTGTAAGGTGGGGAGCTCGGAATGTTTAATAATAACAAGTTTTTCGTTACACGATCAGTTTATTAATGAATATAAATTCTCTGTTACACTATTTATAATGTATTCTAGTTACATGCTATTACATACTACTTATACTTAATTCATACACCACACGCCTATCGTCAAAAAAAATAATTAAAATGAATATAATTTTTATTTTATTTTACTAATACAATACAAAAAAATATATTATTACTTAAAATAAGTTTCACGGTTATAGTTTATATATATTATAAGGATTATAATTATATAAAACAATAAAACCTCATATCGCATTATGGGAAGAGCATATACATACAATACATATCTATTAAAAAACGAGTAAAACGGGTCGCGTTAAGCGGGGTATTACTGTAATTGTATTGACACTTACTCGTCGAGGAGCTATCCACTTTTTTTTTTTTTTACATTCGCTTTGTTTACCTACATTGAGAGTGTTGACTTATTATGGATTTTCTTTCAACAATTGTTTATTCATTATGGACTCCGACCCGTATTTTTCCAATGACCCCGGACCCCGGCCTGGAGACAGTGTCCGAGTCCCCCCCAGAGTGGCCCCTTAGAAGAGCCTTTCTTCGTTCTTAGGGAGCGGCCCTTTAAGTCGCGAGGAGGTAGGGCAGAAGGAGTCATAGCTCGCTTCTCACCTCCATCAGGTCCCTTCCGCAAGTCCGTTAAACATGCCGTGTCGTCAGTGTCCGATCTCGTAACAAGTCCTTTCCGTGATGTATCGGAGTCCGTCAAGAGTGCCATGTCGTTTGTACAGTTCGTACCTTCGTCATATCCAGTCCGTGTCAGCATTTCATTTCCGTTAGTCGCGCCAGAGTCCGTGCCCATTGCACCTCGTCTCAGAGGGCCCTTAGAGGAAGGACCCTCCAGGCGTTTGCTGCCCCCCCCCCCCAGAATACGAGGGGCTGACCGGCGTACCGGTGAGGGATTCGCCAACCACTTGGTGGCTGGGACCCTCCTGGGGTAGTTTTTTTACACAAGACGCCATTCCATAAGTTTTTTTTGTTGGTGGTGTTCTTAGGACGAGCTCACCCGCTCGCCATGCATCCCAAGACCGAACACCGAAGTCAAAGATTAGGGGCCGTAGAAGCCCATCCATCGCCATACATCCATCCACATTCACAAACCTTTCATTTCCGCATCCATCCACATTCATAAAAAAACCTTCCATTCATCGGGCTGAACCCCCAGCCCTGACCAAGACCCCAAAAGAGGGCCAGGGTCCCCCACCCCGTGACTGACTGCGCCGGTAACCCGGCGGGCGATGGATTCGTCACTTCCCGACGCCAAAGGAGCTATCCACTGTCTTACAATAGACTGAACCTGATTAAGATCTAGACTATGTCTCCTTCGCTCTATCAAATCAGTTCCACAGTTTATGCATCTCAGAGATACGGATTGGTAAGAAGTCACTTCTTCTGTGTGCAAACTATCATGAGACACGCTTTGGTTTTGTTCAATGTCCATATTCAAGCCGTGGTTAGCGAGTGGGCTAGTTTCGGGGTCCATATTACGTGAGTGTTGGTTATCGTTTATGCTATGTTCGGAGTCCATAATATGTACAAAAGCCAGGGTCATCGTTTGAGCGAAATTCGGGGTCGATGTTCCGGGATCATTGGAAAAATACGGGTCGAAGTCCATAATGAATAAACAATTGTTGAAAGAAAATCCATAATAAGTTATCACTCTCAATGTAGGTAAACAAAGCGAATGTAAAAATCAGTCTGTGACATACCAATGTTAGTTTGTATTTTTTGTTTTATTTGTTTTGCAATAGAAAAAAATCATTAAATTTTAAAATTAAATTTAAAATTAAGTACTCCCCATTTTACATCAGACCTATTGTGTTCCGGGTCTGGTTATCATCTTCACTAGGCAATTATGTTATCGATTAGCGTTGTCCAACGGTGACGCGCCTGTCTTCTAGCTATTAATGGAGAACGGAATGCAAAAGCATCACCTACGCCGGGTCTCCTTTCACCGACTAGATTCATCGTGCCCATGAAGAAGTCTTGCGACTTAAGCGTTACTGGTGTCCAGAACGCGCTCAAATCTCCCTGCGGCAAATTCTCGCCAGCCCATTGATTCTGAAACATACGGTCAGGATTTCGTAGACCTTCTGCGGAGTTGCTGACCAGGACCCTCTGGTGTCCTGCAGATTCATAATCTATTAGGGCACTTTCACGCAACATTTTTTTCTCCTTGCGAGTGACAACGATATGAAGTTCTTTACTTGATGCACATCATGCTCAAAAGCATCAATATCGTATCCGGCAGGCCAAAACTTATTATAATGTTACGCTGTGACTCGATAAGATTCCGCTTTTCTTCTACAGTATTACGTTTCTCCAGGTGTTTTGCTACAGCCTAAAAAATCATGATTTAAAATGGCCTTAATGGGGTGAGTCAGTAAACTACAGATGGCCTACTAATATTATAATTCTGCAAGAGTGTCTGTTTGTACTGAACCGATTTCGACGAAATTTGGAATATATATATCAGGACAATCCGAGGAAAGACATAGGATACTTTTTGTCCCAGAAAAACAACTTACCACGCGGGAGAGCCGCGGGCAGAAGCTAGTAAACTAAATAAAACTTACTGTGAGAGCAGCAGTACTAGAACCCGAGTAGGCATCATAAATTTGTCCCAGATCTTTAGCGGATCTTTTACGGCACGACCGAGTTTGCGATGTCGACTGTGTAGGTGGTGGTGATAAGTGTTGTGGTGATGAGTGATGTGGTGGTGGTGAACGGTATGGTGGTGCACGGTATGGTGAAAGAAAGAAAGAAAGAAAAGAAAGAAAGGAAGTTTTTATTTGAGACACGTATAGTTATATAGTTGGGTATAAAAAAAAACAAAGAAAAATTACAAATAAAAAAAAATAAACATAGGAATAAAGAATAAAATAAAACTTATGACTAATTTACTATAATATACCTACACCACAACACGAAAATAAAAATTAAAACTTAGGATGAAAATAAAATCAAAACAAAAAAATAAGCATTAAAATACATAAGACGTGTCCCAAAAAGGTATACCATTCAGCGTAAAAGGTGGTAACACACCTTATGCTGATTTTCAATGGCACCCTTTGAACCTGACTGATGTGGCGGTGAACAAGTTTATAAATATTGTTATTGTGACAGTTAAATTATATAATAAATAAATGGTGACTGGGGTGGTGATGAATGGTGTGGTAGATACTGGTGTGCGGGCAATGGATGTGGTGGTGACTGCTCTAATGGTGGTCCTATTAATGTCTCGGGAACATCTAGACCCTGAGATGAAGTCTTCCCAGTGATTCCTAAAATTTTTTCTTCTGCAGTTGTTACAGCGGGAACATTCTCACTGTTTCCAGTTCTATTTCTGGCAAGGTTAATATTAGCATTTCTGGATTTCGTTTTTGATTTAAGATCACGCCATGTCTGAAAATATAAATAATAACCAATCTTATACAAATATAAAAATAAATCCCTACTTCACTAATTCGCTGGACCGATTTCACTTATTCTTTTTTGTTGTTTGTTATCATCAGGAGAAGGTTCTTATGAAAGAAAAGTAAGGATAATATCTATCGGGTCAGCTAGTCACTGATACAACAACAAAATATTTAAGTTTAATTTTATAAGAAGTCAATAATCATTAAATCACAGAAAACAAACTTACTGTTTTCCATTGTTCTACTGATTTTGCTGGGCCCAGCTCCGCCAACTCCGCAGCAATGTTCTTCCAAATTGATTCCATTTTTTAGAGTCCCATTGGGCATGTTAATATGCCCAACGCCACCTCTTTATTCTCCTCCATCAGCTCTATGAGCCGCTGTTTCTGGCTAAAAGTACAGCGTACTTTCTTTCTGTAACATTAGTTATGTCAAATAACCCATATAGCAGACAACGTATACAAAGCACGTATCCGAGACGCATTTATGTACTTACTTTGGAGGCTCCGTCATGGTATTTATTTCAATGACAATGTCACTGTCAAGTGCCAACAACGTATGGTTAATTAAATTGCTATACACAAAAATTTAATAAAGGAGAGAGCTGGCAACATCTATGAATGATGGGTGAATGTGTAAGGTGGGGAGCTCGGGATGTTTAATAATAACAAGTTTTTCGTTACACGATCAGTTTATTAATGAATGTAAATTCTCTGTTACACTATTTGAAAAGTCAGTGGTGGCCTAGTGGTTAAAGGGTCCGCCTCTCGTTGCCGAGGGCGCGGGTTCAAACCTGGCAAGTACCAATGTGATTTTTCGGAATCATATGTACTTTCTGAGATTATTTAGACACCACTGACATACGGTGAAGGAAAACATCGTGAGGAAACCTGGACTTATAGTTTCATAATTATAAGTTTGAAATCACCAACCCGTCTTGAGCAAGCGTGGTGATTAATGCTCAAACCTTCTCCATGTGAGAAGAGGCTATGCTCAGCAGTGGGCGTTCATAGGCTGATGACTGACTGAATGACTATTTATAATGTATTCTAGTTACATGCTATTACATACTACTTATACTTAATTCACTTCGGGCAGTCTTTCTTTTGGTGCATTCCTGCACAATGGCTGCAGGTTTCCTCCTTATCTGTGCACACCTTTTTCGTGTGTCCACATCCCAGGCATTGTGAGCATTGTAATAGTGGAGATTGGTCCGCCACATGTATCCGTTGGATATATATATGTAGTTTCCCGTTCTCCACTAGTCTCTTCCAAAGTATCGGGGCCACTCTTAACACCACGTGATTGACGTGGGGATTCCTTGTTTTCTTCCTGTATTTTACTTCTATCTTTTCGCTTTCCTCCCCTAATCCTTCGAATATATCGCTGTTTTGGTTCTTTAGAGCCCTCAGAACTTCTTCGTTTGTGAGCATGGATACCACGTACTTTAAGATCACTAAGGGGTTCTTGTTTTCCACTTCCTCCGCTTACACTTATTGGTTATTATAAATTTCTTAAATAAGGTCTAGTCCTATTCTTATGTACTAACATTTCTTTGCCTTTATAATCTATTTTTAGATTAGGTTCACAATCTTCAATAACTCTAAACGGTCCTATGTTTAGAGGATCGAGTTTGTTTACAACATTGTTTCTGAGCAGTATCAGGTCACCAACATTATATGTAATTGGATTTGTCTAACAATCATATTTTATTTTTCTTATCTCTTTGCTTTTAATTAAATTTTTCCTTGCCTCATATTGCGATTTTTGTAGTCTATATTTTAATTGTTTTGGGTAATCGTAATGATTGTATAACGGATCTATTACCATAGTTATCCTGGAAGGAGTGTGTTCGAGATTGAATTTATGGATGCCATTGCAAATACTGAATTATATTGTCGTATATTAGCTTTAAAATGATTAGCATCAGACGTATTGCCTTCATATAAATCTAATAATATATCTGGAATTGGCTTTAATGTTCTATGTATACCTTCCCATTATGACAACAATTTTTAAAATGTTTTTTTAATTTTTTCACCTAAAAAATGAAGTGCTTGACATTGAACACATTCATAAATCATAGAACCAACTGAATGTACTGATACTTGAATGGTGTTATTTGAAAGTGCTAAATATACATAGTTAATCCTGGGGGGCTGATGTTCTGCACTAAACCTGCTTGAATATTTACTCTTCTTCGGGGGTCTGGCCGCCATTTGATACATTTTCTTTCTCCTCTTCTTCTAAAAGAAATAAAATCACTGCAGACTGACAGCATTGATTTTTGTTTTTCTCGTTGTCCGAAGAAACATCATCAGTCACCAGCGACTTTTCGACTATCGTCAACTCTTCGTTATCTACCTTAACGGAGAAAATATATTAGATAAATATTCAAATAATAATAACTATTAAGAATGTATGTAGGTATATCCTCACATCTCTATCTGGTAATAAGTATTATTTTCCACTTTACTGTACTCAGTGACCTACACCATTAACTTACCCAAAAGTCATCATCAAATAAATCTTGGGAATTGTCAGGTTGTATTGTAGAGGCAGCTAGTGATTTAACAGATGCAACAGGAGCAGTTTGATTTTTTGGAAAAAGGTTTGAAAGTGTCCGAGCTCTGGTTATTCTTAACTGCCTAATTGTTTCTAGGCCACAGCACTCGCAATAATTGAAATTATCTGCAAAAATATATTTTACAATTAATAATGTCTATTGTATAATAAGAGCCAGCCAAGTTCAAGTAGAACTTGCGCATGAAGGGGTTCATTTCAGTATCGAGAAAAACGGTGAAATAAATCGTGTCTGTTTCTGTATGTGTTCATGACACCTCAACACTGGCTATGCATGTTGTCATTTATTATTATTTGTCGAATTATGGAGAAAAAATATTGAGCCGCTTACCGAGTATAATGTTGTCGCATTCCACACATCGACTGCACATTTGCTTTTGTTTGCCATCTCTTGCAAATATTTTGCCATTACAAAAATTGCATGTCACTGGAAGTAAATAAGTACTTACATATTTTATTTTTAACCCTTAAATGCATGATCTTTTATTTTAATATTTGAAAAAATGTATTTTATAGAATATTGTGCTTAGATTCGAGGAAAAATAATAAAAAAAATCAGTATTATGTATTTACGTATATTTTTACCAAAAATCAATATGTACCGTTTTCAGCACTACATGCATTAGTTAGTTAATTATTTTTTGTGAAGGTCGTTGAAACAGTCTTTGCTTTTCTTAGCGCATAAATGAACTTTACATTTCGCACACATAATTACAGTCTTCAAATTGCAGGCTGGAAACATACATCTCATCCTATTAGGTGTCCTTATTTGTTCATGGCCCACGCCATCGAGTATAACGTCGTTTGGGGGTAAAACTTGACAAGGCTTTCCTTTCCGTATCTTGGGAGGCGGGCCAGCTGCTGTAGTTGATGTAGAACGTGGACGACCCCTCGGTATAGGTGTGGAATATTTGCAAAGTGTGTCTGCTAATTCAGAACGAAACTCTGCAAGGTTCATGATATCTTTGCTGGCTTTTCCTCTTTGACCCATAACTTTTCTGTAAAGAATCCAGGCATTGATGATGGTCAGGTCCAACAGATGATAAAATATTCTCATGTACCATTTTCTGCTTTTGATGCGAATCCTATACCTGCCAAGGTGAGAATCCATCAGGTCGACGCCTCCCATATGAGCGTTATACTCTTTTACGAGTTTGGGGCACGCAATTTCGATTTTTTGTTTCAATTTTTTATCATACCTATGGATTGTTTCCACAGGTTCTGCACCGACGTAAGTGGATGCCAGCACAACTTGTTTGTTGTCCTTCCACGAAACTGCAGATATGTCCACATTTTCAAAATTTGTGACATATTCTTCATATGTTCCTCGAGGTATAGAACTTTTCATTACGTCTTGTTTATGAGGCAATTTACAAGTTTTGCCCAAACGATTTCGCTGTATGGTTCCTAAGGAATGGATTCCTTCAGTGGCCAAATGATACATTAGGGGCAAAGATGTATAATAATTATCGAAATATACGATATGATTTTTTTGCTTAGGAACCACTGAGCAACCTCATGACAGTTTGTCCAACAACTCCTATTTCAGGTTCACTTGGCAGTCTCTCGTCATCCTTGTCTTTACCCGCGTATATTATAAAATTATATGAATATCCGAGTAAACTGCAAAGGGCAAATAATTTGAAACCCCATTTGTGAGGCTTATTCGGCATATATTGCTTCAAAAAGTGTCCGATTTTTGTTGCGCACATCTGTTCATCGATTGACAAGCGTTGGTCAATCGTAACACTAGAAAATTTTTCGTTCAAATGTGTTATCACAGGCCGCAATTTGTGTAACTTGTCGTGGTCTGGATGGTCGACTGGGAGATGTTTTGAGTTGTCGTTGAAATGCACAGAGTGAGTTTTTCTGACGGGCGTATCTGTTGGTTTGTTCCACAATTATTACCATCAGTTTATCAGGAAAAAGCCGCTCAAAAATACTTAGAGGTGATGTTTTATGAGTATCGTTAGCCTTGGGCTTAAAACGTTTTTCGAAAAGAGGAACTTCATGGGTTTCCGATTTTATCTCCCATACTCTTGGCTGAGAACGATCTCTGCGTACTTCGTTGTTAGTTTCAGACTCTTGCCCATCATCTGCCAAAAACTCTTCCATGGGGGCATCAATGACATCAAAATTTTGCCGAACTTCATTAAATGTGTGAACGTCAGAAGGCTGATCATAACATTGCTCAGTTTCAGTACCTAAGTGAGTTGGCAAAAGACTGTTGTCTGTTTATGGTGTGTTTGTGAAATGCGATGTTTCATCTAAGACTGTCAGTAAGGCATCCGTTGAAATCTGTTGAGTTTGCATAGGGAGAGAAGGTGGGTCTTGTTTGTCTCACGTCAATCCAAAGCCAAAGATATTTTCAAGACGTTTGCTTTTGTTTGCCATCTCTTGCAAATATTTTGCCATTACAAAAATTGCATGTCACTGGAAGTAAATAAGTACTTATTTTATTTTTAAATGCAGAAGGCTTACAATCCACACTTTAAGAAGAAAACAAAACAAAATTCACTTAAAAACACAAAAACACAACCTGTCTACATAAAATTGGACGAACTTCAGACTTTTTTTAAATTTTTGGAAAAATGCCCGTGTTTAAACATCTATTAAAAATATATTTGTTGTTCGTTTTATAGTTTTATTTGAAATTCCATCCCATCCAACAGAACATTCAGTTTTCATATTCATAATAATGTTTTTTAATTCCTTCTCATTCGTATGCATTAGGACTAATGATTTTTGATAGCCTATTATATTTCGGTCACCATCAGTAGTATCTAGATTATCAAAATTATCAAATGGTTGTGCTAAATTCTTAACTACATTTACATATTTAATATATTTAATAACTCTTTATTGCTTTCAAATTGTGTATGTGTATGAATTATATTTTTAAGTACATTCCATAGTTTTTTATTGTCATTTTTAGCCATTTCTACCCTATCCTTTATCATAATTTCGTTTAACTTTCTTCAATATATTGTTACAAAAATTTCTGTATCATTTGATTAGAAAAGCATTCAATTCGCATAAAGTGGTTTCCTGCATGTAAGAAGGAGTTTTCTTATTTTTATTATCTGCCTGTCTTTGGCGAATTCTTCTTGAATCATTAATTTATTTATTCATGTACCAAAAACAAGTAACACAGAAAAAAAAGAATAACAAAGAAACAAAGTGATACATAGGAAAGCTTATCTCTATGAGAGATCTCTTCCAGCCACCCTGGAGTGTGAGTAATATTATGTTAAATTACAGGTAAGGTAGGTACATCTTAATTTTGGTGACAAAGAGAATAATTATGTTAAGTTGAGAGAATTATTATTATAATCATGTCTGGAGTCACAAAAATATTGAAGCATTCATACTCTGTAGCAGCATCCCTTTCAGTATTCCTCACTCCAATATGGTCAGTGAGAATGTTTTCTGAACGAAGCCTTACGTTTGGACGCTGAGCACTTTTGTACCACTTAGTACCATCTTTAGATATATAAAAAGGGCCTTTTACTTGCCGAGAAGTTGTTCACTGCAATGATCATTTTCCTACTCTGAATTGGATTCATTGCCTGAAGAATCCGTAGTTGTCTCCTCTAGCATGGCACGGATCCGTTCTTCTTCCCTGTAGGGATTCATTTCGGGGCAGAAACTAAAAGCAATAAAGAAAAACTCAAACAAATAAACAAACTACTAATCCGGAACCTAAAATCACAACAAAGATCAAAACAATAAACCAAAACGCATAAAACGTTAAAAAATAATTCTAAAATTTTTACGTTAATAGAATGCGTCTAGCATGAGGCAGGGTGTGACAAACCCTCGACACGTTTGCTCACGTATATCTCCCATATCCCGAAATAAAACTTACAGCTGTATAAAGCTTAGATTGCCCCAAATACCTAACAAAAAGAGCTCGTGAAATCATAAAAAAATATGAAGATGATGCTTTTATGACAGCAGACTTGGAAGAAAACATAATAATAAAAATAGGAGCAAAAGTCATGTTTAGGCAAAATATTGACGTGAGTCTTGGTTTAGTTAATGGTTGCGCCTGCGTCTGGTTGCTCAAGTGCGAAAACGAAACATCGTAATCGGAATCAGATAGTGAATCATCATTACTAAGAGAGCCATCATCAGGAAAAGGTTTCATGCTGTTAACAGTGCCATAAAAGCGTGGAGGAAGCATTCTGGAAAGATAAAAAAAAATCTGAAGCCGAACATACATCATAGTAAATGCATACGAAGTCAAAATTGGCTCCCAAAATATTATATATTATTGAAGATGTTTTTTTAATAACAAGGATAACAAGGATAAAGCATTCAATAAAAAAAATCATTTATTCGGAATCTAAATACAATTTTAATATTTAAGTAGTTTACGTCGGACGGATAATAATACAAAGGTCATAAAAATAATTCAAGTACCGAATACGGATTAAAAATATATATAACAAGCATATTTATTAAATCAAAAATTATACCAATCGTTTTTATATTAAATATAATGATTTTAATTGAGAAAAAATGCAAAACAAATGAATTTGTCAGTTACTTAATAATATATTCATTTATTCAGACTTGACATTAGTGTCATTAGTAGATATGTAATAAATTTTAAATTTAATTTTTAATAAATTTAATGGCATCATATAAACAATGTTAAAATCAAAACAATTACTAATACAAAATGTTCGCTTTGCAAACAAGAAATTCTAACAATAATAAAATGTTTATTTTATTACACTTATAATTATTCTATATGGTTAAAAACTAAATAAGGACCAGAATTTGGACGGATGTTGCATACTTAAAATACTATAGCAAGGCCATTTATTATAAAGGATTTAATATTATAATATCAAATGTCATATACTTGTATGTATATAAGAAATCATATTTTAATAAATACATATAAACAGTTAAAGTAAATAATACATATAAAGTAATATAATATAAAATGATCTTGTGCTAAACTTTTGTAAGATAACGAAGAGGCAAAGGCACATTGGATTTCAGGTAAATAATATATAAAATTAAATTAATACTAAAACGTGATGGTCGAAATGTATGGTGGGTTAAATTATATCAAAATATATTTACATTCGCCTATCATACAAAAAAGAATATTCACAATATTATAACTAACATTACTACACACCTAAAAACTTTTTGTTGTCAATTATTATTGATATTTTCATAATAAAATCATCATTAAAAAATTGCTTCCTTGTAAATGAAATATATAACAAAAACATAGCGTTATATACACAAGCTTTAACACGTCTACAATATTTAATATTTAAAACAAAAATTATATAATTAAATGATTGAATTATAAAAATAAATGTAGAAATATTTTTTTTTCCTAACACTGTGCTTATATACATGTGTATAACTCGATAATAAAACAAAATATACAGATATCTGTATGGAAAAACATATGTATGTAATTTTTACATACATTACTTATACCTTTAAAATTCTCTATTATATTTTATAATAGTTTAGTCCACAAATAATTATTTTAAACTAAACATTCAATTGTTTTTTTATTTTGTGTCCATTTCCATACCACTTGAGATAAGTGAACTTGGATATAAGAAAATTCTTATTGTAACAAATAAAGCATTCAATTAAATAACAGTAAAAATAATACATTTAACTGTCTTAATTACAATTACACGTACATATTACTTACTCACTCAATAACCATAAAGAATATGCCTTAAAGCATTTTTCAAGAATTTTGTATGAAAAATAATGTTTATGTTTCTCACATACTAATTATGAATGTAAAATAAATGATCATACTTCTGCATTGTGCATAACATTGTAATTTTTGCGCTTCGACAAACAAAAATATATAAATTATCTGTATTACGACACAAGATTAAAGATTGTTCATACATTTTATTTGTATATATCATTAGCTAGACAGTATCAACATTGATAGACACATACATAACTTACATGTGTAAAACAATTACATGTAACTTAATTATAAACGAATTCACCATTTGCACTTATTAATTAAAGTCATTCATTCAACATTCATACATTCAACATTAATTCATTAATTTAATTAAACTTCCGTGCTATGTGTCTGTATGCGTACTTTCTTCTGGCTTCCATTCCTGTTCAACGGTGGTGAATGTCCCGAGTAACCGGGATTCTGTATTCCCATACCATCCTTGGGTTTGGGTTTCTTCAAGGATGATCTCAACGGGGACCTGGTTATGGTGCTGTCTGATAAACCCGTGAGTGTTGTGGCTGTGGTGTTCATGGAAGCCACACTTCCATGGCCATTAGTGCTGTATGGCTTTCCGGAAGCATCTGTCATCGATATACCTGAAATATTATGATTGATTGTGATTATATTGATAATGGCAGAGTCGAGTTAATACTTGTATGCAAAAAGATTAAATTTGACGTTTTTAATATATTATTTAGTTCTTTAATATTAATCTTAATTCATACCCTGTATAGGAATAATAGTTATGTTGTACAATATAGAAGATTACTTTTAAGTGTAGGTTTGAATTTGTCTTTATGTAATAGTATTTTATTTTGTTTCATATACATGTATAGGAACATTTAAATAAAATAATCATATTATTGTTATTATAGCATAGAATTATATGTTTTTATATGAATATTTTTACCTCTCCCCTCCTTAAATCCTGGATTATTGATTGTGGTACCACCAGATTCCTCGATAGTGGTAGGATCACCACCTTCCCTTCGTGAGAACAAAGCATCGTAAACTGACATTATAAACAACGCTGAGTTTATAACGATACATACTATCTGAAATTTATATATACAATATTTAAAGTTAATTTTGTTTTAGCTTGTTTATATATATTCTTCCTACATATATGTGTATATACAGGGTGACTGGTGAATTAGTATCGATACTTGAGGACGTGATATTTGACGATCATATATGACAAAATAAAAATTAATATAACATAAATATTAATAAACTTCTAAGTAAAGTTAACCAAAAGTTATGTAATTAATTACGCATCGTGTGAACACCCTACAGATTAGGTATACACACACACACACACACACACACACACACACACACACACACACACACACACACACACACGCGTGCGGCGGCGTGGTGTATCAGCACGCCGCCGCACGCGTGTGTGTTGGAACGCTTGGAACGTGTCCACACTTTATTTATTTATACGGAAATTTGGTCAAAAATTAAGTACCTATTTTTTTTACATAATTCGAATGAGAATCATGTACCGTGTATTCTCCTTAAATATTGATAATTCACCAGTAGTAATATTAATTAATATTAGGTAATTCACCAGTCACCCTGTATAATTCTATGCAGTACAATATCTCTGAATATATCATAAAGAATGTTAATTTACCTGTACATAGAATGCTTCCCCTCTAACAAGATAGAAACCCCTGTCATCGCCTTGAACAGCAAACAGACCAGCCGCTGCTATTGACAGTAAGGCTGAAAGTTGAATACATATGTATTAATATATTATATATATAGGTTTTCCTGTAATATTATTATTTATTAGGAAACTAATTACCTTAATAATGTTATAAACATAATGCAAGACTTAGTTTTAAATCCTAAGATTTTTTATAAATTTACGAATTTACAAAGACAATAGGATTAAAATTCTTATAAAATTAAAAGTATATTTGTTTGATATGAGTAGCTTTCGAATCTGCTAATACGGAATGTCAAATATTAATATTTGAGCTACTGTTTTATTAGTTTTATGAACAGAAGTTGAGACGAATTAGGTACTGATCGCTCAGGAAAGGAATATTAACATACCGACAGCGCCATCTATCATGTGACTCATACAAAATACAACTATTATGACAAAATAATATGGCCTACATATAATATATCCAAAAAATTTTTCCCATATCTAATAACGACTAAACTAGATTACTCGAAATAATTATCATAGGAAGTTATCAAATAGTATCTGCGTAAAACAGTAACAAACATTTTCGAATATTCGCAATAACATGAGTAGTAAACATTTGGTCCCACTTACTTGCTAGTAGTGCCAGAGCTAGTTTTATCATCACCAAGTGTGTGTACTTCAAACCGACCTTTTCCTTCGAGGATATCATGGCCAGTTGAAGTACTGATAGAATGCAGAATACTCCTAGTATTGAAACACCAATAGCTGCCACAACCCCCGCTATGTAGACCGCCACTGAAAACATATATTTTATATCGATGAGTCCTATGTATAATGGCCTATGTAATTTAGCCATTTTCATTTTTTTGCTTTAATGACTTCATAATTCTGTATTTAAAAAAGGGTATGCAGTAATAGGGCTTAAGTAACACACTTTTTAATGTATGAGGGCTTATAAACATTATTTAAAAAATTAGTAGGTTTCGTAAAATATTTCGTCATCATCGTCATCAGCCTATCTACGCCCACTGCTGAGCAAAGGCCTCTTTCTCACATGGAGAAGGTTTGAGCATTAATCACCACGCTTGCTCAAGACGGGTTGGTGATTTCAAACTTATAATTGTGAAACTATAAGTCCAGGTTTCCTCACGATATTTTCCTTCACCGTATGTCAGTGGTGTCTAAATACTCTCAGAAAGTACATATGACTCCGAAAAATCACATTGATACTTGCCAGGTTTGAACCCGCGCCCTCGGAAACGAGAGACGCCTCTACTGAAAAAATTACGTTTTGCACAATCCCTTATGCATATGAGCCACCGACATTACTATATGGTATTATAAGTAAAATCTACTCACAGTATGCTTGAACGAAGTTTTGTAGCGAATTGAATATAAATATTCATCCGAAACAGTTTACAGTTGACCAAACAAAGTAAATAGGTTTATGCTTCAGAACTAACCTTTGTTTTTTAATATTCACTAACCTAATTTTTTTTTATAACAATAATTGTAGCACCGTCACTTTGTATCAGGAATTTATAGATAGAACATAAAAATTCTACTAATTGGGTTACTTCACGTATATTATTATTTTAAACACTACATACTCCTGACGTTTCGGTTACTTTGCAAAGTAGCATAAGTATAAAAACCAAAAAATATTACTTTCATTTAAATGAATACTCGTGAAAGTCTTAGATATCATCAAGCTAATTAGCACTTATACAAACTACAAACTGGCATACAATTATAGGTATAATATATATATACATATACAAATCGAATCACAGGATGTCATTTGACGTGAAATAAGAAACTACAAACCTGAGTCACAACTTTCCTCTGACTATCTCACATATTGTACCGCATCCTGGGATTGCGCATTCATTACGTGCATCGGTTTCAAATGTACATTTAAAAGATATTACGCTCTAAAACCACGAAATCGTCGGATGTACATATGAACGCAGAAAAAGAAATGTGTATTACTCATTAAATACTGTATAACAACCATAAAATACTTATTTTGTATAAAGAAAGTGTCGCCAATAAGTTATTTCTGTCTTAATATTATAGTCATTACATTTAAGATAAATAAAGAAAGTAAAAGCCGAGTAATAGTTGGCTCATAATTTTCTCTAACTCTCGGTTTTACTCTAAGCGAATGTTATTTTTATCTCAAGATAAAGTTTCCATACCAATATCTACATGCAACGAAAAAACTAAAACCAGTTAAAAATATATCAAGAATTATGTCCAACTATGGTTGGAATGAAAAAAATACCGTTTGTACCAAGATTTTTTTCAGTTTGATGTCAATAAACCCAAGAATGTCTGTATATAATCAAAATGTAAATCTTAACTTTAAAACACCGAGTAAGGTATAAAGTATTTTTTATCACGAGTGTACTAATTTCCAAGATATATTTTTTATGTTGCAAAACATGCATAACAAGACAATTTCAAGGAACTACAATTGTTTATATTTAAATCATATAAAAGCAAATACTATTAAAGAAAATTATACCCAAAGAGGGTTGATGTCAGGCAGGCGGCCGGTCGTAAAAACAGGTAGCCAAAACTATTCACAACATGTAAGGCAGATCCTGGCTAAAGCTGGAAAATTGCCAAGTAGAAGAAGACTATTAAAGAAACTAAATTAACAATTTTGAACTCAAATTGCTAATATCTTAATCAAATCTCGTATCCTTAGTTTAAGGTACAACGAAACGCCTTTGTTTTAATTTTCCTGTTCACGTATTAACACGATACATTGCAAATTAATATTTATGTATGGAATTAAACACAGTATTCACTTTGTTATGGAAAAAAGATGCGTAATAATCAGAAACGACGACATACTAAGAGTAGCTCATTTAGAAATCAATATAAGTAAATGAAAATTTGAATATTAACTTAAATTACTCTTTGAATAAGTACCAAACTTATATTAGCAAACTAACATAGAATTGAGTAGCACTAGGGGGACTATGTGACTAGAATGAGGGACAATTTATAAAAGAAACGTATAATTATTAAACAATATACATACATTAACCAAGTAGGGAGACTCAATTTATTATAAATCTAACTGATATAACGACGTATTAATAATTTTTATATTTTATAATAACTTAGTTTAATTTTCATCAATATTTTTTTTAATAAATTCATAACTTATTAAATGGAATACGGTTGCAAAAAAATTTCAATGTTTGGAATCGACAACTCTTTATAAGCTTTCTAAAAATTAATCTTCATTGAACATTTTTGTTTCACAAAGAACATTCATAGTAAAGTTAGTAGTAATGTAAATATTTTGTCTAGTAACACCTAGCTCATAGTGTGACGTAAGGTGTTATATAAGCATGAGTTGTCTTTATTTTTGATATGTTAGCCAATATTTTATTTGGTATAAGGTCACTCAACTGGGCACTTGACCGACTTTACAAGAATTTCAGACGGATGATTTAAATTATATTAATATTATGGCTCATGTTAATGATCATTGTCTGGAAAAGTTACTTTTAATCTTCTTCTTCCTGGAAATTCCCCAGCTTTAGCCAGGGTCTGGCTTACATGTTGTAAATAGTTTTGGGTAAATGTTTTTACGACCGGCCGCCTGCCTGACATTAAGCCTCTTTGGGAATTAGAAAAGTTACTTTTACTAGTCGGATAAAATTTTTGCTAGAATACTTTGAATTTATTCTGAATACTATAAATTAAATAGCGAATAAACGGACCATAACAATGTTTAGTCAGATAGTCAAATGACTAACAATTTCAATATTAAATTATGCGTGGTGATTGTGCTGTTATAAAAACAGAAAACAATAGAGTGGCATTGAAAAGATGCAAGTAGAAAAGTAATTGTTTGAATGTACGTCTGCACGGGATGCAAGAATATAACTGTGTACTCAATATTATGTTTAATAAGTTTAATTAGGTACAAAAAATATAAGACGTACTAAAGCAGATAGCTACGTAAGGAGTTACAAAATATTTCGTACAAGTCACACCTGTATTTCACAACGACGCCAGTTTTCCTCACCTTGAGCATAATATTTAAAACCTATTGAATATCTAAAATAGTTCCACCATTGTTAACATAATGATCAATAGTTTAGTTTCCATATGTTATTACGTAATTTCAACGTTAGCTCATAGTTATTGCAAAAGCTAAGTTTGTTTCGTTAACTTATACTCTGAAAACTATAACACGTGATATAATAAAGTGATTTATGAAGATCTCAACTTTGATGTTATTAAATCGTGAAAAATAAATAGGAATAAGTAAATTTCAAAATTAATATTCATTATAAATAGAATACACATAATGTAGAATAAAAAAAATTAAATTTCAATACAATAATCGCTGAATATTTTAATATTAAAAAAAGATATTGTATGTGTTATTAATTATTATTAACTCAGTGAATCGGTCTTATGCTCTACTTGGTGACATGGGAATGCTATAACATAATATTGTGGACATTTAAATACCGTAACGAGAGATGATAAGAATTATAAACATTTCAATGTTCGTGAATTTAATGAATAAATTACATATTTTATTTGTTGAACCAATGATTTTATAGTTTGGGCTATTTGTATATGTGTATATGAAAAAAAGTATGTGATGCTTTCCTTATAGTCGTTTTTATTCATCAAAAACTGATCATAATTGCCAGTCAATATATCTTTGTCATATGATAGTAGTGATATCTAATTCTATACAATTCAACGTCAACTATAAATATTTAATTTTATGTTTGGTTGGGTATTTTCCTGCTATTATTTCATACATATTTCCTATGTGTCATATGTTTCTATGTTTTAATACTTTTGATTCTGTCGATCGAAAATGTTCTTTACTTTCTATACGTCAATAGAATTTCTGTCTTAAATTTATATATAGTACATATATTATGTAAACGTATGTGTAATGTATATGCAGTTATATGTGTAGAATATACGGTACAGTCATAGAAGCCCTATACAGTATATGTTTGATGACATGATGAAATTTTTGCACGTTTCATTTGCACAATGACTCATAAAATTATTATTCTTTCGTGTTGACTTAATAAAATCGTTATACAATATAATTGGCTTATAAATTATATTGAAAAATTATACAGAAAAATCTAGAGAATGGTTTGTATAAGCGAACCTGTTTTATTTATATTCTTTAGATTAAAACTAACTTAGTATGTAGTTTAGTTAGTTTTTGCAGCTTCAAAGAAATATTATATTTGTCAAATATGAATGATATATTGTTCCATATGAGTAACGGTGAACGTAACGAATCCCTAATGCATGGACACCTGTTGGCTTTTAGTCTGCACTTCCCATATATGTTGGAAACAATAGCGTCGAACTAAATTGAATTTTAATGTTGTCGTTTTAGGCTTAGGATATTGTATTTATACACCTGTGACCAATGCTCGATTTAATATAGATCGCTCCGTTTTTAAATTTAAACAGTTTAATTTAAAGCCATTGATTTGAAAATCTTAGATGCTTATAATTTTTATTTCATAGAAATAACTTTGTAACCACTTTAGTACACATATAGTAGTAATCTATATCTCTTTTTGTATATTAACTATATGAAATAAAAAAACGTATGGCAAATTCCTTTCGAATGCTCTTTATCAGTGAGTAACCTTCTCCATGTGAGAAAGAGGTCTTTACTCAGCAGTGGGCTCTGATTGGCTAATGAAGATGATGATTATCAGTGAATTCGTTAGGTATTCGTTTCGTGTAAGTGAAATTTATATGTTTATGTTTCATCGATTCACGAGTATACATCAGCAGGATGTTTGAAACAATGCAACCATTACACAAGGCGATGTTGAGCACAATGTCATTGTTTAAACACCCACAACGAATGCGTTTAGACTTGCATGGGAAAATGTATGAGGAAAAATTGTTAGAGAAAATAACAGTGATATTAATTTTGAAAAATTCTTTTGATGATTAATCAATATTAATGAGTGATTAATGTTTCGTGGTGTTATTAGGTGTATGCAAAATTCTGTATGCAATGTAATTGATATAATATTTTTTTTATTATACATTAAAATTTTACTCATTAATAATCCATTATTATACAGGATATGTATGTAACATGTTTTTTGTTTTATATCAAAGGACGGAAACATCGTAGTGCTTCTATTGAACACATCATATCATATTGCATCTTAGGCAGACTGATATAACATTATTAGTTTTAAAATAAAACGTACCTTCAAAGCTTACTGTAATTAATAAAGCATTATCTTTTGTGATTTTTGAATGTATAATTTATATTAAAGATATGCTTAGATTTATATTAACAGACTCACTATAGAAAAAACGATGAAGTCATAATATCATAAATTATTTGATTATATATACAAAAACAAATATTTTTATTTCTATTTAAATTAATAATGTCTTAAATGTATTGAGGAAGCTGCGTTTAGAAAATAAAGCCTATACAAGAGAAATATTTTTCAATATAATTTTAAATTTAAAAAAAATTGACAAACTATGCATTATAGGATAAGAAATATTAAAATCATCATACTGTATATATTAGAAAATATAATACTTTTATATTGTGATATTAATGTGATATCTTAATTAAAATTTTAAATACTTAACTTAGAATTAAACAAAAAAAGCTATTATAAGAATGTGCGAAATATCTGCATCAGTGTAATTTCTTTTCTAAGTAGCACATGTACAGTAAAAGTAGCGCGTGTGACTTGAATGAATACTTTATAATTATAGAACTAATGTACATATATTACCTTATGATTAAACATAAAAATATTCGCACTATTTTGTATAATATAAACCAAAATCACAGCTAATTTTGCAGTAAAATTAGTTTAGTTGTTTTAGACACGTTAGCTTATCACAAAGTGAGTGTGTAACTGTGAAATTTGGCATAAAGTACAAAGGCCCGACCTTGTTAAGGCAAAGTAATAACTTTATTATAGCAAGTAGAGTGTGTCTAAGTTTTTGCCTGTCCGAGAGATCCCCGATCGTCGGACCGGTTCTTGGTAATCAGTAGTGATCATCTAGATATCTAGAGATAGAATCTCATTGATGCATTTCTATTCTATCTGCATACACAAGCATTAGAATATGACAAATAAAATATTAACAGTCATAAATAATAATAGCTAATATTTTCGCGTGTATTCATTTAAATGAAGCAAATTTTATAGTAAACTACGCGTTTTGCATTATTTTATAACACATAGTCCCGACGTATCGATTCCTTTACAGATAGGTACAGTCAAAATTTCAACAAAATAAATATTTTATATAATACAATATAATAGATTTGGCTCGTATATTTTCTTGCACATTATATACTTTCGTTGCTCGTATTATTTTTTTAATTACAGAAAATATAAATACATTACTATCAATATTATTATAAAGTAGTTAATTTAATTTGAATTCATTTTTAAGAAATTAATTATATATAATTAGAACAAAGCGTGTTTTTGATGTGTCTATTACAAACATCCCACGATTTTGAGACAATGAGCTTTGAGTTTATTAAATAAAGGTTAACCTCCTATCACATTTCCCATAAAGATGTTGACCGCTTCATACACTTTACTTTTAATCCGCTTGTAACGGTTAAAGAAGCCATTATAATAAAATATGCTAAAAAAAATATCAATTTGAATACTTTAACGGAATATTTAAGAAGTTTAATTTTATCTTTTTATACATTTAAAATAAGATTATTTTTAAGATATAAAGATAAATAATAAATAATAATATACCTTTAATTAATTTTATATAACTTATATATATATATATATAAAAATGGATTGCTGTTCCTTAGGCCTCGGCCTCGAATCTCGCGGGTAGCGGGGCGGCAGCGGCGGCGGCACGGAAACGCATACTATTCTCCAAACTAGCGGGCAGCGGGCACGGAGAAATGTATGCGTTTTCGTGCCGCCGCCGCTGCCGCTCCGCTGCCCGCAAAATTCGAGGCCGAGGCCTTAGTCTCGCTAAAACTCGAGAACAGCTGAACGGATTTATCTTATCTTAGTCTTGAAATGTTCGAGGAGATTCAGGGAAGGTATAAAAGGTGAGAAAAATTGATTCATTTTCGGGAAAACCCTAAAAACAGCCCTTTTCTATTTCCCATACAAATGTTTTCTTTGACATTAGATTTGACAACTAACTAATATGTCAATCATTCTGTTCGATTGAAACAGGAAAAACCTGATTATTTATGGCCTCTAGGACGGAATACAGTTCGCCCGGTCAGCTATACATATATTACTAACTAGAAGACCTGGCGAACTTCGTATCGCCCTATAATCAAGAAATATCTATTACGTTTTTTATTTATATTTTTGGAGTTTACCTGTAAGCCATAAATCTGCGTGTTTTGAAGTGCGACAGAATGATTGACATATTAGTTGTCAAATCTAATGTAAAAAAAAAACGTTTGTATGGGAAATAGAAAAGGCTGTTTTTATGGTTTTCCCAATAGTGAATCAATTTTTTTCAGATTTTATACCTTCCCTGAACCTCGACGAACATTTCAAAACTAAGATAAATCCGTTCAGCTATTCTCGAGTTTTAGCTTGACTAAGGAACAGCAATCCATTTTTATATATATAGAAGAAGATGATGAAATTAACGCGGACGAAGTCGCGGGCAAAAACTAGTAACTTAATAAAAATAGAGAAATTGAAAAAGGAAAGCTTTCAGTTTATTTAAATTACTTAAACTGTTGAGAGTCATTGAATATTCATAAGATAAAAATATTGTTAGCAGCCAGTTTAACTTGGTAAATTATCGCCGATTTTCTACGAATTACTTATAAAAGTACATATGAAATTCCGATACTAGAACAAAATTAAAGTAACTACCCCTTAACGGTTAAAAATAACTATGATGGTGTCATATTAATGTTGAAAATTGTCATTCATATATATAAGGTGATAACTAAAATGACATCAAAGTCACGCTACCTAGAATTTTAAGGCTTGTTCGTTGACATATTACGTACGTGACATCAAATTAATTATTACTTAATTTATTACGATTTTATATACAAAGGTTATCTATTGTTACACCATGTTAAAAAAGAGGTTATGTATTTTGTTTATATACAAAAAACAATAAAATGCTGTCGCTAACAATCCATAGTAACATAGAGGTCGATGCTATGAAAAAATCAATAGGTAGGAGACATAGTTACTTCCTACTATTAGGTACTTCCTTGCATATATTTGTCATTACTAAGCGAATTTATTACGATAAAGGACATTTATACTTAAATTTTATTAAAGAATTTTGTTCTTTTAACCTGAAATGTTTTATCAATAACATTGTATCTAAGACGATGTGAAAAACGCAAATGAAAATGGGTATATACCACGCTAACGGCCTACTTTTTTTGTGTCTCAAATGTCGTTTGTTCGGAATTGATCTATAAGAAATAATGACTCATTTTCAGACGATAATATAATAAGAATTCCTATGATATTGCTGAGGAACGGTTAAAATAACTGTCCGTCAAATATTTTGCTTGTAATAATGACTTTACCATTTAGGTAACTAACGTAACTTTTATGGTCTATCATTTGACAATAAATATCATTTTATTAATGATAATACTAAATTAAGTAATAACTTTGATTCCAAAACTTCGATTTAAATTAAACGTCGTAATATTTTAAAACTGTACTCCGTTAGAATGTAGTTTGGAGCACGACTTTTAAAAAAACGATAATAAATAGCAACGTGATAAATATTTCAGAATCGTGCCAATAAATAAAGTAAGAGAAAACTTTGTTCACGACTTACGGGACGGCCTGAACTTGGATACATCGATGCCGCACTTCTCTCTGTAGTAAAGCAGACGCTTGCACACTCGCCATGGTCCGAAATAACCTTGATCGAAGTTCGGGTTCTCTACTGCAACAAAAACATATTTATTAGCCTATTATATTAATAATATTAATTTAAACAAACAAAACTTTTGTATAGACCTCGTTAACAATACGTTTCAAATTCGAAACAGAAGCAACTAACTTTATAGAGGGGATTAAATAACAAAATTTCTATCAAAAGCATTGGATGAATGAAATCAATGTTAAATCACGTTACAAAACTATCCAGTCACGAAATGAAGGAACGTTATACAAGTTTAAGGGACTTAAATTGTGAAACTCACAATCTATGACGCTCCCTTGGAAATTGAAGGTAGTCACGAAAATATGTATAAACGCTGCAGTATAAATAGAATCGAAGACGTTACTTTTCTGATACGTCTCAAACGAATTGGGTCATGTAATATGTTTTTCAAGATGTATGTAAATTCTGCTAAGCGTATTTGTATTTAACAAAGATTCATTCCGTCTTACTATATAAGCAAGACGACGTTATATCGCTGTAAGGTCATATGTCTATCACGATTTACCGAGAGCATACTAATTCGATTCACAATGCAATGCAAATTGTACGCTCGGTAATTGGGTAATGGGGTTTAGCTAGACATTGAAATTTTATTTCAATTATTTATAAAGCAGTCCTGGATGTTTTTAATGTCACTGAAAATCATCTCACTTTTTTATAAAATTGACGGCTAAAATTTGTATTTTTTCTTCCAAGATACTGTTGCTTTAATATTAAGTAACAGCATTTAATCTAGTATAATGAAATTCTTAATATATTATATTTTTTACGTATAAATTGTGAAGTCAAGGTTAAAAAATATTTTCCTCAACCTACCATATATAATTCTTTATTTTAAGTCAATACGTATTGAGATAATGATGTCAGCTGGCTGTAACTTTCCTACATTAGAAAAGGAATACACATGTCTTTTCAATTAAAAACTAATTAAAATATTATGAGCTGTTAACGACTGTCAAGTCATACGTGATTAACGAAAGTCCATTGAACTAGTTACATTTAAAACTATTTATCTGAGTTCATTTAAATGTACTTACATTTGAACTTAACCTTTGGTAACCTTAATATGTACACCTAAAAATTCAAATCAATATTTTCAAAAATGACATATAATGTCGTGTATATAAGGACTACAATGCATTTTGTCCGAGGAGGTAGCTAATTAGTTGACTTGTATGAAGAACGAGTGTCACATTTGCACCTCATTATGACTCACAAGTCAAGTCAATTATCCGACCTTGCATTAGGCGACCTATATAATATACCTACACATAAATCATCCAATGTCATAGTTTACCTACGAAAATACATATAAGTTATGAATTCAACTCGATAATCCTAATTATTATCCTCAAAATTTAGAAATCATTGTTAACCAGATAAAAAATATCTTAATATTGGTAATAACTAAATTTTATGACAGAATAAATATATTGTTATATATAACTATATTGTTGAAGAAAAGATGAGTTTAAGTGAGTATGTCGAATTATATGGTGAGAACTTCAGCTACGGCCTATAAACTAAATATGTATTCGCAAGCAATACTAGAGTGAGAACAAATAGTTAATACTGCTTTATATTTTTAGTATTAAAATACGTACTAGATGTTAAGGTAGGTTATAAACTAAAAAATATAGGATTCCCTACTTATTGAATTTTACTCCCATAGAATCCTACTAATATTATAATTGCGAAAATTTGTGAGTGTGTGTATGTTTGTTACTTCTTCACGCTCAAACGGCTGAACCGATTTTGATAAAGTTTTGTTTACAGGAAGCTGACGTCCAGGAATAACACAGGCTACTTTACATCCCGGAAATCCAGGGGTAACACCGTGGGGCGTAGCTAGTTTCCAATAATTTATTGAATGCACTGTATTATTTTTCATCACAACATTTTTCTTTTTGAATACGTTGAAATGTTGTAAATAAATTGTTTTCAGTTAAAACTAAGTACTATAGAAGAATTATTCAATAAATTATCAGCGATGGCTTAGTCGTTTTCTAAACACGTTTATTTTAATTATCCCATGCACACTCGTGTAAATTTTATAATAAAATATTGCTCAATGAATCATATTCAATGTATTTATGTTACTGTTTAACTCGAAAACTAAGGAACGGATACATCGATACAAAATAACAGGATAGCGGTGTCCAAAATAAAAATAATATTATCTTTACACATGTTAAATAGAAGAATATATTTTATAGGTAATGTCTTTTTGACAAAAATATAAAGAGAAAAATGAATTATTAATACTTACTTACTTTATATAGAAAAATTTATTGTTCGCTACATTTCACGTTTAAATTAGATATTCAAATATTTTAAATTTTTTCAAAGACACATCATACCCAATTTAATAAACCACTATTCCCGTGGGAAACAAACCATGCGGTCCATTTAGTTACCAATATATTGTGTTACAGAAAATAGATTTCAAAGAAAGTAATACATATCCATAACAAAAGCCTTTACATACAACTGTTGCATAACAACGGGACAGTTGCTCAGAGTGTTTTGTAAATATTTTAAAGCCTAACGTGTCACAAATCGTTAGAGAACAATAAGTCATAAAGCGAGCGATAAGTCAACGATACTACGACCTGGTTAGATAGCCTAGATTAAAAGTGCAAGAAACAAGTACCTAAGTAGAAAACGAAAGAGCTTATTGAAGAGATTCGATACAGGTGCTGTGTTTGAAATTTTGTAAGAGTAAATCAAATCAAATGAAATGCTTTGATATAGCATAGAATGAAGCTTTCACGGAAATATTTGTATACTAGTGAAAGATCAGGCTTAATATTGGAATACTACCAAAAATATATAGACTTAGATACTATTGTATGTCGTTTAATTACAATAAGTGGTGAAACTAATATTTATAAAGAAATGTCATTGCTGAAGTAATTTGCAGTATTTTAATTAGTAAATACTAATTGGATGCGCCAGTGTACATATTTTTTTATGTAAAACTATCTAGGTCACTTTGCATTAATGTCAATTAGTGACATAAAATGTATGGTAAAAGCCTTGTTTTATAAATTCATTATAAAGTATTGGGACAAAAAAGCACTTTATGTGTTCCATAGTAATGAAAATATGCTAATATTACTTGTTATAACCAAATACTAGTATAATCATATTCTATCTATATCTATAATATCTATCTATATATATTAAGAATAACGTAGCTTAGAAATCACGAAAATTCACCTGAACTCAACGTCGTTCAAATTTATTTTACAAACATTGTAAATGCGATTTACTTAGTGATATTTCAAAACATGTTTTCGTGATGATTTTGCTGACGAATGAAACTGTCGAACAAAAGAATTCAAAACTTCTACGAAGTGAGAGGTTTGTTTTGTGTATTTGTTTATTTTTTCGGAAGAAGAAACTTTTAATTTTAAAATTAATTTGATATCAACATTAGATTGCAAAATATGTGTATTAGGTGTACTTTTAAATATATGTATTAACTACTAGCTATCTGCCCGCAGCTTCGCCCGCTTGGAGTTCGGTTATATCGCGTTTCCAAGAGAACCTTTCAAAAGTCTGGGATAAAAACTATCCTATTTTCTTTCTCAAGGTCAACTCTATATCTGTACCAAATTTTATTAAAATCAGTTCAGTGGTTTAGGCGTGAAATCGTAACAGACAGACAGACAGACAGCGTTACTTTCGCATTTATAATATTAGTAGGGATTTATTATTGGTGAAGCTCAATTGTGGTTAATTTAGTACTCTTCAGTTCTAAATAGACTTTATGACAAAACCATTAAGTTTTATTATAAAATATGTACAAAACTTACCTTACAATTAATATACAATTATTTGAAAAAACATTATTATAAATTAAAATTAAGAATATATTACATGTATTGTATATATGTTTGACAAAATAATCCATTGTTTGGCAAATCATTAAGGGTCAAAAAATCTTTAGCTTCGGATGTACAAAAAAAAACGTGGGCCGTATTTGCTTTGAGGTCATTGTCAGTTTAAAAACTCTGACAATAGCATAATACGTGCACTGGCAAGCATTACACAGAACAGTTATACCGACCTTATGACAATGTTAAACCGAAATTGTTTGAAATTAATGTATTTTATTTACTATATAAGAGTTATTTATATATAACTAGAAGACCTGGCGAACTTCGTATCGCCCTATAATCAAGAAATATCTGTTACGTTTTTTTATTTATATTTTTGGAGTTTACCTGTAAGCTATAAATCTCCGTGTTTTGAAGTGCGACAGAATGATTGACATGTTAGTTAGTTGTCAAATCTAATGTCAAAAATACGTTTGTATGGGAAATAGAAAAGCGCTGTTTTTAGGATTTTCCCGGAAATTAATTTTTTTTTTTCAGCTTATATACCTTCCCTGAACCTCCACGAACATTTCAAGACTAAAATAAGATAAATCCGTTCAGCTGTTCTCGAGTTTTAGCGAGACTAAGGAACAGCAATCCATTTTTATATATATAGAAGATAAAAGGAATAGGGATTCGTAGGGACTAATCCCTACTAATATTATAAATGCGAAAGTAACTCTGTCTGTCTGTCTGTTACGCTTTCACGCCTAAACCACTGAACTGATTTTAATGAAATTTGGTACAGAGATAGAGTTGACCTTGAGAAAGAACATAGGATAGTTTTTATCCCAGACTTTTGAAAGGTTCTCTTGAAAACTCGATATAACCGAACTCCAAGCGGGCGTAGCTGCGGGCTTGAAAGCTAGTATTTATATAGTTAACGATTTCTTGAAATATATGTAGTTTTATCGTTTCATTTTTGTATGTAATAATATTGCATTCCTAATATTTATTTGTATCTGGCGGCTAATAATAATTTTCTTCATAATCTTCCTTGATAGGAGGAAAAATAAATAACGTTTTTATATGAATTATAAAGGATACATTTGTCGCTTATAAATTATATAATATTATAGATTTTTTTTATATTATAAGGAAGTTAACGGGGATGTTAATGTTAGGAATAAATAAAAATATATTGAAGTACATCTTCTTCCTGGCAATTTCCCAGCTTTAGCCAGGGTCTGCCAAATGAAGTACATAATATGTTATAGTATAAACTATAAATAATATAGTACATAATGAGATCTAAGATTTTCGCGAGTACACATTTAAATGAAACTTATATTTAAAAGTAGCCGAAACGTCGGGAGTATGTAGTTTCTAATCAAAAATAAAACGCGAAGTAAAATCCAAAAATATTAGTTTCATTTTAATATAGTACAGTAATTTTTAATGTTATATATGTATATGTGGTTTGTCATAGTGAATGTCAAACAAAAATATGAAAATTTACGACAAATGAGAATTGGGTTAAGGTTTTATGACTAATACGGTTCATACTAAAAGTACTATGTTTGAATATTGCGGTTGTAAAATTTTCCTGGGTGTACCAAAGCGTTTCAATAAATCGAAATGCTAGATAACATGCATGTAAAATTTTAACATTTATACAATTTACCTACATACTCTGTATTAATAAATGATTATCTATATACATATGTAGAATATAACTAATAGGATTGTCTGTCTTATTTGTATTTTTGGACAAGTAATTGATTCCCAAACGGCTAAAACTCGTAAGTTTTTTTTGCATCAGATACCAAATTTATTTAAAATATTTAAAATAAAAAAATCGTTCAATATATACCGGCCAGTACATTTTTGAAAAAAAAATATTTTTTTATAAACTTGTCGAAAACATAGATTTTTAAAGTTAAAATACAAGACGCAAAATATAGATATATTGTTCACCACACATAAACATATGTTTTTTAATATATCTATGGATGTATGGAGAACTTGAAGTAAACATTGTTATACCAAAGATTATTACAATGTGCAAGAATTCATACATGCTAAATACTATAACTACGCCCACATGTATACGCATATCTTTATAAGAATTTAGAATATACATACATACATAGTATATTAAAAATCGTCTTACATTTTTCTATAGATTATGTATTTAAAATATACAACACAACGATTTATCTATTGATAGTTTCGTAATATAATAGTTATAAAATGCTAATATTTATATGTTAAGTGCCCATGAGCTAACATCTACAAGTTTTGTGACAAAGCTCTGGGGTCAATGACCCGTTTGGCGGGCGGGCCACATTTAAAAATGCAACCAGAGTTACAAGAATGCGAGAACACGGATAAAATATTGCCAAAAAAGTGCTATAATAATTTTCCTGTCTTTATTGCTTAGTAGAGAAATTTGGTTATTTTTATGTTTTATTTCATTTTGATTCGATACGAATCTCTATTTTTTTTATACTAAAGAGAATTCAAAAGCAACGATCGCATTGCATTCATCCTTTCATTCTTATAATCCTCCTTGGATATTATGTAAAAAAATAATAACGATTTTTAATAGGTATTAAATGTGCATATACATATTAAAAAGATAAAATTTAAGCCGATCTTACGATACTTTAGTGAATATATTTTATGATTAGTTCTATTTTGTATCATATAATAATTTATTCCCACAAATGTATTATATATGTTAAGTTTTTCATAATACATATATAAATTAGTCAATTATAATATATAATAATAATTGCAATTTATAAGGCCGATTTATTACCGGTAATACCATAAACGAAGCTTTATAAGAAATGCAATTAAATAAATGACTTCTAATCTTATCTTTATCTTAGGGCTTTAGAAAGGTGAAATAACAGCATCGTCTCCACTTCGACCTAGTTTTTGGGCGCCGCTTCCGTTCGCGAGTCCGGTTTTTTTTGTTACAATAGTTTTTGTTAGAGAAAAAACATAGTACTGATTACGGCTATACAAACTATAGTTTCATATCATTGATTAAATAGTTATAATAAATTTACTACTTATAGAGAAACTATGGTACATATTAGGAAACATTTTATTTAAATATGAGAATACGTAAATAAATAAAATAATATGTAATTCTATTTCATTCCTAATGAAAATCATATCTACTAGAATTTTTCAGCTGTATCTACATAGAAATAAATAATAAAAACACACACATATTATATATATGTACTAATATTTTTTTACCTCCCTACTTTATTACTTCATATATATGTTTAAGAAAATTCTAATAATTATATTTATTACTCACATAAAAGTTATCCCCTAATAAAATGAATGGTTGATTCACTCATTAGGGGCCATCCATAAAATACGTCACACTAATTTCATGAGTTTTTGAGCCCTCCCCCGTCCTTGTCACAGGTGGTCACGTTTCTGAGACCCCCCCCCCCTCCCTAGTGTGACGTCACATGTTTTGCAATTTAACATCGAAAAATTATTAAATTAAAACAGCAGTTCCGAAAATAGTTTTATTTCCATTTAAATAAAGTACTTTCTTATGAAATCAATACAGTATCAAATATTTGAAACAATAACAAAAAAATAAACTAATGAATATACATATATGATGACGCGCTCAGTTTTAAAGATTTTAATTAATATTTCAAATTACGCGATTAGTACCTCTAGATTTTGAAATGTGATGTCACGAAACTTAGGACCCCTCCCACCCCTTGTCACACCATGTCACACTTTGTCGACCCCCTCCCACCCCCTTTACGTGTGACGTACTTTATGGATGGCCCCTTACTAACATTGTATTAATTGACATCATAATAATTTATCACATACCACTAATCACATATAATTAATAATGAATGAACATAATTAAATTATTTCATTATATATCTAATTAATGATTATGCAATTGCATTTGCATAATATCATGAGAAATTTTCAATTGATAAAATTATATTGAACCGATGCAATTTTTAAACATGTAATTCGAGCTAAACAAATCAATTCATGTTACACTCGGTAAGTAACTTTATTGACTTTAAATGAGTTTTTATGACTTTAATAACAATAAAAGATCATGAAATATATTCAACCACATACATTTTCATATAAAACTGTAATATATATTAATTTTATGATAATAATATTATTAACACGGACTTACAGCTGTAAAAATGCCCCCAAGTGGGAAGTCCGACGGCAACCGCTCCGACAACGAAGCATATAAATCCGATGACTACAACAGCTATAGAATACAGAGCCTTGCCGCTAGCCATGGCTGCATGATCAGCCGATCTCAGGAAATCTTCTAGACATCAGGGCTTATAGTGATAACTGATTTGGTACATCTGAAAAAGAACTCACTATGAATACTATGAAGTTTCCTTATAAGAAAAACTTTTTATATAGCAATGATTGATTTCTCATTGTTATGGCTATGTACAAAATACAATATTTTATTTAATTAAAGATTTGTTTGTAAGAATAAAAAAATTATCTTTATGTTGATACTTATAGCCAATTAATAGTTTTCTTTCTTAATAAATAATGATTAAGTGGTAACAGACCCTACTTTTTAACATTTCTAAAATAGTTTTGCAAAAAAAAGTATTTTACAAGAATCTAATTGGAATGCATGATTATTTTTTTGTAAGATGAACAAGAAAGTTTTAAATCGAGAATTATTAAATGCTTATTCAACCATACAATGTTCTATATCTAAAGCTATATTACAGTTATTCAAATGTTACTTTTACTCACGTTTACTTCATAACTCTTGATCAAAGGCAAATCACTCGACTGTGCAATAATTGTGTTAGAATTAATTTACACTCTGTAAACAGCGTGAATTAAGTAAATTCAGAAGCATTATATTATGTATTGGACAATTCATTCGTTTTCACCTCAATGCACAATGTTCACTCACTATTCGAAATTCGAACCTACGACACACCTTTGCGAACGTCAATTTTATTCTTCAACAAAAACACTTAGTAAATATAAAACATAAAGTAATGGTATAAATTAAAAACGAACACGAACAGCTTCAATTAAAAATTTAATTTTCACAACAATTAATATTATACCAATTGATAAAGTTGGAAATGTACAAACAATGAATTCTTATGAGAACCACGATGTAGTAGCTAGTCCCGCGGCATTTAGCCGTTACCGCGCGCGACGTAAATTCCTACTGAATGTGATCAGTAAATAAACTGGTTTTTTGATGGCTGTTGATGTTCAACATCTATCTGCAGTCTGTACACTAACCAGTGACATAGATAATGAAACGGCATTTTGACAACTTACGTATCAATCGCCTGTATCATTAAATATGTATAGTATATTTAAAACGTAGTTATTTTAATCTTGAAGAAGAAAAAAGTGTATCTGTATATAGTAATTTTAAATAATAATCCGCGAATATAATATCAGTTTTGGTAGCTGGCAACATTAAAGTTAGTAGCAGTTGAAAATGGTTACGATGGCGCTAAAATTTGAATATTCAGAAATTGAAATGTAATTGTTATTGCTTCTTCATGACATTATTTAAATTAAAAATTGTAATTATAAAAAACTAGTCAAATCCAATATATGAAAACACTCAATATGTTAAGAATAAAATTTTAGAAATAAATTTTAAAAACGACTAAAAATAGAATAAATCATAAAAAAGCACAAAAAAGTTTTTATTATAAATGCTTTTAGGAATTCCGGGATAGAGCGGCCACCAACGACTATCATTTACGCGTTCTTATTTTAACAAGGTATGTATATTATGCGAGGTCATTCTATTTTAGTCGCCACCCAAACAGAACAACGAATCTTTCTCATTTGTTTAAGTAGATTCGTAGAAATTAGAGATAATATTGGATTATACAGTAAATATTTTCAAAATCATATTTTTAACGATAAAAATAAAAGAGAAATCTTAGCTTAACATATATGTGAGAAGTTTTTTCAACGTCCAAGACATTTGTTACAATGTTAATGTTGATTTACGTTTGTATTTTTGCCACTACATGTAAGTATCATCAATGATTATTAATTAATGTTTATATAATTTTTATTATTTATTTAAATCCATTCATTCATTCATTCAACAGCCGGTGTTACTTCTGAAACCCAAGTAAGAATAATATTTTTATTATTATATTTTATGACTAAAAACATACTTCAATGTTGCCAGTATTATTATTTTGTTTGTCACTAGTTTTTTTTTTCTTATTAATCTAAATGATAATGAACAATTTAACTCCAGAATGCTAACCCGGGATGTTCAGAGGTCGGAGATTGCCTTATTAGCAAAGAAAACTGTAATGATATATGTGGATGTGACAGTGCAGCAGCGTGAGTTTATGTCCTAATAAAATCCAACAATATGCTATATTTTGCAGATTATAGTTAATACTTCACAGTATTTTTTTATTACAGTGTACTATTTTACAACGAAACTCTGGGCGAATGTGTTGTAAACGTAAAAAAACTTTTAAACTCACTCACTGAACGATATAATACTCAGGGTAAATATTTAATCTGTATAATATATTTAACTCGTGCCTTATTATTTATGAGTATATTTTGTTTCAGAAAAAATACTCACAGAAGTGAATAAAGTATTCCAAGGAGTGATGGTATCTGTCATATTATTCGTACTTTGCGCTAGTGTGTGTGCATTCACAGCCTGTGTGTATTGCTGCAGAATAAATTATACGTATGTATTATATTAGCACTAACATCAGATAGAAAGGGATTTTTTTATGTACATATTTGATGACATTCATACAAATGTATATTGAGATTACACTTTTTAATTTATACTTAGTCGTCAGATAGCGTTGTTAATGTAAGCACTGGCCAATTTTTACTTTTTTTAATTTTCAATCTGTGGCTTCGCCCTGTCATTCTTTTGAGCAAGAGCGTATATATTATTATCCAATGTCCTTATACTTTTGTTCTATATAAAGGCATTGTTTTGTTATTTTCAGCTCACTTTTTTTAATTACGTACATATAGGTATATAATTATTTATGTTTCATCGTTGAACTGTCACTTGTCAAGTGTCAGACTTCGATAGTACTTTCTATTAAAGTCTTACTTTATAATCATTTTTATACAATTATAATTATACATATAATATTATTCGTTTCTATTCTTATTTATGAATTTATTCATAAATGAACTCAGTGTTAGTTTTTCCTTTTAATTTTTATCCTACTTTCAGAGATAGACGTCTACAAAGCGATGTTGAAGCTCTAGCTAGTAAGCTGAAAAGGGAATGCCGTTTGAGAACTATAAAGAAAACTCCTACTAAACCAGCCGAGGAAAGTTGTAATATCGTTGTAGCTGACGCCGATATATATGTTGTTTGACATTTAATAATTATAACATATATTCCTCTCGTCCTAAATAAAGAGATTTCGTTAAACCAAAATAGTTTTTTTTATTTCAACAACGCATCCATTTTTTTTAATATATAAATGCTTTGACATTCTATTGACAGTAATAATTTTTTCTTGAATTTCGTAATATTTTGAACTATTGTTGTAACACATCTTTCTACAATATACCCTAAAAATTATTAAAGCATTTATGCCAACAATATTTTGAATTGAATTATGCTACTGGCTGTTCTTATAAGAAAATGTATCAATACATTATTATGTGAAATATTTATAGAATTCTTCTCAAGTTTGCAGTATTTTCTTTAGGAGGTAAATGGAAGTTTTATTGATTGTCTAGTTGAATTTGAATTCAAGTAGTAATTTTAACATTTTTGACATATCTGTAAAGTATGCTGAATAAAATAATATTATATTATTATACCACACCTCTCATATATTTTTATTTTATGGATTTAAATTAATGAACATTAAATTGAAGTGTTATAAATTACAAAAAGATTTACCATTACAAGGAATTATAGAAAGCTGTTTTTATCTGGAACTTATTCAGTGTCATTTCTATTGTGTTTCTTATTAATATTAAAAAGAAATGTTTAGTATGTATAACCAAAATTTAATACGTGAATCCGTGAAGAGATGCCAAAAGGACACTGAATTCTTTATGACAATGACATTTGACATTAACAGATCAATATTGCCTATTCTCACTAACAGAAGATCAAGTGTTAATAAAAATTAAAATGTTTGACAAAAATAACGTGTGAATTATGGTTCTTTTTCTAAGGACACTTTAACCAAAGTGTGTTATGCTTGAAACAAAGTAAGTAAAGTGCAGTAGGCGAAATATAGTCATACTTTTTTTTGTTTTGATAATTCAATTGTAAATTATATGTAGTACGCTAAGGGTAATATTTGGTTTGGGTTAACAGGTTTCTACAAATTTGGTTAATATTAGGGTTGTTTAATTTTGAGTTGAAGTGAACACTAGGTTGTTTAAATAGGAGTATTTAGTAATACTTATATATTTCTTTTCCAGTTTTCAACTTAAAGAATGGAAGACAACAGTCTTCTAGACATGGTGATTACTACTGTCGGTGTTATTATAACTATGGCTCTGCTGAGTTGTCTTTGCTGTTTGTGCATGAAGTTAAGGTAAATATTTATATTTATTCTCAATTAAAATACCCAATTATATTATATAAACATATAATAAAGACCCCCAAGGCAGACCCTGGCTAAAACTGGGAAATTGCCAGGAAGAAGAAGAAGATTATAAAGACCCCAATCTCAGAGAGAAAAACTTTTGAAGAAAAAATTGTAAAAAATTGTATATTGTATTCTTGACTAATGTGATGAAGATTTTTGTTTTTGATGTTTAAAAGAAACTTAAATTTTTCATTGATTAGTGCTAATAGTGGAATTAATAACGTTTCCATAAAGATTTAATTAAAAATGTTTAAACATTATATTTAATGAATTACAGTGATCTGAAGATGCAACGGTACATTCTAGAAATGGCAAATAAAAATGGTGTGAAAATTGACTTAGACAAATTGGACTCAAAGAAACCACAACCTCAAGAGGTAAATGAAACATGTACTATAATGATACCGGATGTGGCCATAATACTTTAGAAAAAAACATATGACATATTTTAAAACAATTTACAATGTATGTGTCTAAAGTTCATAATGAAATTACTTATTTAAGCATTGCTTTACTGCTCTAATAAGTAGGCTGAAAATACATGCAAATTATTATGCTGCTATAAAAGAATATTAAAACAACACATGAATTTAAGCATACCATTCAACTTCATATAAAATGCATTAGAAATGCTTAATAAGCAATAAATAAATATGTACATTTTTCATGAGTATGTGTTACCACAAATAGCTTCTTTGTTAGACAACTATTGTATCTATTTCAAGTAAGCTTACAATTGGGGCATATATGCCTTATTTATACTCCCGGTATTGTTTAAGAAACTTAGTGCTTATTTAAATATCTGAGGTAATTAATTTATAATTATGAATAATTCCTGTATCTCAATGGCTTTTTTTAATAATACAATTGATAATTACTGGTAATTTTCCCAATTTATTTTTAGTCCACTGATCTAAAGACTCATAAAAGGATCAAATTAAATACTTTTTTAAAGACAGTATAAAATCCTGTGTACAGCTAACACAAGTCATTTATTTGCGCACTTTGGATTGACAGTTGGAATATTTTAAAAAATAGAAGTAATTTCTACTTGATTTAAGTTCTAAGTCATGTACTTAAAGCTTATATGATACATATAAGTTTATTTACTCACTACTTATTAAGTAACAAATCAGAATACTTATGTTTGGATATTGGAATGTTTGCAACAACCTATAATATGTTATATAAGTTTCTTAGTTTAAGATTTGAAAATGTATTGAGAAAGGTGGTTAAAATTTATTTTTTCTAGAATATATGTAACCTTTTATTTGTACTACATATTTAAATTCTATTAGAATCATAGGCATTATATTTTGGATTTTTTTTTACATATTATAACAGATAATATTCAAACTTGTTGTGGATGAAACTAATATTTTCGGATTTATTTTTTATTTTTTGATTATAAACTACATGTTGTTGTGGATCTTGAAAAAGTAAGTGCCAATAACAATTCTGGACTGCCAATTATGAAGAAGTGGCACAGTTTTGTTAAGTTTGTCTATTGTTTTTATATAAATTTAATATTTAAATCTCATTAAATATTATCTGTTAATTGCGGTAATTGATTTAAGGCATTACACAGTTTTTTCACCACAAATGTTAATCTTCATATATATTTGATAGTGACATTTCACACACACCCAATTTGACAGTTAATAGTTTATGTAAATTGTGTATTAATTTATTATAAAACCACCTTATCTCACTATGTTTCCATGGTTCCTAATCTATACCCAAAAATATTCTAAATTAAGTAAAATTACTGGGTTTATCCCAAAGTAATAATGGCCTAATATGGTCATAATTTTCGAATATAATTAAGTATTGACAGCACAAAATTTATTATAAGAATGTTTAATATATTAAAATCTAAATGATAAAATGAGATAACAATCTATTTATCTCTGGCCTTTTTGAAATAAATAGTTCGACAATGGTTAGAAGTTTTTAAAACATTTTCGGTACTCTAGCCAAAAGTCAAATATTTTTATAATTAATTGTAGCGAGTGTCTAATACTGAATCATCGACCATTAATCAAGTATACTAAGGAATTGATAAATTTTCATTGTAAGGTAATTATTTCTTATAGTATTGTTTAGATTACATATTAATTTATAATTACGAGATGTAATGAAATATTAAAATTTGTTCAATTCGTGAGAATTTCTCTCTGTTGATTTTTTATTGTTTTTTCCATTGTTTGGTTCAAATATAATATTGAAATTGTGATATATTTATAAAATAAATCCTAAAGTGAGTTCAGTGTTCTTAGATGTAGGTATGAAATTTTGTTTTATTGAATTTTTTTTTCCTTGTTATCAATTTTATATATAATCTAGTCATTACTTAGTGTAGACTATAATAAAATGTCAAAACTTTTTATTTCTTCAGACTGAGTAGATGTAAAATTTTCTTAATATTATTGAATTTTAAACAAAGGTTTATTTTATACCACTTTATACTATTTATCTGTGTAGTGATTCAAATAATTGTCATATGAAATCTTTTTATTTCATTGACATTACTAATGAAAGATATTGCAAATGCTTAGTAGCAAGCTGTAGTGCCTTTTCATGAAAAATATAAAAATTCCTTGCTTCCATTACATACTTTATATAGGTGAATTATTTTTATAACTATAGTAAATCTATTTGATTGTCTACTAACTTTGAAATACATGAAAAATGTTTGTGCCTTGATTTTATTTTCGATGACATTATTCTTCCATATTGTATAACATTAATAGAATAGATAGTTTTAGAACTGTACGCGCACATAATAGTTTGTAACTTGTTATAAGGCACTGGAATTTTTAATGTTGGCATTATATTGTAAGAACTTGCCTTGAATTATTTTTGTATAATACTTTTCAGGAGAAAAAGAATAATACAAGTCAAATGTTTTAATTTATACTACTATAATCTACTGTAAATGTGTATTCTTTGTATGAAGTATTCATTTTTAGGTTACTTTATTTTTTGACAGTTACTGCCAAATGTTAAATTCTTCGACTGATGATGTAAAAATGAAAATTTGTCTGTTTTTTTTTTGTAATAAAATGTATATCGAAAATTTACTGTTTCTTTTATTAATACTAAACAAAAAGACGTGTGTTATAATTATGACATAGAAACCTCTGTGTGTGTATTTGTCTGTAGCATCATAAGCCTCAAACGGAACAGCTGATTTCGAATAATTTTTCTACTAATATAGGTCCAGACATGTAAGAATAATTTTCAAAGATATTGTTAGTCCGTGACAACATGAAGTGTTTTATGCGTGCACATACAACCAATAAGACGTGATGTTCATTTTAAACATTTTATAAAACTATGATTGTGTTATTTATCCTTATTTGAATAAAAACAAGTCCAATATATGGTTTAAAATGTATGTACGTTATATATTACAGGGCTACAATGATTTAGTCTTACCAATTAGTATAAAATTCGTGTTTCTTTTATAACTCGCAATTAAAGGTGATAACATGAAGTAAGAAGAATAATAATATACGATCAAATATTCATATTGGAGGATTGGTTAATAAGCGTTTAAAGATGATATTTTAAAGGGGTAAAATTTATTATTACGATGATTTCCTTGTTTTAAATTCGGGAATATGATTTTTTATTAATATTTATACCAAATTTTTTTATATTACCTATATTTTCGATATATCTTATATCTTTAAATTAGCAATTCTTGTATAATAGTTATTTATTTATAATTGGAATCTCGGAATCGGCTCAAACGATTTTCGTGAAATTTGGTACATGGGGGGTTTCGGGGACGATAAATCGATTTAGCAAGGAATCATTTTTAGAAAATGTTATTTTATAAAAAAAATAACAAAAAGTTGTTTAAAATCTGACTCTTCCTGACATCTAGTGGCGAATATTAATACTACTTTTTGCTAATTGCTTTAACGACACAACAGCAGATGGCGTTGTTAAATACCAGGAAGTCAATGAGTGTTTCTTTTGAGGTAAGACTGAGAAATGAATCGTTGTTGTTAAAAAAATATAGATTATTGTTTTGAGTCTTCTTAACGTATTCACTTAAAAAGTCCTAAACGAAAAAAAACACACAAAATAAATACTTATAATTCCTAAATACCGAGCAAAGCTCGGTGTCCAGATTGTCCAAATTGTTTACGTCTAAGTTTAAAAGTAAATATAGAGTAATTTGAAGAGTTGAGATATCCTCTAATACTTATGTGCTTGATTATATGGAATTTTTAAGTACATATGCAAAATAATTAAAAAATAAACTGTTAAAACTTTAGTTAAAAGAATAGGTAACTGACATAGTTAAAGTCAGAAAATTTGTAATTAATATGAGGCCGTATAGACGGCACATTAAGTTATGAGGTATTTTATTAAGTTATGAGGTATTTTATTTTAAAAATCTACTTGAAATATAACTGTTCATCCATTGTAACTCAACAAGCTAAGATTTATTTTACTTTATGTTTTAGGTAAAAATGCCTTGTAATGTAGTAAGAAAGTCTACTATCGGACTTCATACTGAAGAACAGATAAGTAACGCTCTAAAATTTATTACGTCATCGTCATCAGCCTATCAGAGCCCACAGCTAAGCAAAGGCTTCTTTCTCACATGGAGAAGATTTGAGCATTAATCACCACGCTTGCTCAAGACGGGTTGGCGATGTCAAACTTATAATTGGAAATTATAAGTCCAGGTTTCCTCACGATGTTTTCCTTCACCGTCTGTCAGTGATGTCTAAATACTCTTAGAAAGTACATATGACTCGGAAAAATCACATTGGTACTTGCCATGATCGAACCCGCGCCCTCGTGCACGAGAGGCGGGCCTTTTGACCACTAGGCCACCACTGACACTAAAACTTATTTCGGATGGCTAAAAATAAGAGCCGTTGCTAGGTCGTCTTTCAATCGCTATAATGTTGGTTTGTTCTTCGATAATTTAGAAAATGTCATGTCATTATTTTGAGGTAAAAGACTGTCTAGAACCTAGTACAAGTAGAAATATTATAATAATATGAAAATTGATGTTTTATTTTGAATATTTCTTTGCAATTGATCCTGTGTGCCTGGGCCGATTCACTGTTACCCGTGCAGTAATCCAAAGTGACCCGTTCCTTGGCCACAGTGGATTATTTCTAATTTTTTTAAAGTGCCTATACCTTGTAAATATGTATAACACAGGCAATGAAATGTCTCTTATTTTAGACATTAGATATTTGCATTATCATTTAATTTAAAAGATGTATCATTTTGTCATAAACTACGGAGTAACACTTCTTAAAAAAAAAAATGATTCACTGTTACCCAGTCTCCCCTACTACGCGTGTTTATATGTATTATATAACCCCATAATTCAGACATTTAGGTTCCTTTACAGCATCCGTGATTACAGGCAGACGAGAAGAAATTAGAA